AGTGACGATGAGACACCGTCAACTAGGACACACATTGTGTGTAGCTACATAGGGTGCGAGTGACGATGAGACACCGTCATCTAGGACACACTTTGTGTGTAGCTACATAAGGCGCGGGCTACGATGAGACACCGTCAACTAGGACACACATTGTGTGTAGCTACAGAGGGTGCGAGTGACGATGAGACACCGTCAACCAGGACACACATTGTGTGTAGCTACATAAGGCGCGGGTTACGATGAGACACTGTCAGCTAGGACACACATTGTGTGTAGCTACATAAGGCGCGGGTTACGATGAGACACCATCAACCAGGACACACATTGTGTGTAGCTACATAAGGCGCGGGCTACGATGGGCACCATCAACCAGGACAAACATTGTGTGTAGCTACATAAGGCGCTGGTTACGATGAGACACCGTCAACTAGGACACACATTGTGTGTAGCTACATAAGGGGCGGGCTACGATGGGCACCATCAACCAGGATACACATTGTGTGTAGCTACATAAGGCGCGGGTTACGATGAGACATCGTCAACTAGGACACACATTGTGTGTAGCTACATAAGGCGCGGGTTACGATGAGACACCGTCAACCAGGACACACATTGTGTGTAGCTACATAAGGCGCGGGCTACGATGGGACACCGTCAACCAGAACACATTGTGTGTAGCTACATAAGGCGCGGGTTACGATGAGACACCATCAACCAGGACACACATTGTGTGTAGCTACATAAGGCGCGGACTACGATGAAACACCTTCAACCAGGACACACATTGTGTGTAGCTACATAAGGCGCGGGTTACGATGAGACACCGTCAACCAGGACACACATTGTGTGTAGCTACATAAGGCGCGGGTTACGATGAGACACCATCAACCAGGACACACATTGTGTGTAGCTACATAAGGCGCGGGCTACGATGGGCACCATCAACCAGGACAAACATTGTGTGTAGCTACATAAGGCGCTGGTTACGATGAGACACCGTCAACTAGGACACACATTGTGTGTAGCTACATAAGGGGCGGGCTACGATGGACACCATCAACCAGGATACACATTGTGTGTAGCTACATAAGGCGCGGGTTACGATGAGACATCGTCAACTAGGACACACATTGTGTGTAGCTACATAAGGCACGGACTACGATGAAACACCTTAAACCAGGACACACATGTGTAGCTACATAAGGCGCGGGTTACGATGAGACACCGTCAACCAGGACACACATTGTGTGTAGCTACATAAGGCGCGGGCTACGAGGGCCACCATCAACCAGGACACACTTTCTGACAACCCGATCCTCAGCTTTCGGCTCTCACTACAAACATGAGATAAAGGGAACCTTTTCTGCCACTGAATCCCTTTGCAATGGTAATCGGTTTCTAAAGTCTTTGACACCTTCGTTACAGGGAAGTAGCTCATTTCATGCCCAATAAAGGATGCACTCTCAGCAACATAAAAGATGTGAAAACCTTTACAACACAAACTTCTGTTCGTTAAACTAATGCATGGTCACTATTTCCGCATCATAATGCTGTCAAATGCAGAAGGGGAAACTATTATTACCGCTAAATGTTGTATTTTGGACAAAGATGACTAGTCCTCGGGGATGTATGCACGGAAGGTGAAACGCTGGCTCTGTTACAGATGAAGCAGCCACAAGGTACTCGTAGTTCACGTCTCTAGTGCTGAAGCTGATGAAGGTAGTGCTCCATCTTTGTTTCATACATGGATATTTTCTCATGGCTTTATGATATCGTCACGTTAGCAATTCATATACTCGTAAACCCGTGAAAGGTCTTCAGCAACCCATGCTTGCCGTAAAAGGCGACTATGCTTGTCGACTAACGGGATCGGGTGGTCAGGCTCGCTGACTTGGTTGATGCATGTCATCGTATCCCAATTACGCGGATCGATGCTCATGATGTCAATCGTTGGATTGTCTGGTCCAGATTCGATTTATTACAGACCGACATCATATAGCTGGAATATTGTTGAGTGTGGCGTTAAACAACAAACAATCAAACATAAACACGTGCTTGTGACAAGTCGGTGTCAATAGCCTCTGCTTTCAGCATGAAACAACAGAAGCCAAATGATTTTTCTCGATTTGAGATATGCCACCGTCTGAACATATGCTGTCAAGGTGGTGACAGACAGTGTCAATGCCGACATACTTCATTATGTCCAAGATTATTGCACTTATATAGCGTGCATGCACGTGTGTGTGTTTGTGGCTGCTTGTACTAGTTCGGACTGGTGCCGATTTATAGTGCTAGCCCACTGAGATATCATGCCACAGTTTAACATGAATATCCCACTCAGACACAGTATACTGACTCCCGAGTCGACAGTCCTTGTTTTAGCCAAGTACATCTTTTAACACCTTTTGATATAACGCGGCCGGGTGTTGCTTTAAGTGTTTAAGGGGTCGCCTTCTGCCTCAGATATTTCTTTTGACATGTCCTTCTATGGGACTCATGTTGTGTTTCTTTGTTGTTTAACGCCACACGCCAATATTCCAGCTATATGACGGCGGTCTGTAAATAATCGAGTCTGTAGCAGACAATCCAGTGATTGACATCATGAGGATCGATCCACGCAGTTGGGATACGATGACATGCATCAACCAAATCAGTATACTTACTCCGATCCGACAGTCCTTGTTTTAGCCCCTTAATGCCGAACGCTCGAAATGGTAACAACAAGTACCATCTTAAAACGTCTTTTGGTATGACACGGCTGAGGATCGAGCCCCGTACCTTCCGCTCTCCTGGCGGACGCTCTACCACTAGACCACGGAGGTGGTCACTTCATAAACATAGACGCGAGTCTTATTGAAGGAAAACTGCGGGTAACAGGTTGTCGTTGGTTTTATGAGAATAAAACTACTGCGGAGTACAATAGAAATTCAGAAAGTGTATCCATATTATAACGTCGTTCCCCAAAGCAGACGGACAAAACTCAGATAAACATGAATAAACGGTTGTATCTAAATCTTATAGTTCACGCTAAAAATATTTTAAATGTTGCCTTGTTGCTCGCACTTAACGAGAATATGCATTTTATAACTAATTACATAATGCTCGGAAATCCTAGCCGGGGTAGCTCTATAGTGATGATATGTGCTACACGCGTTTGTATGAGGCGGAAGGATATTTGAATTTTCCTTGTATGACTAACCCATTTCTGTTCCCTGCTTAACATTGGGATGTTTGAATGCTTTGCTGTGGTTAATACTTGTATCATTGCAATGACGTGTACGTGCTATGGTAAAGGTACTTCCTTGTTTGAGTAGCCCCTCGGTAGAGTGTTCGCTCGTCAAGCCGGCCAGGGTTCGATCCCCATACGAGGGCTCGTCAAAAAGTTAAACAAACTTTATTATGGGCCATAACCAAGGTGCGCTAGTTAATGTAGTATATTGTTTGAGTAGTTTGTTGCAAGTGTATTTGGTCTCTTGTGGCCGTTTGTATATTAGTGACAGCCAGTTGAACGTGGTAGGGATCCAATTGGACGCAGAAATGGAAAAGAACGAGTACCGAGCAGTCACGTTTTTGACTTTACAGAATAGTACTACCTAAGAAATTCATGACCGCATGTCACAAATGTATGAGGACAAGTGTCCTAGCTATCCAACTGTTGAACGTTATGTTTAAGGCTGGGAGAACAAGCCTTGATGATGACCCCAGGTCTGGACGTCCCTCAACTTCCATCCATAAAGACCCGTGCTCGTGGGTTTCACCGAAGTGGTAAACGTCTGAGACCTGCATCACTTCGGGCTTTCCTCCCACATGAAGCTGACACGCCGTGATATAACTGGAATACTGTTAAAAGCGGCGTTAAACCCAACTCACTCACTCACTCCATCCATAAAGATTCAATCAAGGAGATAGTAAACATATGCTGTCAGATAGGCGTATTACCATTGCTGAACTTAAGGAAGACCATGGATCCACTGAAAACTAATATTCATGAACATTTACATGTGAATAAGATATCTACTCGTTGGGTGACAAAGTTTCAAAATTCTGATCTTGAGGCAAAAAGAAATGACATTACGAGAGACAATTTAGAGCTTATTGAGGAGGATTTTGTCAAATTCAAAAAAAGATTAGTAACGGGTGATGAAACATTCGTTTACCAATTTGATCCCGAGTCAAATCGTCAATCTATGGAAGAGCACCATCCTACTTCTCCGGCACCAAAGAAACTAAAGTCTTCAAGATCAGTGAAGGAGGTTATGGCCACTGTATTCTGGGATGCAAATGGTGTGATCCTTGTTGATTACTTAGAAAGTCAAAAGACGATTGCCGGTGCCTACTGTGCTGATATGCCTATCGCCTGAGACATTATATTAAAGAAAACCTACGAGAGATGCTGACTGCTGGAGTTCTTCTCACAGCTCTCGACTTGCAAAGGCTGCTGTGCGACAATGTCGGTTCGAAAACACATTCACAATTGTTGGTTTTGTTAGAACTTTTGACCAGCCTTCAAAGACACTACATACATACAGCGGGGGCACGGGTGGCCCAGTCGTCGCTGTGCAGAGTTGCGTCCCTTTGGCACGCCAGAAACCTATGATTGTGGGTTCGAATCACGATTCTCCCCGATTATGTTTCCAGGTTCGTCAGCACCACACCCGTGCTCGTGGGTTTCACCGAAGTGGTAAACGTCTGAGATCTGCATCACTTCGGGCTTTCCTCCCACATTAAGCGGATTTGAGAGAACTACTTGTCTATTTATTGCGTTACAGACGTGGCACAAGCAGACACGATGCTACGTTTTCTTAGTTATGGGCCAGTCGTCAATCTATAAACACCGCCCAAATCGGTATTAGGTTTCCCATAAGAATGCACCGATACACTTGACTATGTGACTCTGATGCAGGTAACCTGGCGCCTGTACCCCTCCCCTCTCCAGCATACACGGTATGAGCTGCTGTGGAGACAAGGCTGCATATGGAACATCCCCGTATTGTTTATCATCCAGGTCAACGCCGTGTCCATGGGGATAGAATGCAGGTCACGTGGTTCTCTACCTTGTCCGCTGTAATCATCCTGATTGGTCCAAGGATCCCATGCAGTAAGATTTAATGACGTAATATACTGTGCTTGAGTGAGTGAGTGAATATGGTTTTACGCCGCTTTTGGCAATATTCCAGCAATATCACGGCGGGGACACCAGAAATGGGCTTCACACATTGTATCCATGTCGGGAATCGAACCCGAGTCTTCGGCGTGACGAGCGAACGCTTTAACCACTAGGCTACCCGACCGCCCCAACTGTACTTGAAATTAGCTGGCCAGCAAAAGCAAGTGTACACTAATGTGGGTTTTAGGGTGACAATAATTATACAAACAAGAAATGGTTATTCGATGGTGATGTTTTTGATACGGGTATCAGAGGCCATACTGCTTGCATCGTATCAAAGATTATGTCACAGCAAGTGGCTGTGTTTAGCCAAGTAACGTTTGTAAGTTTTAGATTAAATCAAATTTTCAAGTGTATATTTTCTTTTCCCCGACAGTGTATCTCGACAAGAGTAATCGCTCTGTTTATCTTTAACATTTAGTAAGATAACAGGAACAACAGATTTAATAAGTGTAGAAAGTGTGCATTGACCAAAGGGCGATAACAGTTACTTTGCATGTATTTTGTTGTATTAAGAAATGTGTTATATCATTTTTAACAATGTAAGTGTGTTTCTATGATTGTTCTACCAATTTATATCACAGCATCCCCAGAAAGCACACCATGCAGCAACTGTGACGGTAACAACGTGACCTGTGTTGACGGTGTGTGCTCACCACGCTGTGTCAGTGTGACGTCATCTGGAGAGTGTCTCCAGTGTCGGGACTCCAGGTTCTATGGTAAACAGTGTGAAGATGACTGTCCAGACACCTGTCTCAACTCTCGCTGTCAGATGGACAACACCCGTGTTGTGTGTACAGAGGGATGTGTGGCCGGCAAGAAGGGAGATAACTGTGGCGTGAACTGTCCTACAGCCTGTACACAGTGTGAACGTTATGGTGATGGTTGTACAGGACCGTGTCAGAATCCCCAGTATTACGGTCCACACTGTAGAACACCTTGTTCCTCCAGCTGTACAGATGGATGTAATAGGATCACGGGGGAATGTGGCAGCTGTGAGCCAGGTTACATGGGGGACAAGTGTGATGTTACCTGTCCCCCCAACTGTAGAGATGGATGTGACAAAGACACGGGGGAGTGTGACAGCTGTGAGCCAGGTTATATAGGGAAGTACTGTGGCAGCTGTGAGCCAGGTTACACAGGGGACAAGTGTGATGTTACCTGTCCCCCCAACTGTAGCGATGGATGTGATAAAGACACGGAGGAGTGTTACAGCTGTGTGACAGGTTACACAGGGGACAAGTGTGATGTTACCTGTCCCCCCAACTGTAGAGGTGGATGTGATAAAGACACGGGGGAGTGTGACAGCTGTGAGCCAGGTTACACAGGGGACAAGTGTGATGTTACCTGTCCCCCCAACTGTAGAGGTGGATGTGATAAAGACACGGGGGACTGTGACAGCTGTGAGCCAGGTTACACAGGGAACAAGTGTAACGTTACCTGTCCACTCAACTGCAGAGATGAAGATTGTGGGAACTGCACACCAAGTAGTAAGTTGTAATCCGTTTTAGCTTATTGTGGTTGGTAGTACACTTCTGTGCATCATACGTATACTTACTGCTGTTTCTATAACGATGAATGAGCTACAGATACACAACAAGTCTGACGGCATCAGGCGGTCCACACGGGGGTTACTGGCGAGGGTGGTTGGCGGTTAGGGCGCATTGTGACGGGTGTCGGTGGGTACAGGGTGTTATTGTGACTAATACCTGGCGAGTTACAAGGAGTTGTTGAGGAGGGCGTTACGGGGACGTATTGTGACGGGTGTCGGTGGGTACAGGGTGTTATTGTGACTAATACCTGGCGAGTTACAAGGAGTTGTTGAGGAGGGCGTTACGGGGACGTATTGTGACGGCTGTCGGTGGGTGACAGTAATGGTCGGTTACAGGGATGTATTGTGAGAGTTTTAGTCGGTTCACAGGGATGTATTTTGACAGTTACGGTCGGGTAACAGGGATGTATTGTGACAGTTATGGCCGGTTACAGGGATGTATTGTGAGAGTTTTAGTCGGTTCACAGGGATGTATTGTGACATTTACGGTCGGGTTACAGGGATGTATTGTGACAGTTATGGCCGGTTACAGGGATGTATTGTGAGAGTTTTAGTCGGTTCACAGGGATGTATTTTGACAGTTACGGTCGGGTAACAGGGATGTATTGTGACAGTTATGGCCGGTTACAGGGATGTATTGTGAGAGTTTTAGTCGGTTCACAGGGATGTATTGTGACATTTACGGTCGGGTTACAGGGATGTATTGTGACAGTTATGGCCGGTTACAGGGATGTATTGTGAGAGTTTTAGTCGGTTCACAGGGATGTATTTTGACAGTTACGGTCGGGTAACAGGGATGTATTGTGACAGTTATGGCCGGTTACAGGGATGTATTGTGAGAGTTTTAGTCGGTTCACAGGGATGTATTGTGACATTTACGGTCGGGTTACAGGGATGTATTGTGACAGTTATGGCCGGTTACAGGGATGTATTGTGAGAGTTTTAGTCGGTTCACAGGGATGTATTGTGACAGTTACGGTCGGGTTACAGGGATGTATTGTGACAGTTATGGCCGGTTACAGGGATGTATTGTGACAGTTATAGTCGGTTCACAGGGATGTATTGTGCCAGTTATAGTCGGGTTACAGGGATGTATTGTGACAGTTACGGTCGGGTTACAGGGATGTATTGTGACAGTTATGGACGGTTCACAGGGATGTATTGTGCCAGTTATGATCGGGTTACAGGGATGTATTGTGACAGTTATGGACGGGTTATAATTACAGGGATGTATTGTGACAGTTATGATCGGTTTACGAGGATGTATTGTGACAGTTATAGTCGGTTCACAGGGATGTATTGTGCCAGTTATGATCGGGTTACAGGGATGTATTGTGACAGTTATGGACGGGTTATAATTACAGGGATGTATTGTGACAGTTATGATCGGTTTACGAGGATGTATTGTTACAGTTATGATCGGTTTACGAGGATGTATTGTGACAGTTATGGTCGTTTCACAGGGATGTGTTGTGACAGTTATGATCGGTTTACGAGGATGTATTGTGACAGTTATGATCGGTTTACGAGGATGTATTGTGACAGTCATGGTCGTTTCACAGGGATGTATTGTGACAGTTATGGTCGGGTTACAGGGATGTATTGTGACAGTTGTGGTCGGGTTACAGGGGTGTGTTGTGACAGTTATGGTCGGGTTACAGGGGTGTATTGTGACAGTTATGATCGGTTTACTAGGATGTATTGTGATAGTTATGGTCGTTTCACAGGGATGTATTGTGACAGTTAAGATCGGTTTACGAGGATGTATTGTGACAGTTATGGTCGTTTCACAGGGATGTATTGTAACAGTTATGATCGGTTTACGAGGATGTATTGTGACAGTTATGATCGGTTTACAAGGATGTATTGTGACAGTCATGGTCGTTTCACAGGGATGTATTGTGACAGTTATGGTCGGGTTACAGGGATGTATTGTGACAGTTATAGTCGGTTCACAGGGATGTATTGTGCCAGTTATGGTCGGGTTACAGGGATGTATTGTGACAGTTTTGGTCGGGCTACAGGGATGTATTGTGACAGTTATGGTCGCGTTACAGGGATGTATTTTGACAGTTTTAGTCGGGTTACAGGGATGTATTGTGACAGTTATAGTCGGGTTACAGGGATATATTGTGATAGTTTTAGTCGCGTTACAGTGATGTATTGTGACAATTTTGGTCGGGTTACAGGGATGTATTGTGACATTTATGGCCGGGTTACAGGGATTTATCATTCTATTATGGGTGGGTTACACTGAGCCATAATTAAAGTTGTTGGTGGCATAGCAGGTACTTATGAATACAGTTGTTCACGTTGAAAGAAATGGGTGGGTTCGTATTATGACAGTTATGGTAGAAACGTTTGGATCGCGTTTCATACAAAATTCAAATTCGTTTTACTAAGTACTGTTTATGACGAAACATGGAGGATCGCTTGGTGTAGTGATCTTACTGTTTGTATACCCATCCATTAGCACACATTCTTTGAATATACTCTTCAAAAGGGTAGGGAATACTCAGAAATAACTTAGAATTTCCAAAACGTACCATATATTGGTTTCTTAGTAATAGTTCCATGATAATAATGAACAAATTGGGAACACATTACAACCTGTAGTGATGTATGACAGTAGATGTTATGAACGCCCGCGATAGGGAGAAGTTGGGTAATTTCAAAGTTGACGTTTCTGGATCAGTAGTGCGAAATACCGCCACGATTTGTCTAACATCCATTCACTCGACGAGCATACTGCTTATGAGCCTCCCAATAGCGATTTGAGGGAGCCTGTCCCACTCCTCTTGCAGCTCCTGGCCCAGGTAAGCCATCGTGGTCGGCGGCCTATGACGTTGACGTACACGTCTCCCTATAATGTTCCAGGCATTCTATGGATAGTGTGCTGCTGGAGGTGGGAATTTGCGATCAGTGCACGGTGATCGAGGGCGATCTCGTCCTGAAAACGCCTCGCAAAGGGGACAACATAGGGTGTCAGTATGTTGACCCGATGGTACAGATGGTACCTTCTTTGCACAATATGGAGTGGGGTTCGGTCGGTCTTAGTGACACCTGTCAACTGTCAGAGATCTCAGCTTGACATTGGCTTGAGGTTCACGACCACGCCTATCAGGGAAGTGCAAAGTTAATCAATAATTGACAGAAATAATGGTCCGCAGAGATTAATCGACATTCCTTTAAAGTGTCAAAATCAGGAATGACATCTACAGATGTGTTTGGCGCTACGGTGTGAGGCACGTGTAAACTGAAGGTAGTGGTTTCAGACACAAACGTTCCGTCACAGGATGTAATCTTTGTTCTTTAATACTTTGTATTTACATTTATATTTCATGTTCCCCTAAATGTATAATTTGCTTTTTTCAACAGAACAGAGTGTAAACTAGTTTGCACTTTGTACAGTTCCAAATGCTATTGAAGGAGGGGCAAACACTCCTCTGTCTAGAGGGTCTAGAGGGTCTCATTTGGCCTTCGTCCTTCTTGTGGACATACCTGTAATGCTGTCTTTGGTATGCCTGAAACAGAATCAAGACATTGACTGGCAGTTCGATGATTAGAAAGACTGCCAGCGTCCCAAATTTATAATTAAATTCATACGACATTGTTGTACATGTAGCAGGGCGTGGAGTCGTCCCACAGATGACATCCTTACACTGTCAGCTTGCTGACAGGGTTAACCTCTTTGGTCATGTGGACAAGGCGTCCGACCTCGGATCAGAAGGTCCCTGGTTCGAATCCCATCACGGGATTCGCTACATACACAACAGTCGAATTCAATGATTGTCTCCGTAAAGTCGACGGCATTTAAGGCTGTTATATAGATGCAAAGGAAATCTTCCCGAGACAAGGGAATTAACTGATTATAAAAGTCGAGTTTCCACCCGAAACTGGCTAGAATTTCGGAGTTATCTTTTGGCTAGACTAACGAGTCTATGCATTGTCCTGTCTAAATCGCGTGTCAAAGCATGTGTACCGCCAACTCGTCATATTTTCATGTTTTTAATCAAGGTGCTCACGAGATTTGATGTACTTCGCGAAGTAAAACCCGTTTGATCACAATATTGGTTTTGATCAGATCGCCTTGACTTGGCGCCGCCATTTTGTTTGAAGCAAATGCAAGTGATACGAGAGGTGGAATTTGATTGTCATTAGGAGGGACATATGAATGGACATAACTCGTAATAGCCACTGGTGACGCTACGATCGATATTTTCCAAATCTTTTCATGTTTATAATCAAGGTGCTCAAGTAATTTGACGCTTTTTTGCGAGGTAGGACTCGTTTAGTTACAATATAAAACTTGACTATCGATTAGAGCGTCTTGACTGGGAGCCGCCATTTTGTTTGAAGTGATATGAGATGTGGAATCTGATTGGTCAATAGGAGGGACATAGAAGGGACAGAACTCGTAATAGCCGATCGAGTCACGAAGTTCACGAAAATCCAGCGTAGTTCGGCAAGGATAGGAACTTGACTTTTATAGTCAGTTAGTTCACTTGCCTCGGGAAAATGTGCAAAGGAATATGTTCAATGCGATTGCCCAAACGATTTACATTTAATAGCATTACTTGCATATACAATGTAACAAACACACATACACAGACACATGTACACACATACACAGACGCAGACACATGTACACACATACACAGACGCAGACACACACATACTGACACATACACACAAACGCAGATACACCAATATTCACACAAACACACAGATGCAGAAATACACATACACAGACAGACGCAGACACACCCATACACATGACGCAGGCACACACACACACACACACACACACACACACACACACACACACACACACACACACACACACACACACACACACAAATACGCATCCATACACAAAGATGAAGACATACACATACATATATACACAGACGCAGACACACACACACACATACATAGACAGACGCAGACTCACACATATAATTAGACGCAGACACACACACAGATACGCACACAGAAATGCATACACAGACGCAGACACACAGACTCACACATACAATTAGACGCAGACACACACATACACACGCAGACATACACATACACACGGACACAGACACACATACAGAGAGAGACACATACGCGCACATACACACAAGCTCAGATACACACATACACAGACAAACGCAGACATGCACAGGTAGACATACTGAGCTTTTGAGTCAATATATTTAGATACTGAATCACTGTTTAAATGACCAGCAGACAGCCACAGCTGTTAGCGAGAGGCCAATATATACGGGATGTGCATGTATTCTGTGACTTGATCATGACATTCAACTGGTATATAATGAACACGTTTGTTTCAGCAACAAGAGCCAACGCTGAAGCCGCGTGTGTTGTACTTGTCGCCATCCCCATCCTCATCCTCGTTGTCATCGTGTACAGAAGGTGCGCGGTTCATTGTATTCGTGTATACACCGATACTCCAATTAGAGAATACCACGCCCATAAGCAGAATAACATTAATAAAAGCCTCATTGCATGCTTTTCCGTTTACTCGTTCGTGACCAACTCGTGTTATTCCGGGACAAGCCGAATAGCGACTCGTTTCCCTCTCATGGCCATTTTTGCGACCGGGTTCCGTCTTAGCGTAAACGGGCATACCTAAAACAATTGTCAATTCGTTGGTTCACATATATTTCCCCATATATTTTATATATTTCAGATGCAATTTAAAGCACATCTGGACATGCGGAGTTATACAGTATGATTGAACACATTTAACTGTGTCATGGGTATATTTTTAGATGCAAGACATATGTAAAATCAAAAATTATTTCTGAGGGATTCTTTGACGAAGAAATTGAAATCATACGCGGATTCTGATTGGTTTGGCGTATTTTCGCACATTATATTCATCGATAGAGGGATGAGTCTTCTTGCTGGTTACGGAAAGGGGCGAGTGGTGACGAATGACCGTTTACCATCAAGGCACCGTAAAGTAGGGAACATGTTATTAAGGGTATGTCTTTCCATGTTGGTCCCTGAAACCATTTATGGAACTTTTATCGTCAGCCCGATGCGTGTCACGCTCAACAGTACCCACCCCGCAACGAAGAAGGGATCGAGCCTTACGTTGTCTTGTTTATTTATCATCCACGCCCATCTTGCGGATTTCACGACATGCATAAGAATACCATGTGCCTTTTATTTTCAAACAAAGGCGACGCAAAGGAAGACAGCAGAACCAAAAAGGAACTCCTAATCCAACATACACATCGTGTTCGGGTAAGAATATAGCCAATAGAAAATCGATCTAAACTAATCGATGTGGTGTTAGTATGACTTTTGAGAGTTCCTTTACCTTATTTTGACCAAATCAAGGATCTTGTCAACAAAGGGATAAAATGTATTTAATAAAGCTATTTGTACAAAATTTAATTTCCCACCATGTTCGAGGTCCAATTGAACACAATACAGTAAACTAAGGTTATAACGAACTCAAAGGGACCACAAATTTTAGTTCGTAATAACCGTAGTTCGTCACAAGCATATATACAGCATAACTACAGCAAAAAGTCGGGACAAAAGGTAAGTTCGTTATATCCGTCAGTTCGTTATAAGCGTGTTCGTTATAAACGTAGTTTCCTTTATGTGCACGTGGAAGGTAATTCAGAACTATGCCTATTTCATGTGAAGTTTCATCATGGAATACTACTTACATCGACTTCCTTGGCTTCATATCTGGGCAGGACAGTGTTACATGTGTCCATCCTCCTGAGGCAAGTCCAGTTTCCACCCTTGCCGAACGAGGCTGGAATTTCCAGGCTCGACCGTAGCGCCACTAGTGGCTATTACGAGTTATGTCCCTTCTACGTCCCTCCTTTTGACCAATCAGATTCCCCTCTCATATCACTTGCATTGGCCTCAAACAAAATGGCGGCGCCCAATTAAGACGATCTGATCGATAAACAATATCTATATTGTAATAAAACGGGTCTTACCTCGCGAAGTGCATCAAGATCACTCGAGCACCTTGATTAAAAACATGAAAAGGTTTGCAAAATATCTGTCAACGCCCAGTCGACAGTACACATGCTTTGCAAATCCTGCAGTCGACCGAAATCTGCATGTTGAAATCTATGTTGTTTACGAAACATGTGACTAGTTCGTTACGCGATTTTGATTTGACCATGCATAGACTCATTAATGCAGCCAAAATGTAACTCCTGAATTCCAGCCTAGTTCGGCAAGGTTAGAAACTGTACTTTAATAGACAGTTAACGCCCTTGCCCCGGGGAGATGACAGGTGTCATGTTACTGGGATTTTACTGCATGTTATGGGATTTTACTGTTTTCGAAGTTACATACATGTTAATCTGCGTGTCTTCGTGACCGGAAAATGTAAGACACATAACGAGACTTAACATTAGGATAAGACGAAAATTCTGCAAACGAATGTATACATGCAACCTAAGTGTGCATTCCGTACATATTAATCATATGTCCATCTTCCAGTCTATACACTAGGCGGGGACATGTGTGATGAGCTGAGCGGGGACACGTCGAAGGAGGTCATGGAGGGGGAGTTTAAAGTAGGTATACTTCAAGGTTCTGAATACATCATCAACCGTAGGGGGGGCACGGGTGGCCCAGTCGTCTAATTGCCGCAGATTTCATCCCTTGGGCACGCCAGAAACCTATTATTGTTGGTTCGAATCCCGGTTCGCCCTGATTATGTTTCTAGGTTTGTCAGCACCATACCAGCTCGTGGGTTTCACCGAAGTGGTAAACGTCTGAGATTTGCATCACTTCGGGTTCCCCCCCCCCACCCCCCCCCCCCCCCACACACACACACACATTAAGCTGACACGCCGTGATATAACTGGAATATTGTTAAAAGCGGCGTTAAATCCAACTCACACACTCACTCAACCGTACGATAAAAAATAATGTGATGCTATATGGCGAGTGGGTGGTCTGTGGTTAACGCTGCTAAAATTTGGAGGCTTACGTCCTTGATGCAAATATGATGTTTATCGGCGAGGGATCTTAACATAGGATGGATGTGAGATTCGAACCACACACCCGGGTTGCCGTTGTGCGAAGCGATCTTAGCGCTAGGGTGATCGTAACTTCCATACCATAACATAGACTTACGACAGTCGTAGCGTTAAGGTTGGTTTGTACAACGGCACCCAGGACCTTAAGGTACATCCCTGCACATAGACTCCCTGATATATAGATAGGGGAGTGTTGTGTGACTTGGCAGATTCTGTGTCTCAAACCCCGACCATATTTGCCTAGTCAATATCCAAGTAGTTACTCCCTGACATATCACTCTCTGCGGCTTTAAACACCACTCGCATACAAGCTATTATGTTTCTGTTTTAGAAACTGCCTTCTTATATAAAACCAGTAAATTGTGCCACTTTGGACGAAAACGAAGGGAAGAACAGATACAAAGATATCCTGCCATGTATGTAATTATATATCCTGCTGTACTCTTTATTTGGAGTCATTTTAAAAAAAACAACTTTATACTTACTTTAATTAATCTTAGATAGGTAGAATTTTGCGGTTCGTTATGGAACTTCTACTTTGAGTAAATGTTCGAAATTGGAGTTTATGGATATCTATGAATTGCTGATCCTTTTCGCGAACACCAGGGGCCACTTGCACAAAGCCATCTTAGCGCTAAGACTATCTTAAGACTATGTTAAATTTGGGAGTTACAATCATCTTAGCGCTAAGATCGCTTTGTGCAAGTGGGCCAAGGTGTCATCACCATTTTTTCAGCGATCCATAATTATAATGTTCACTGTTTGGGCTTCTGCGCCAAATCAGACCGCCTCCGTGGTCTAGTGGTAGAGCGTCCGCCCGGAGAGCGGAAGGCCAGGGGTTCGATCCCCGGCCGCGTCATACCAAAAGACGTTAAAAGATGGTACTTGTTGTTACCCTGTCTGGCGCTCGTCATTAAGGGGCTAAAGCAAGGACTGGTCGGCTCGGAGTCAGTATACTGTGTCTGAGTGGGGTATTCATGTTAAACTGCGGCATGGTATCTCAGTGTGCTAGCACTATAAATCGGCATCAGTCCGGACTAGTACAAGCAGCCACACAAACACACACACGTACATGCACGTCACTATATAAGTGCAATAATCTTGGACGCGACGTTAAACCCAATTTCACCTCACCTCACCTCTGCGCCAAATTGAGTCTGTTTTGGTGGATAATCGAGACTGGTTGTCTCTTGCGTTGACGTTTTCAATTTCACATTCAATTTCGAGGTTTAATCATATCTAAAACATACAGATTCACACGGAGGACATTTCTCTGATGTTGGTCAGCCTTATCACCCTATTTTCGAAATATTCTCCATGTCACGTGCTCCTTAACAGTAGCATCAAACAGACATGGCGGATAGATATCTGATAAAATGCATGTCCCATTTGCTTGTAACACACGCGTGTCCGACCAACTGCTACTGTTATCGCCGTTATTGCAGAGAAACAGTTCAATCCTGCCACAAAAACAGCATAAGATGTGATTTTTGGTATTTACAGTTGATGCTACACGAGTGCCCCTTGAGATTGAAAATGAAGATGACAGCGACTACATCAACGCCTCTTACATAGATGTAAGTTATGAACAATTTAGGTTGGTTCTTATTAGATTTTGTGTGGTTCTTGTATTAAGTGTGGTTCTCGTATTTATTATGGTTCTTGTATTTAATGTGGTTCTCGTATTTCGTGCGATGCTTCTTTTTTTTCTGTGGTTCTTGTATTTAGTGTGGATCTCGTATTTAGTGTCACAGTGGTTCTTGAATTTAGTGTGGTTCTTGTATTTAGTGTGTTTCTTGTATTTACTGTGGTTCTTGTGTTTACCGTGGTTCTTGTATTTAGTGTGGTTCTCGTATTTAGTGTGGTTCTTGTATTTACTGTGGTTCTCGTATTTACCGTGGTTCTTGTATTTACCGTGGTTCTTGTATTTACTGTGGTTCTTGTATTTACTGTGTTTCTTGTATTTATCGTGGTTCTCGTATTGAGTGTGGTTCTTGTATTTACTGTGGTTCTCATATTTAGTGTGGTTCTCGTATTTACTGTGATTCTTGTATTAAGTGTGGTTCTCGTGTTTAGTGTGGTTCTTGTATTTACTGTGGTTCTTGTATTTACCGTGGTTCTTGTATTTACTGTGGTTCTTGTATTTAGTGTGGTTCTTGTATTTAGTGTGGTTCTCGTATATACGGTGTTTCTTGTATTTACTGTGGTTCTTGTATTTAGTGTGGTTCTCGTATTTACTTTGGTTCTCGTATTTAGTGTGGTTCTTGTATTTACTGTGGTTCTTGTATTTAGTGTGGTTCTTGTATTTACTGTGGTTCTCGTATTTATTGTGGTTCTCGTATTTAGTGTGGTTCTCGTATTTAGTGTGGTTCTCGTATTTACTTTGGTTCTCGTATTTAGTGTGGTTCTTGTATTTACTGTGGTTCTTGTATTTACTGTGGTTCTTGTATTTAGTGAGGTTCTTGTATTTACTATGGTTCTTGTATTTAGTGTGGTTCTCGTATTTAGTGTGGTTCTCGTATTTACTGTGGTTCTCATATTTAGTGTGGTTCTCGTATTTAGTGTGTTTCTTGTATTTAGTGTGGTTCTTGTATTTACTGGGGTTTTGTATCCTGTGGTTCCTGTATTTAGTATGTTTCTAGTATTTACTGTGGTTCTTGTATTTAGTGTTGTTCTCGTATTTAATGTGTTTCTTGTATTTACTGTGGTTCTTGTATTTAGTGTGGTTCTCGTATTTAGTGTGGTTCTTGTATTACCGTGGTTCTTGTATTTAGTGTGGTTCTTGTATTTAGTGTGGTTCTTGTATTTACTGTGGTTCTCGTATTTAGTGTGGTTCTCGTATTTAGTGTGGTTCTCGTATTTGGTGTGGTTCTTGTATTTACCGTGGTTCTTGTATTTACTGTGGTTCTTGTATTTACTGTGGTTCTTGTATTAAGTGTGGTTCTTGTATTTAGTGTGGTTCTTGTATTTACTGTTGTTCTAGTATTTAGTGTAGTTCTCGTATTTAGTGTGTTTCTTGTATTTAGTGTGTTTCTCGTATTTACTGGGGTTCTTGTATCCTGTGGTTCTCGGATTTAGTGTGTTTCTAGTATTTACTGTGGTTCTTGTATTTAGTGTTGTTCTCGTATTTAGTGTGTTTCTTGTATTTACTGTGGTTCTTGTATTTAGTGTGGTTCTCGTATTTAGTGCGGTCCTTGTATTTAGTGTGGTTCTCGTATTGAGTGTTTCTTGTATTTACTGTGGTTCTTGTATTTAGAGTGGTTCTCGTTTTTAGTGTGTTTCTTGTATTTACTGTGGTTCTTTTATTTAGTGTTGTTCTCGTATTTAGTGGTTTTCTTGTATTTACTTTGGTTCTTTTATTTAGTGTGGTTCTCGTATTTAGTGCGGTTCTTGTATTTACTGTGGTTCTCGTATTTAGTGTTTCTTGTATTTACTGTGGTTCTTGTATTTAGTGTGGTTCTCGTATTTAGTGTCTTTCTTGTATTTACTGTGGTTCTTGTATTTCTATTGATGCTTCTTTTTTTACTGTGGTTCTTGTGTTTAGAGTGTTTCTTGTATTTACTGTGGTTCTTGTATTTAGTGTGGTTCTTGTATTTACATGGGTTCTTGTATCCTGTGGTTCTAGTATTTAGTATGTTTCGAGTATTTACTGTGGTTCTTGTATTTAGTGTTGTTCTCGTATTTAGTGGTTTTCTTGTATTTACTGTGGTTCTTGTATTTAGTGTGGTTCTCGTATTTAGTGCGGTTCTTGTATTTAGTGTGGTTCTCGTATTTAGTGTTTCTTGTATTTACTGTGGTTCTTGTATTTAGTGTGGTTCTCGTATTTAGTGTCTTTCTTGTATTTACTGTGGTCTTGTATTTAGTGTGGTTCTCGTATTTAGTTTGGTTCTTGTATTTACTGTGGTTCTTGTATTTCTAGTGATGCTTCTTTTTTTACTGTGGTTCTTGTATTTAGAACGTTTCTTGTATTTACTGTGGTTCTTGTATTTAGCTCGTTTCTTGTATAAAGTGTCACAGTGGTTCTCGTATTTAGTGTAGTTCTAGTATTTGGAGTTGAGTATTTGGATTCGAACCTCAGACTCGTCCTAATAATGTTACTTGGTTGGGAAGCATCACAGCGAGCTCGGGGGTTTCTCCAAGGATGTACTCGTCTGTGACCGGCATCACTACACTACACTACACAGTTACAGTGGTGAGACCGCCTCCGTGGTCTAGTGGTAGAGCGTCCGACCGGAGAGCGGAAGGTACGGGGTTCGATCCCCGAACTCGTCATACCAAACAAACGTTAAAAGATGGTACTTGTTGTTACCCTTAACTCATTAAGGGATTAAATCATTTTTAACATGAATACCCCACTCAGACACATTGTACTTTATAAATCTTTAACTTTCAATACAAGAGTCCGAGCCGACCAGTCCTTGTTTTAGCCCCTTAATGCCGAGCTCCAGACAGGGTAACAACAAGTACCATCTTTTAACATCTTTTGGTATGACGCGGTCGGGGACCGAACCCCGGACCTTCCGCTCTCCGGGCGGACGCTCTACCACTAGACCACGGAGGCGGTCTGATATTTCTGGAATAATGCTCACAGCTCAACGAAGTCGCTTAATAATGTATTGGGAGTTACACAGTTACTCATGGAGACTCTCTCCCCCACAGGGATACATGGACCAGACCCGCTATGTTGCAACCCAAGGTACGTGGAGACTTTCATGGGTTTGGTAAACTACTTTCTTCCTCATCTCCACGCATATAATAAATAATACTACCAAAAGATACTCGTGTCTATCCTACTATGTCGACATTCAAATTGCTTCTTAGTTTAATATGACTATGCCAATACTCATGTCAATCGGAACACAACAACGAACTCATCATTACGGGAATTTTTATTTTCGCTTTAATATGGATATAGTTACGAATTCATTTCAATATTTCTTGCGTTTATGGCCTCGTATAAACGTGTTAAACTCCAAACTCTAAACGCTAAAACATATTAAAGTCAATTCATATGAATAAATACGTCAACAATAATAACTTGACAGACTGCTTATTTCATCATTAACACAAAAACCAGGACAGATCTCTTGGTTAATCAATCAAATGCCATGGAATGGCATGCAACGTATTTGCTATAGATAGCCTTGAAAACCTTTCTACAGGGCCCTTGGAACACACAAAGAACGACTTCTGGAGGATGATATGGCAACTGAACACCGCCAAGATTGTCATGGTTACTAACCTCATGGAGTCGGGGAAGGTAAGAATACATTATGTCAGCTTCTGGCAAAAAAATAATAATCAAGACGTCTCCAACCATGAAGTGATGATATCGACGACGTTCATGTACAAATATATTTTGGACTGCCGATACAAACATCTTTACTCACCATGATATCATCACATTAAGTATTATGAGCAAATAATATTACTACTACATTCATAACCCTATGTATATATATATCATGCATTCTCTCAGTTGAAGTGCTACATGTACTGGCCATTCTGCAGCTCTGAGTCCACGATGTACGGCAGTATAAGTGTTCAGTGCGCGAAAGAGGAGGTCTACGAGACCTACACCCTCCGCTCAATGGCGATCTGGAAGGTAGGTGACCTTCACCCAGCGCTTCCTGTTCATATGGAAGGTAGGTGACCTTAAACACCCGTCCGCCTCCTGGCCATCTGGAAGTTAGGTGACCTACACCCTCCGCTCCCTGAACACCTAGAAGTTAGCTGACCTACACCCTCCGCTCCCTGAACACCTAGAAGTTAGGTGACCTACACTCTCCGCTCCCTGAACACCTAGAAGTTAGGTGACCTACACCCTCCGCTCCCTGAACACCTAGAAGTTAGGTGACCTACACCCTCCGCTCAATGGCGATCTGGAAGGTAGGTGACCTACACCCTCCGCTCCCTGAACAGCTAGAAGTTAGCTGACCTACACCCTCCGCTCCCTGAACACCTAGAAGGTAGGTGACCTACACCCTCCGCTCCCTGAACACCTAGAAGTTAGCTGACCTACACCCTCCGCTCAATGGCGATCTGGAAGGTAGGTGACCTACACCCTCCGCTCCCTGAACAGCTAGAAGTTAGCTGACCTACACCCTCCGCTCCCTGAACACCTAGAAGGTAGGTGACCTACACCCTCCGCTCCCTGAACACCTAGAAGGTAGGCGACCTACACCATCCGCTCCCTGAACACCTAGAAGGTAGGCGACCTACACCCTCCGCTCCCTGAACACCTAGAAGGTAGGTGACCTACACCTTCCGCTCCCTGAACACCTAGAAGGACAATGTAGGTGACCTACACCCTCCGCTCCCTGAACAGCTAGAAGTTAGCTGACCTACACCCTCCGCTCCCTGAACACCTAGAAGGTAGGTGACCTACACCCTCCGCTCAATGGCGATCTGTAAGTTAGGTGTCCTACACCCTCCGCCCCGTGGTCTTTGTGAACGTAGGTGACCTTTTGGAAGTTTCCTGGCCATATGGAGGGTAGGTGACCTAGTGGTTAGGTTACCTAGACCCTCCACCCCCTGGCCACATAGTGGTTAGGTTACCTAGACCCTCCATCCCCTGGCCACATAGTGGTTAGGTTACCTAGACCCTCCACCCCCTGGCCACATAGTGGTTAGGTTACCTAGACCCTCCACCCCCTGGTCCTATAGTAGGCGGGATAGCTACACCCTCCACCCCCTGGTCCTATAGTAGGCGGGATAACTACACCCTCCACCCCCTGGTCCTATAGTAGGCGGGATAGCTACACCCTCCACCCCCTGGTCCTATAGTAGGCGGGATAGCTACACCCTCCACCCCCTGGTCCTATATTAGGCGGGATAGCAACACCCTCCATCCCCAGGTCCTATAGTAGGCGGGATAGCTACACCCTCCACCCCCTGGTCCTATATTAGGCGGGGTAGCTACACCCTCCACCCCCTGGTCCTATAGTAGGCGGGATAGCAACACCCTCAACCCCCTGGTCCTATAGTAGGTGGGATAGCTACACCCTCCACCCCGTGGTCCTATAGTAGGCGGGATAGCTACACCCTCCACACCCAGGCCCTATAGAAGGCGGGATCGCTACACCCTCCACCCCGTGGTCCTATAGTAGGCGGGATAGCTACACCCTCCACACCCTGGTCCTATAGTAGGCGGGATAGCTACACCCTCCACTCACTAGCCATATAGAACAAATTATACCTACAACCCATGGACCCGCCCCTAGCAATGTAATGCAAGTGAGCTCTCCGCACCGGTTGAAACGTTGCTGTTTTATGTCATTACAGGAAGCTACAGAGACAAGAATGATCAAGCAGTTCCACTTCACACAGTGGCCCGACCACGGGGTTCCCAGTGACACTACAGCACTATTACACTTCAACAAAGTAGTGAAGGACACGGCACTACCACTGTCAGGGCCATTAGTGGTTCACTGCAGGTAACAGATATTTATTCCAAATATCTGTTTCACGTACAATAAGAAAAACGTATGTATCTTATTAGTAGACAAACACAACTTAATCGTTAACGAAGGCATTGCCCGTAACTTGTGTAGCGGCAGCACATGCTCACACCTGTCGTCAGAATTGGTAACTTGCAATGATTCAAGGTTCTTGAATTAATATATTTGGAATAGTTCTTCGGTCAAATGAAATATGGCATTGACGTTTGTTATCAATATGTACGATCCACACTTTTCACACAGTAATGGATTTGACGAATATGCAGGTTCGTTTTTGCTGAAGCAATTGATTGTGTTGAATATATGACACGTTTTAATTGAAAGCAACTTATTTTATTCTTTGTAAGACGTCTCAGAGCTACATCTTGTTCCTTCATCAGGTAAATGGTGAAGCAAGAATGAGCTCTGAAATGTCGATCAAAGAATAAAATAAGTTGCTTTCCATTAAAAAGTGTCATATATTCATGCTCTCCCAACTTCTAAATGCCTATCAAAGAATTCATTGTGTTGCTTGTCCAACTTCTAAATGCCTATCAAAGAATTCATTGTGTTGCTTGTCCAACTTCTAAATGCCTATCAAAGAATTCATTGTGTTGCTTGTCCAACTTCTAAATGCCTATCAAAGAATTCATTGTGTTGCTTGTCCAACTTCTGAATGCCTATCAAAGAATTCATTGTGTTGCTTGTCCGACTTCTAAATGCCTATCAAAGAATTCATTGTGTTGCTTGTCCGACTTCTAAATGCCTATCAAAGTATTCATTGTGTTTCTTGGCCTATACAGTGCAGGTGTTGGACGGACTGGCACTTTCTTAGCGTTGGACTACTTACTGGACCAGGCAAGGAGCGAGGGCCGAGTCTGTGTCTACAACTGTGTGCAACACTTCCGTAGGGAGAGGATGAAAATGGTTCAAACAAAAGTTAGTTTATTACTAAAAGATTACTCAAATGTCTGACTGAAAGTTCTGCGAACTTATGAAATAGTCTGCCGATCTGGCGTTGCATCTGCAGATCCGCCGTCACATGGCTTAAACAACAAATAAACAAACAAACAGCATATGCAGGTGTTAATCCCTTATCAGAGAAGGTAATTCGGAATAAAAATCCTTCGAGACATGTTAGTTGCATGCAATGTTTTGTGAAACAAGGAAGAGATATCAAGAGTGTTTCACGTTTTTGTTCACGTTTAAAACCACATCACACCTTAAGAATAATATCACGGGAATCCTTTGACCACATACGTTACACAAGATTTCTCGTCTGTGACACTGTTGGTACAACCAGAGGTAGAAGGTGACCAATGGTTATGCATGCAGCAAACATTGCTGTGACGCCCCTCTACAGGGTCAGGTCAACGGTAGACGGTGTCTTTCTTCCTATTTTTCCTCCTCAAAATATGTTGACCCAAGTGTGCAGAAATTCAGCATAACTGTTTAGTCTCCACAATCGTTATAAGTGAATAATATTATTACGTTACTTCTAAAAGAAAACAAACGGGATAAAAATGTTCCAATGTTAATGCTGACAAGGACTTTGGTTAAATTGCTGTCATTGACGACATTATCAAATGTTGACCATGTGTTTTACGTTGTCCTGACACTATTAATATCAGTTCAGGATCAATATGCATGTTGTATTCCTGAAGTACAAAAACTTCCATTTTGTATGTTTATTCAAGAGACACGTTTAAATTTCGAAAGTTTGAGTTTGTGTGATGTATTTTCAGGAGCAGTATATATTCATACACAGCATTCTCCTGGATGCCTTGCAATGTGAACAGACCTTGACTCGCCCCATCGAGCCAGTACACATCCAGTGTGAGACATGCTGGAACCAGATTAATAATAAGCACAGGTGAGTGAGTGAGTGAGTGAGTGAGTGAGTGAGTGAGTGAGTGAGTGAGTGAGTGTGTGAGTGAGTGGGTGGGTGGGTGGGTGAGTGAGTGAGTGAGTGAGTGAGTGAGTGAGTGAGTGAGTGAGTGTGTGAGTGAGTGAGTGAGTGAGTGAGTGAGTGAGTGAGTGGGTGGGTTGGTGGGTGGGTGGGTGAGTGAGTGAGTGAGAGTGGGTGAGTGAATTAAATGCAAAATATTGTACTGTACATCTGATTTTGATTTTAGGGTCAATATGGACATTTCATCCATTGACAGTGATGAAGAAGATGTTCTGTATGAAAATGTTCCCCATCACTGGGCACGTCAGCTTCAACAAAGAAGTGGAGATGCGGCCTCTCTTCCCGACGTCTGTGACGTGGTCTGTGAAACAATGCCCTTGCTGTCTAGTGCAACAAACACCTCAAGCGAGGAGAGGAGCCCGGAAGAGAAGACGGACGACGAGGGAGGAAGGATGAGTTGGGTGTCGCCTCTGTTAGGTACAAGTGACAGGATACAGGAGACGGGTTACGAGTGACAAGTCACTGTTTCGTTCTGCCACATATTCCAGAGTTCCTTGAATACATATTTTGTTCATACTGTGCGTGTGTAGTGATAAGTAGGGTAGTGCATCGTATTGGTAAATTTCGTTTAAAGTCATCCATATCTTGTATGTGTTTCTCATCTACAACCTTAACCAGCATGAGAGAGGGCAGACGAAATATGATAAGAAAAAGTTGGGTTTTTTTAATACAAAATAAACTGATGTTGTGTAACTTAATCTATAACATTTTAAAGTTTTAAAACTTTTGCTATCAGTCTTTAATAATTTATTTGTGACATAGATCGAGTTACTTAGCTTCATTAACGACTATGGTTGTATTATAGACTTCAGTGTGAAAGACTGATTTTTCTGAAGTTGAGAAAAAAGATATTTTCATTGCAGTGAACATAACACTTGATATTTCACTGCAGTGACACGTTTACGGAACTATTGTTTTACAAGAGTTACCTCCCCTTAAATTGTCTCCCTTTAGCGTAAATGTCAAGCCCGTACACAAACTGTTGACGTCCTTTTTACGTTAGTTCCACATTCAACAAAGCAAAATAATGACAGATGGTCTTTTATGGAGTCAATATCACTTCTTTGCCGTTTGTTATCCTCTCGAAAATGATTCGTTATAAATTGTACATTTCTCATTTAACTCGTCAATCGAGACTGTTCGTTTCGCAAAGCGCCATTTTTGTTACTTGACCAGCGTGTATTCTTTCGCTTCCAACAGCGGTCTCCAAGTTTTCAAGAATATGTTTTGTTGATTTTGTATATAATCATATCTAAATGTATGATAAAAAATTTTCGTGACCCTAAATATTTTTGGATACTTTTGTATATATTTTTTAAGATTTTGCCAACACGAAACTGCTTTTTAAATCGCAAATACAAGGGATGGTAAACCGTCCCTATGTGAAAGGTAGGGAGAATTTACGTTTTAAGGTTTTACATTTGTAATGAAATAATTTAATATTCCGTTAGATAACTGCTCAAAAAGTATATTATAAATAGGATATTCCTTGTGTCTCGTGAAATATCATGTTAATCTTATCGAGTGACTCGTACGCCACTCGTGAAAATATCTCCTTTCCCCCGTCACTCGATGAGAGATATATGATATTTCACTCGACACATCAAATATCCTCTACTTTTTGTTATCACACCGGGGCTTATTTTTTCACAGCGGCGGAGGAATTTGATATACGAAAACTTATTATTACTTCACGTCGGAATGAAAGTTCACAGTGGGTGGGAGATTGGAATCTCAGACTAAATCCGGACATCATGTAAGCAAACGCGCTTAATATGATCAGTATCCATCGAGTGCATGAGCTGCCAGTTGCATTCAATACAATATGTTCATTATTTTGGTGATATAAGCAGTTCTCTACAAAACCTAAATGTACAGATCATGAAGGATGGATAAAGCTTTAACTTTCAATACAATTTGTACATAAATGGTTCTTATCAATGAACGATACCATGTTAATAAATGCTTACAATGAAACTTACATCGATAACTCCAGGTGAGGTGAGGTGAAATGGGGTTTAACGTCGCGTCCAAGATTATTGCACTTATATAGCGACGTGCATGTACGTGTGTGGCTGCTTGTACTAGTCCGGACTGATGCCAATTTATAGTGCTAGCTCACTGAGATACCATGCCGCAGTTGAACATGAATACCCCACTCAGACACAGTATACTGACCAGTCCTTGTTTTAGCCCCTGAATGCCGAGCGCAAGACAGGGTAACAACAAGTACCATTTTTAACGTCTTTTGGTATGACGCGGCCGGGGATCGAACCCCGGACCTTCCGCTCTCCGGGCGGACGCTCTACCACTAGACCACGGAGGCGGTCCGATAACCTAAAATCAAATTTCATGTCCAGCGGTTATTCATACCTATGAAAGTTGTTTACGTTTTTTTTATATACTAGCCACATAAATAAACTGTGCACGGAGAAAATATAGATATAAGGGCACACCGTCAATATATGAAAGAAAGGTTTGAACACAGCAATTATTGGAGACATTCAAACGCTCATGCAAGTGCCATGCGATATGACGTCATTGATGGGGGCCTATGGACGTGCAATGTGTTACTGCACGTGCATCCTGTGCAGCTGTACACAGCATGTGCAACTCAAAATTCGCTGTCACTTTGGAAAGCATGATCTGTGGTCATTCAAAAATTCAAAACTTCTCAGGCGCAGACACAAGCATATCACAAGCAAATCATGCCAAGATTGACAGCTGCACAGCGTCATGAAGCCATTGGAATGATCCGAGCGGGCAACAACAGGTGGCAACAAATTTCCAATGCCATCGTAACACGATATCGACATTGGTGAGGCGTTATCAGAACACAAATGATGTTGCCGACCACCCACGTTCAGGACGTCCCCGAGTAACGACGCCAAGACAGGACTGATGGATTCGAGTTACACATCTCCGACACAGGTTCCAAACGGCAGTAACGACGTCCCAGACAATTCCTGGACTGCGCCGTATCCATCCCAACACTGTCAGGAATCGTTTACGTCAGTACGGGATTCGACCACGACGCCCTGCCATACGTCCCATCCTGACACACCGTCATCGAGTCAACCGTCTAAGATGGTGCCGAAACCATGTTCGCCAACCTCGAATATGGTGGAGAAATGTTGTCTTGACAGATGAATCGAGGTTCAACATTTCCCACAGTGACGGGCGCCAACGTGTCTACCGGCGTTTGGGAGAACGTTATGCACGAAACTGTATTGTGGAGACGAATCGTTTTGGAGGTGGCTCCGTGGTGATTTGGGTCGGGATAACAGCACGGCACCGAACCCCTTTGGTGGTTGTTCAGGGCAATCTCACCGGTGTTGGCTACAGAGATCAGATTCTGCGGCCTGTGGTCATTCCTTTCCTGCAACGTCATGGCCCGGGATTGACATTTCAACAGGACAACGCTCGTCCTCACACGGCTAGGGTCGCAATGGATTTCCTTCACCATAACAATGTCATGTTACTGCCATGGCCTGCAATTTCTCCAGATCTCTCCCCAATAGAGCATGTGTGGGATGAAATGGAGCGCCGTCTGCGTCGTCTTCCACATCCTCCAGATAATGTCCGTGACCTTGCACAGGATTTGAGGAGGATATGGCAGGCCATTCCCCAGGCTTTCCATGCCCATTTGGTGGACTCCATGCGTCGCCGATGCACTGTTGTGATTCACGCACAGGGTGGTCATACCCGTTATTGACTTTGTAACTTTGTCGTTTGACCCCCTACTCCATTTTGATCTTCTGACGTCATCGTAACAGATGTTGTTCAGGTCCCGTTGACATTTTCTTATGGTCCGATCATTCAGCTGCTACGGCGTCTGCATCATTTTGTTCTTGCTGTGTTGTATTTCAATCCAGAATATATTTTCTCCGTGCACAGTTTCTTTATGTGGCTAGTATATTAACCATGCTATCATGTTAGTTGTGTTGATTTTGGTTAATCGTGATCATTTGCTATTATGTGTTATTATGAGATATTCCTTCACGACCTTTCATCCGTACCATGATTGTTTTGCCTAATTGGCCTGTTAAAGCAAGTACATTATGCTAAAAACTGAATTTGTTTTAATACTGATATCATGAGCCTATAATCAAAACATGTGTGCCCTTTATACTTTATATCTATATTTCGAAGTTGAGTTGTTACGAAAGGTTACCTAGATTACTGACCATCCCGGATTCCAGTTTGTTTAAGCTTGCTATATTTCTTTTCATTCTTCTTTGAATAAAGTGCTATTAAAAAATTCCGTTTGAAAACTTGTGTAGTCTTTAAAACCCTTTGAGAACCCTTTTTATAATTATAAAAAATCTCTGCCCGACCATGCCATAAGCACATCAAGTGGCGATGGCACCGGATGTTCGCGAAACGCGTCATAACGTTTTATGTTAATCAGGATAAGATGCTAACATTCATCAATGAAGGTAGAGGTGACAGTGAGTGAGTGAGTGGGTGGGTGGGTGAGTGAGTGAATGAGCGAGCGAGTGAGTATAGTTTTATGCCGCTTTTAGCAATACTCAAGCAATATCACGGCGGGGGACACCAGAAATGGGCTTCACACACTGTACCCATGTCGGGAATCGAACCCGGGTCTTCGGCGTGACGAGCGAACGCTTTAACCACAAGGCTACCCGACCGCCCCCCGAGGTGACATTGACTGCAGCATATTGCAAATACTTAAAACACGCGGCACGGCAGCAGTTCAGTACTCGCTTATGTCCTGGACTGGGTGCTGGGGGCATTGTTTAACGCCGGTTTTATCATCGCGGTGAACATCAGAAATGAGCTTCACGTATTTTAGCTAGGAAAGAAATTTTAACAATTTTATGTTTTAAACGTACTTTCCATGAAGCTTAGGAAACGGACCTAAAATATCTCTTGCTGGCGTGCAGGACTTTGAAAAGATATTCTTAAAAGCATTGGTATTAATCTGCGACTATGTACCCTGGCTGAGGAACGTCTCTTAAAGTGCTAAAAGTCCTATAAGTAAATATTAGATCGAATTTTTTAAATCGATCTCCCAGGGGTAAATCTCCAGGGCAGATCACTTGCACAAAAACTCTTGATCTTGAAATATGTCTGACATGTGTATTCTGAGCGAGTCTGAAAAAACCCGTCCGGAAACTATCCCTTATATCACAAGAAGATAAATGTGTTTTCCGAGTGAGTGGCTATGTACAACGCGGCTTGGTTCAGGGATTTCAGCTTGAAGTACGAGTGATGCAGGTCATAGACGTGTACCTCTTTGGTGAAACCTACAAGTACGCGTATGGTGCTGACAAATCTGGAAACATAATCAAGGGGCGGATCTGGGATTCGAACCCACTAATGTTTTTTAGGTGGAGGTGAACTGACACTAATGTTGTTCCTGTGAAACCGGGGTAGAATAGGTCTTCAGCAACCAATGCTTGCCGTACAAGGCGACTATGCTTGTTGTAAAAGTCGACTAACGGGATCGGGTGGTCAGGCTCGCTGACTTGGTTGATACATGTCATCGTATCCCAATTGCGTGGATCGATGCTCATGATGTCAATAACTGGATTGTCTGGTCCAGACTCGATTATTTACAGACCGCCGTCATGTGGCTGGAATATTGCTGGGTGCGGCATTAGACAACAAACTTGCTAAGTACTGACAGGGATATAGCACGTCATGATAGAGCATTAAATGTGTAAAGTCTGATTATCAAACCCGCGGTATCTTTGAAGTAAGCTGTAAGAGAAGTCCCTTTTCATTCTGAAGAAATCTGACACAAGGGAAGCAACTCATGGTCATGCTTCCCATAACTGCACGGATAACACTGGTCAACTCCAAAGTACATGTCCTTCCCATTTATAAACCAGACTATACCTGTGTCTTACATAGGAAATACTGTCATCTGGAATACAATTGTAGATCTTGGTGCTGTTCACATTAACTTAGGAATGGTTTCCACTGAAATGTCGTCCATTTTCTGTGAAAATCTTATCCCTGAAAACAAATAAACACATCTAAAACACTGTCGTCAAATATATGTCAATAACTCGGTGCTAGGTGTAAACAGCTTGAATTAGTGGTTGATTGCCACTAAGGGAGACAATTGATGAGACGAACTAGAGTCACATACACAATACGGCGCTTGAGTTTGTGAGGAGGCCAATTGCTGTGGGTGAAAAAAGCCTTGCCTTGTAAGTGAATGAGTATTGTTTTAAGCCACTTTTATCAATTGACAGTATCACGTCGGGGGACACCAGAAATGAGCTTCACACATTGTACCGATGTGCGGAATCGAACCCTTGCGTGACGAGCGAACGCTTTTATCACTATGCTACACAAGAAGCAGTCAGCATAGATTTGGTATGAATCTTTGCCTTCAAAAGGTCAAACGTCAGAATAAACAGTCTCGAAACATATAAAAGGTAAATTAGTGATGAAAGCTTTTTGGATCAGTGGAAAACTATATGGAAGACCAGTGATGACTTCAGGCGTTCATGAAATGGATCAGCATGTTCTGCTGTACCGCCCCTCACACGATTTTCATAAAAGAGAAGTTTTGTTTGTTGCCTAACGCCGCTTGTCGTGATTAGGCAGGTGGCCAGAGGGATGACACACTGGCGGTTCACTGGGTGAATGAAAGAGTTTCCGGGAAACACAGATCTTAGATGTGGCTTCATTTGGGTTCTTACCCCATGTCATGAATACATGCTCATGTAATTTGCATATAAAAATGGCGAGTAACCTTTACATTCCTAACATACCACTTCCATATAACCATTACATCTCCAACATACCGCTCCTATATAACCATTACATACCGCTTCTATATAACGATTACATCCCGCTTCTATATAAACATTACATCCCTAACATACAGCTTCAATAAAACCATTACATCCCTAACATAACGCTTCTATATAACCGTCACATCCCTAACATACCGCTACTATATAACAATCACATCCCCAACATACAGCTTCTATATAAACATTACATCCCTAACATACAGCTTCAATAAAACCATTACATCCCTAACATAACGCTTCTATATAACCATCACATCCCTAACATACCGCTTCTATATAACCGTCACATCCCTAACATACCGCTTCTATATAACCGTCACATCCCTAACATACCGCTTCTATATAACCGTCACATCCCTAACATACACCTTTTATATAACCGTCACATCCCTCACATACTGCTTTTATATAACGATTACATTCCGCCTCTATACAACCGTTACAGGCCTAACATACCGCTTCTATATAACCATTACATCCCGCTTCTATATAACCATTACATCCCTAACTTACCGCTTCTGTATATATTACATCCCGCTTCAATATAATCATTACATCCCGCTTTTATATAACCGCTACATTCCGCCTCTGTATAACCATTACATCCCTAACTTACCGCTTCTGTATAAATATTACATCCCGCTTCAATATAATCATTACATCCCGCTTCTATATAACCATTACATCCCTAACATACCGCTACTATATAACGATTACATCCCGATTCTATATAAAAAAATACACCCCTAACATCCCGCTTCTATATAACCATTACATCCCGCTTCTATATAACCATTACATCCCGCTTCTATATAACCATTAGATTCCGCTTCTATATAACCATTACATCCCTCACATAGCGCTTCTATATAACGATTACATCCTGCTTCTATATAACAATTACATTCCGCTTCTATATAACAATTACATTCCGCTTCTATGTAACAATTACATCCCTCACATACCGCTACTATATAACGATCACATCTCGCTTCTATATAACAATTAAATCCCTAAGGTACCGCTTCTATATAACCATTTCATTCCGCTTCTATATAACCATTACATCCCTCACATACCGCTACTATATAACGATTACATCCCGCTTCTATATAACAATTACATCCCTAACATACCGCTTCTATATAACCATTACATTCCGCTTCTATATAACAATTACATCCCTTACATACCGCTTCTATATAACCATTACATTCCGCTTCTATATAACCATTACATCCCTCACATACCGCTGCTATATAACGATTACATCCCGCTTCTATATAACCATTACATCCCGCTTTAATATAACCATTACATCCCTAACATACCGCTTCTATATAAATATTACATCCTCAACATAGAGCTTCTATATCAATATTACATCCCCAACATACACCTTCTATATAATCATTACATCCCCAACATGCAGCTTCTATATAAATATTACATCCTCAACAAAGAGCTTCTATATGACAGTTACATCCCTAACATACAACTTCTATATAACCATTACATCCCTAACATACCGCTTCTATATAACCATTACATCCCCATCATACTGCTTCTATATAACCTTTACATCCCTAACATAACGCTTCTATATAAACATTACATCCCGCTTCTATATAACTATTACACGCCTAACATACCGCTTCTATATAAATATTACATCGCGCTTCTATATTACCATTACATCCCGCTTTTATATAACCATTACATGCGGCTTCTATATAACCATTACATCCCTCACATACCGCTTCTATATAAATATTACATCCCCAACATGCAGCTTCTATATAAATATTACATCCTCAACATACACCTTCTATATAAATATTGCATCCCCAACATACAACTTCTATATAAATATTACATCCCCAACATGCAGCTCCTATATAAATATTACATCCCCAACATACAGCTTCTATATAAATATTACATCCCCAACATACAGCTTCTATATAAATATTACATCCCTAACATACCGCTCCTATATAAATATTACATCCCCAACATGCAGCTTCTATATAAATATTACATCCCCAACATACAGCTTCTATATAAATATTACATCCCCAACATGCAGCTTCTATATAACCGTTACATCCCCAACATACAGCTTCTGTGTAACCGTTAACTGCTTCTGAACGATGCTGATGCACTCCCGTACAGGAACTGTTGATAACATTGCATGTGTTAGTGGATAAATATGAGGTGAAATGGGGTTTAACGTCCGGGCGGACGCTCTACCATTAGACCACGGAGGCGGTCCGGATAAATATGAAAGAGTGAAAGTGAGCTACGTTATAACCAGTGACAGGGTATAAAGTGGTGATTCGTCATAGTAATTGTAAATTCTATATGATATTTTTTATGGTTTAAGGGTTTAAAGTAAATCTTGGATACGTTCGTCCGAGACTAATGGCGTAAGTTGATGATTACATTATTTAAATTTCCCGAAAGGGGAGTTATCTCCAAGTGGTATGTGATTTTGTGCTATACCATAAGGTATTTTTGACCGTGCCGAATAACAAATCACAGTCACTGTGACAATAAAACAAACGCTTAGCCATTGTGCTACCCGGTCTTCCCTTGGATCTAAGGTATTTGTAAATTTATAACAGATGTCAATCTCATTAAAACAGATCTTACATTTCGCTACCGCTAAACAAAGATCTGAGGACATCCCATTACGGGTAACGTCAGAACGACCTTTCGCGAACTTTGACCGGCCAATGAAATCGACATAAGCCAATCAGAAGGCAGTTTTCTCGAGCTTTACGACACTAGTTTCAAACTGGCGACCACGCTTCGAAACATATTTTGACGTATCCTCGATTATAATTTTTTAAACTAATAAAAAGAACAGCCTGGAATGGCTAATAGATGGTCTAGATTGTATGAATACAGACATAAAGCCCACTGTCGTTCGGAATACCCTGTGTTAAGTATTTCGAGGATGCATGATTAGAAACCACATTCCGACTGTCACTTTCATGATCTGGTAAGCGACGCTCTGATAAGTTGGATGAAAGGTCGTTCTGACGTGACCCGTAAAGGAATGTCCTCAGATCTTTGATCTGATCTTAATGAGATTATAACAGATGTATATATACTATTGAAAGCTCACAGCCACCGGGGATACCTGATATTGGTACTGAAGAGTACTATTTGTGTCTCCTGTTGTGAGTTGATTTGTTTTAAGTTGACAAGACGGCCATGCTGATCTCTTAGGTTTGGAGTCACGATATTGTTGAAAGTATTTCTTGGCAATTAGTTAAACAGCAAAAAAACTTTGCTATGACTGTTCCTTAAAATGTCTGATTCATGTGCTCAGACATCAGTCGCAGAACTGTCACATGACGATGATGTCATGCTTATGCCATGAGGTCCTCTCGTCTCGCTCTAAGCGTTTCTTAGAAAATCTAGACTGGTTATTCTCTGGCATTGACATTTTATATTCACTTGAACTGGGTCAATGTTTCTGCTGGTGGACTGAAGTCCCCGGGTTTCACCATAAGCTCAGTAGCGTTTATCTGTGCTGAGTCAGCTAGAAAAGAAATGTTTGGGCCGAGACTTTAAAACTGCGCCCCATTATGTTGCAAAAGGAATATATTTCTTGACATTTTTCTTTACTTATAAGCAGCAAAATCTCTGCACTTGTACAGCAGACGTAGTTCAAAATTGGCACACCGTTTTTATTATTTTCAACCAAATCAGTAATGTTACTCTCGTGTCACTGGATATTCTGGTTCATCGATCACTTGATTGTCTGGTTTGTTTACAGGCTGATGTCGCAAGGCAGGAGTACTGCTGTGTTGTTTTAGGCAATAAATACTTTCTTATTATGCAAATTGTTTGAATGGCGGGTGCTACCGGTAGAGCAGGACATGCATACCCTTTTCGTCATCACTGACCAGTGGTCCATTCATATAACTTCCAAAGCTATTTGCCCTTTACGCCAAGTGGAGGGGCGGTGGTTAGCCTAGTGGTAAAAGCATTCTCTCGTCACGCTCAAGACCCGGGTTCGATTCCCCACATTGGTACAATGTGTGAACTCATTTCTGGTGTCCCCCGTCGTGATATTGCTGGAATATTGCTTAAAGCGTCGTAAAGCCGTACTTACTCACCCACGCCAAGCGGAATCTGTTTCGGCAGATTATCTAGGCTGGTTATTCTCTTGCATTGACCATTTATATTTACTCCATATAAGCATTGGTATATATATACTGCCTGCTGACGATCACTGCCTGCAATTCAAGGATATACGTACATGTATACATCAGCTTTAGTGCAATGTCACAACGTCTCTTACATCGGCAAGAATGTCATCCCTTTTCATGTTTATTATACTTTGGATACAGGACAGAAAAATTACAAACCCCTGTGATCTAAATATTATATGTCTCCATATGTTTCCAGACTCCTAATGCGGATTGTCCCCCCAGCTGGCAATAAAGTTATGTACGACCTCTCAGCCAAGTTTGGCTGCCACCCTGGTGACGTCAGCGACCTACTGCGGACAGCTAAAAACCTTGATCTTGACGTTGTAGGAGTAAGGTCAGTCGCTTGGTTCCTCCCTGTCCACTCTCATTAAACACATATCTTTATCTCCTACTTGTGTGAAGATAGGACAACCCCTCCATAAAAGGTGAGGTGAAATGGGGTTTAACGTCGCGTCCAAGATTATTGCACTTATATTGCGACGTGTGTGTGTGTGCGCGCGCTCGCGCTTGTACTAGTCCGGACTGATGCCGATTTATAGTGCTAGCTCACTGACCAGTCCTTGTTTTAAAAGACGTTAAAAGATGGTACTTCTTGTTTCCCTGTCTGGCGCTCGGCATTAAGGGCTTGAAACAAGGACTGGTCGGTATACTGTGTTTGAGTGGGGTATTCATGTTAAACTGCGGCATGGTATCTCAGTGGGCTATACAATCGGGACCGCGTCCGTGATCTAGTGGTAGAGTGTCCGCCCGGAGAGCGGAAGGTCCGGGGTTTTATCCAGGCGCCAGACAGGGGAACAACAAGTACCATCTTTTAACGTCTTTTGGTATCCATCCATAGAAGGTCGCGTCAGGTGTATCTTAAGCGATCTTGGACCACTCAAACTAAGCATGAGTCTGTTATTGAGTTAATTATTTGCCAGCTTTCTATACCAATTGGGCTTCGTTTTATTACCACTTCGATTCGGAAATTTCAATTTTAACAAAAGAAAACATACACATAACATCAATATGCCTCCGATGGTACTCTGTGTGTACATGCCATGCCGTTTTAGAAACGACCGGGTGTATAAAGTCTCATGAACATGATGGAGCGGCCTGTATTATTTATATTCGGAACTGGCCGCTTAACTTCGTTTATGCTGGTCTGATTGTGACACTCATTCGTACAGAGAATTTCGAAGCCTAAGCGCTGATTGGTGAGGCTATAACATTTTTGCGTGGTGAGGTGTCATATCGGAGAAAAAGATAAACATCATGAGAAGTGAGCTTTTTCTAATAAACGAATATTGTTATTTCTGGGCTATGATTGGAAACTTACTTTTCCTACCAAATCACTCCACCACTACTTTCTTCTGATGGGCTCTCGTGTGAAAAACGAGTCATTAACCTCCTTTAGCGTACAATTTTTTCTTACCTGTGGGTGAGAAACCCATTTGAGAGAAGTTGTATCAAACATTCCTGAGATCAATTTCCAGATTTTAGTTTGCGTATAACACCAAGATTACTGCACTCGTGCCTGACATGCACCAACTATTTTACAACTCGTTTTAAAACGAGTTCTCTCGCGTTGTAACATAGTATATGACAGCCACTCGTGTTGTCATCTACGACCTTTATGAAGAACCTTGTTCGATGTTTCTGCTCCAAACATAACATCATTATTAAACTGATCCACATCTTGCTAGACATCGTTGCCAGTATTCGTGACCAACTCGTGTTATTCCAACTTTTCTAGACTTTCAAAAATTACTGAACAATATTCCAAAGAGTTGGAGATTTCAAATCAGAGACAAAACCCTTGATGTTAATGTAGTTCAGCTGAACAATATATGTAAACACTTCTTTAATAACGTTAAAAAATCAAGGACTTTTTATGATGAACTAATTAGGAAGGATACTGTACCGAAATCATTAGAACACTTGAATATGTTTTTTTCCTCAAGGTTTGGATTCGAAAGATATACTTTTATGTTATAGAAAATGCACGCGCGATTGTAAACTTTTAGATTTTCAATATCGATTTATAAACAGAATAATTTACGCTAAGAAAGAATTATTCAAGATGAAACTTGTCGATGAAGATATTTGTACTTTCTGTAAAACTGCTTCTGAAGATATGTCTCATGTATTTTCGATTGCCAATCTGTTCAACAATTTTGGCTTAAAGTTGAAAACTTCCTAAATAACAACCTGCAAACAAATTTTATCCTTTCGAAACTTAATATCTTTTTTGGTATTTCCACTCAAAACCATGTAAAAAATCATATTATTATATTAGCAAAAAGATTCATCTACATATCAAACATTAAACAACAAGATTTATCTTTCGAGCAATTTCTTTCACTACTAAAAGACATAATTTGTTTGGAAAGTTTTATCGCTAAAAAAATAATCAATTTAACCAATATGCTCAGAAATGGCAAAACTTACATCTCATAATCTAACAAAGCAGTTGAAACATACTACCTGTTAATTAGTAATCATCTATTTCTTGTAAACAAATATTTATAATCTCCCTCTCAGTTTGAGAAGACGACATATCCTACACAACCTGCCTGTCCTCACCTATGAAAACTATAACTTGTGTTAATACTGTCATATATATACATGTTAATACCTACACTTGTAACAATATACATGAAATGGAATAATAATAAAAAAGATTTTTAAAAAAAAAATCAAAAAAAAATCGTGTTATTCCGGACAAGCCGAATAGCGACTTCTCCCCTCTCGTGGCCATTTTTGCGACCGGGTTCCGTCTTAGCGCAAACGGGCATACCAAAACTAATTGTCAACTCGTCGCGTAATGGTTCACATATATTTCCCCATATATTATATATATTTCAGATGCAATTTAAAGCACATCTGGACGTGCGGAATTGTACAGTATGATTGAACACATTAAACTGTGCCTTGGGTATATTTTTAGATGCAAGACATATGTAAAATCAAAAATTATTTCTGAGAGATTCTTTGACGAAGAACTTGAAATCATGCGCGCATTCTGATTGGTTTGTCGTATTTTCGAACATAACATTCATCGATAGGGGGACGAGTCTTCTTGCAGGATACGGAAAGAGGCGAGTGGTGACGAATACGTTGCCAGTATTCGGTATCCGCGCTGGTTAATACATGACATTGTCTCTGCTTTCCTATGTGTCATCCTCGCCACCAGTTTCCACGTGGGCAGCGGAATAAAGGACCCGGAAGTGTTCGCCACGTCACTGCAGAGAGCCAGCAGTGTGTTTGGGATTGCAGCGAAGATGGGATTCACTCTACATACTCTTGACGTTGGCGGAGGTATCTACGGACACAGAGGAGCACCAGTATCTTTTGAAAAGGTACAACATCTTGTCTGTCCTGGTCCAGATGGCGTAATAAATTAGGTGGATTCAGGAGTTTGGGAAAGGAGGGTGCGCATCCTACCCAAGTAGGAAATAGAACTTGGGTGGACATGTGATAGGGGGCTGCCACAGTTGCCACGTCCCAATCACAAAAAATAACTGGTATGCACGCACGCACGCACGCACGCACGCACGCACCCACGCACGCACGCACGCACGAACGAACGAACGCACATGGTAAATGAGTTCACTGATAGCTATTTTATTTCCAGGTTGCCACCGCCTTGAATAGATCTCTAGACGAGTTCTTTCCCGTGAGCTCCAATGTCAAGGTCATGGCAGAACCGGGGCGGTTCTTTGCAGCATCGCCTTTCACCTTAGTGACAAGTGTGATTGCAAAGAGGAAGTGCACGGCCGTCGTTGGGGAAAGAGATCTAAATGAGCGTGAGTGACTGTTAAAATTATACCACAGTGGCCTGTAAAACACCGATTCTTACAAGCAAATCGGAGGCTCACACCATGAACATGACTCCTGGAAATAAGGTTCCACATTGTTATGACCCGAACCTCAGCTCTTATGACAAGCAGGTGTTTTGGGACCTTGCTGGCCCAGACTTCCCTCGAGTGAGATCTGCAGCACAGCGCATGCACAAATACGCTTTCTCGTTGTTGTGAGATTACGTGGTGAACGAGTGATAGAGTGTGGTTTTACGCCGCATTTAGGAATATTCCAGCAATATTCATGCCGAGAATCGAACCCGGGTCTTCGGCGTGACGAGCGAACGCTTTAACCACTAGGCTTTCTCTCGTTGTTCAGCCGTTGGCCTTGCTATGTTCTCGGGTATTTTACTGTTGACTGATAACGTTCGGTTGCCATGCCACCGTTTTTATACCCTTGTGTACACGAATATCATGCTTCACGTGCATTGGGAGCAGGGATGGCACGGTCGTCTAAGGCGCCTCAATTCGCTGTGCGAGTTGCGTCCCTTCGACACACAAACCAGACTCTGATTTCGAATCCCGGTTTGCAGAGGTTATGTTTTTTGGTTTGTCAGCACCATACGCGTGCTCATGGGTTTCACCAAAATGGTAAACGTCTAAAGCCTGCATATCTTCGGGCTTTACTCCCACATAAAGCTGACACGCCATGATATAACTGGAATAATGTTAAAATCAGCGTTAAACCAAACTCACTTACTGACTTAACGTGCATTGCAAGTTGTCTTCTCAACGTCATTTTACTCATACAGCATCACCCAAATACAGCAACGAAGTTCTATTTGTTACGTTCTGTAAACTATCTATATCTCAAAAACAAATTCTCGGTGTACTTTCTTTTGATCATCAGTATATTTCAATTTAATGAAATTAATAATTTGTTCGGTGATTATTCAAAAATATCCCTTAATTGATGCCAAAAAGTAATTGCAAAAACACCACAATGGAATTGACATGTGTACACGACTGGTTTATATTTATTGTATTCTCAGTGAAGACTTTGGACCCGGAGAAGCCCCGTGACGTCACCCCAAGATATATGTATTATATAAATGACGGTGTATATGGATCGTTAAGCTTCGTTCTCTCAGAAGACACTTGCATGATACCTACATTAGTCAAGGTGAACACTTTATGTACAAAACCAATAAAACCAGATTAATAATTATTCCCACTGCATAACTATAAATTATAAAGTAATACCAATAATATGTCATTTGGATAAATGTAAACGATGAGAAAGTTTTATCTAAGATAAATATATTCAATTGTATTTTCTAAGGAATTCATTCTGTAGTCTATGCCCGAGATCGCACGTTTTGTCTGTTTAAATAATTTCACAATTAATGGGAGGCAGTGTACCCAAATATTACATGCAACGATTATTGCGATTATTCAGAAGCTTTCTATTTTATAATGACTTTAACAAATATCTGCTCAGAAAATAATTTGATCATTGGTATAACCATTTTGGCCTCAGAGAAAAATGAATCTATTTCGACACTAACTGACCTGTGCAATGTGAAGGGGCTATTACCGTGGAAGCGAATTTTCTTTTCCGTCATTTTTGTAAAATGCTTTTCTAATTTGAGGATGACCATAGTTTCAATGGGCAGAATTAAATGCCATAGGACCTTTTGTGACAGAAACCCGTAACCAGTGAATCCGGTGATCGTGGGTTCGAATCCCAGATGTACCTGTGATCATGGATTTCTCCAAACTGATAAACCTCCAAAAAACGGTCAATTCGAGCTGTCCATTCCGACACGCTATGCAATAACTTAAATCCTGTTTAAAGTTCTCAAAACTGCGTTAAAACCAATCACTCGCTCAGTGTGAATTTGACTCTATTATGTATATGGTTATGTCAGGTACCCGCTAGTGACGTGACCTTCACCTCCAGCCTGTGGGGTCCGACATGTGACGGCAGTGACTGTGTCCTGAAGGAAGGGCCTCTCCCCGAGCTCCAGATCGGGGACTGGTTCTACTTTGAGAACATGGGCGCCTACTCTCTCAGTCTCCACTCACGATTCAATGGAATGGCTGTACCTGAGGGTCATTATATGTGCGAGGAAGAGATCTGGTAAGCTGAATGGTACCAACTTATACCCCATGAGAACCCTGTTCAGAATAGGTCCACACAACTGTTTGTCTTCAGATGCTGCTAGATCAGGGCCCACTTGCACAAAGCGATCTTAGCGCTAAGATGATCGTAACTCCCATGCTTGCATGGGCTTACAATAGTTGTAGCGCTAAGGTCGCTTTGTGCAAGTGGGCCCAGGAGTCAGGCTTTATGACAGGTTGTTGTGATGCCGCTGGAAACGTGCTGCACAGCGAGATGGGAGATGAGCCCCGATGCCTGATACTGGGTTTCAGTTGGTAGACATTAAGATATTAGTAGCGGGCCTTCCACCGATTCTCGCTAAACGCGGTTACAAGATATCTGTGGATGGTTTAACCTTTAGCCGTCCTGACACTTAAATATTTGTTCGAAGAATTTCTTCTCGGTTGTAACTTATCTGTACGTGGTTGAACAGTATTCGTCATTGGAGAGATCCGGTGGACTGTCATGTGTTCAGCATTAGAACATCAACTTCTCATCAGTTTTGTCAGTGTTACTGCAGAAACAGATCTGGGTATACACGTGCTACCAACTAGGTATTTGCTGTGTCTACAAGATTCAGTCGTCTTCATCCAAATTGTGCGGATAAGGTTGACCTTAAGTTCCTAAGGAGAGGATGGTTGGACCCTTTACAGGACAAATAACACTTCAGTTTAACTTTGCAGTTAAACTCACATCAACCTGCTTATGCTCCTATGATGTATTGCAATATGTATTGGTTAAAGCACGAGGACCTGGGCCCACTTGCACAAAGCGATCTTAGCGCTAAGACTATTGTAAGCCTATGCTAAAGTATGGGAGTTACGATCATCTTAGCGCTAAGATCGCTTTGTGCAAGTGGGCCCTGGTGTCTAATCCTTAAAAGGGTTAGTTAGAGTCAGATTTGTCATTATGGTCCATGGTCCAAGTGCTCTAACCTATTAAAACCATGTGCGCAAATTCAGCACCTAAAACGCTTAAAAAACATTTTCTTGTTAAAGTTATTTTGAATGATATTCAGGAACCCTTTCGCACGTGCACCCCTCTTTGCCGACTCGGGGTCTGAAATGCATGACCCAGGAACTTATACTATTCATTTTGTACCTACTCGAGCACATTTATCAATCACCGAAACATTACTTACCCATGTTGCTGGGTCTATTATGATCAAGCATAGCCGTCATCAAGATAATAGTAATTTCGTGTCCATCTGTTCTTTTCGTTGAACGAAAAGCTACCAAATCATAAATGCATGCATAGAGTAATGATAGGAAAGAAAAGAAGTTCCGTCATTGCCAAGTGGTGTTTAACTAACATTTCAGTTAGTTGGAGCATCGTGAAAGACAAAGGAGCCATGTTATAAATGTATGTTATTTCTTTTCAGGGAAACGGTTTTTGAAGGGAGCAAGACAGATTGATGGATATAAATAAGATCATCTAGTTTCTCCTGATTTCCAGTTGACCAAGCATGGTGTTTGTATCGGTTTGTCCTATTTAGAGAAACACATGTCACGTAGAGATATAAATCAGTGTCCATCTACCGCTCAACCATACTTGAGGTTCAACACAATATACTTTATATATGTCTCAGATACATGACCAATTCATTTTTATGCAGCCCTATCAGACAGTTTATAAACTGGAAAGTAGAAATTGGATAACTATCACGACAAGTGGATGGCTTTGGATGAATGATACCATTAATGTATTTTATCACGTGGAAGCTCATATTATTGGTTCTACTTTCAATTTCAATATTGAAATAAATCCTTAATGTTGTAAGAAGTTGGTATTGCGTTTTTCATATTTTGCTCTTTACCTTTGAAATTTGAAACTTGATTAATATGTCGTAAATGCAACGATATCCCATCGCTGCCATTCTGAAGCATTAATGCAATGAAGCCGAATCGACGCCAACAGTTGAAGTGGACGGATCTTGCCATAATCATAGCATTTCAACTGTCAACAGTCACACTGTTTGTATGTTGTATAAAGTCGATGGATATTCCCCTAATGCCAATCGCAAGAGACATTTGTCAACATCGGTTGCCCTCTCACAAACAGATTCAATGAATAGTCTGATAGAGGGATTCACTGGCATGTACAGAGAGAGGGATTCCGTCAAATTCACAGATAGAGATTCAATGAATTTACAGGTATAGGGATTCAATTACATTTACAGAGGGATTCAGCGTCATTTACAGACATATTGATTCAGTAACATTCACAGACAGTGGGATTCAGTGACGTCTACAGACAGAGATTCAATGAATTTACAGATATAAGGAGTCAATGCCATGTACACAGAGATGGATTCAGAGGGATTCAGTGACATTAACAGACAGAGATTCAATGATTTCACGGGTACATGGATGTATTGGCAGGTACAGACAGAGGGATTCCATGACATTTACAGAGGGATTCAGTGACATTTACAGACATATTGATTCAGGAACATTCACAGACAGAGGGATTCCCTGACATTTACAGGGGGATATTCAGTGACATTTACAGACATAGGGATTCAGGAACATTCACAGACAGAGGGATTCCCTGATATTTACAAAGGGATTCAGTGACATTAACAGACAGAGGGATTCAGTGGCATTTACAGAGGGATTCGCTGACATTTACAGGCAGATAGATTTAGTGACACTCACAGACAGAGACATTTAATGACATTCACATACAGAGAGATTCAGTGACATTCACAGACTGGGAGAATCAATGACATTTACAGAGGGATTCAAAGACATTCACAGTGGGATTCGGTGGCATTCACAACCAGATGACTTGACTTTGCGCTGAAGTTGTATTTTTACCCATACCCTTTCATTCTGTCCTACTACATTAAGGCCCTTCTACTTTACAAGTCTTTAGTTGACCTCAGACAGCAGATCATGTTGTCAAGCCAGACATGTTAATCCAAGGGACATCACTCCACATAGAACGTCATTCCCGAAGAAGGAAGATCGTTTCAGATTGTCGGCGAGGTCAGACGAGCACGTGTTGTCAGTATCTCTCTCCGTTTTTGTTGTATGGGGTCAGATATCGTTACATTTCCACGTTTCTTGTTGAAATAGGATTAGTATATCAATAATAGGTTTATATTACAGTCAGGATCTTACTGGTGGCTTATCCTGTTACGGTGTTAAATTTTCGTTGTAGCACGGGCTTCTCTCGCCCGACGTGGTTGGTTTTAGTTTTGGCTGACTGTTTTGGCGAGCTCGTTGTTAAATGGAAATCGCTTCAATATGGATAGCGATAGTGACGAGAATGGCAATAATTCAAATGCAGTTGTCTTTGAAGAAAGGTCCACTGATGCATATTTTGCAGAACGTTACATCAACATGGTATAAAAAGACCCCGAAAACATCAAGACATAACTCACACTGAAACTATCATTTCTGATGTGACCATTAAATTTGTGGTGCTAATTTTGACAGTTGACCCTAAATAAATTATGTCCAATATCTTAATTCTTTGGCTCCAAAACGGTGATGTTGAATTCATAATAAAACTTGAAATTGGTGATCCTGTGATTCATTGTAAAACTAGAAATTGGTGATCTTGTGATTCAGGCAACAGTGTTGTCTCCCCTCCACCCAGTATGGCTCCACGTGCGATACGTACTACACGAAGTCCCAAACATACTAGTGTTCCATCTGCTGTTCCACCTGCTGTTCCTGGTGTGCATGTAGCTGTCAAATACATGGGAATAACATTCGACAAACACCCAACTCCCCTAGCTCCAAAGGCTTCTTCACTATTGGTTCAGACTTCTATTTAGGTTCTACCCCTCAGACATTCATGACCGTTTTGTCCGTGGTTATTGCCCAAATACTTCAAAGCGAGAGCAAAGAAGATCAAATGTCAGCTGCTCATATCTATTTCCTGCTGCATCGTGTTGAAAAGGTATTATGGATAAATCTCTTGTTTCATTACTATTTTGTAAGTCAAGAGCATGAATCGGTGGCACCCGTCACAAACACATGCACATCTGAAGAATGTCCGTTCTTCTTATGTACTGGATTCCAAGAAATCCATAAAATCCGTACAAAGAGAAATATATTGCATGGTCCAGCAAATCATGAATGGTCCTGAATACAATCAAGGAAGGGCTTTCTTTATATTCACTCAAAGTATTTGAGACAAGTGGAATTAATATCATGTGGATTCTTAAAAACTCAAAGGATTTGCTTGACATTATAAAACCGTAGAAAAGAGCCTAGATCAATTCTGTCAAAACATTTTTCAACTTTGCAGACCAAGACGAACTTGAGGAAAATTTCATTCCTTGAGGCTTTTGTTACAAAACGTGGTGACCAAAGATACAGTTACATATCAATCTTCAGAGGTTCAGGTAAATTTATCAAAAGCAAATGTCATCTGAAGTTTACTGAGAGAAAAATATGCGTAATGCTCAACTTCGTCATTGCTAGTATCTGCGTAAGCTTTGAGTGTAGGACAGGAAAAAAGCACCCATCATGGGCTGCAATTGTGGTGAATGGAAATGTCTGCTCGGTCGAGCAAGGTCAAAACACTTAATTTGGCTAAGAGGTTTAACTGAAGGTTCCGGTATATGAATGATCTGGTATCGTTCAATAATAATCAAATCCCTTTGTGAGTGAGTGAGTGAGTGAGTGAGTGAGTGAGTGAGTGGGTGGGTGGGTGAGTGGGTGAGTGAGTGAGTGAGTGAGTGAGTGAGTGAGTGAGTGAGTGAGTGAGTGAGTGAGTGAGTGAGTGAGTGAGTGAGTGAGTGAGTGAGTGAGTGAGTGAGTGAGTGAGTGAGTGAGTGAGTGAGGTTTTACGCCGCTTGTAGCAATATTCGGCGTGATGAGCTAACGCTTTAACCACTAGGCTACCCGACCGCCTCACCCATGCAACATGAAATCACCATAACAATGTCATCAAAAATGTGTGAAGCCCATTTCTGGTGTCCCCCGCTGTGATATTGCTGGAATATTGCTAAAAGCCGCGTAAAATCAACCTCACTCACTCACTCACTCACTCACTCACTCACTCACTCACTCACTCACAGTCGAAAGACCTTTTATTTTTCATTGGTTAAGATCCAAATATTTCGGCCTCAATGTCAATGCATGTACTCGAAAAAAAGAGAAACAATATTTTACATCTCCAGTTTATTACTGCTACTGATAAATTAAAACCAAACTCGTAGGTCATGCCATCACGGAAGTACGATTGCGAAACGATACGGGCTGATAATTGATTGTGTTTTTGTTGTTGGTTAAAACAAAGATCTTTATACGTATTATTCACCATTTCTTACGAACAGAGATGATAAAATCTCAGGTGTGGTGTTTTTATTTCACCTAATTTTTTTTGTCAAAAGTCATTTTTTGTCTAAGACTGGTTTTTTTGTCTCTAAAACCATTTAAACAAATATATGGCTTACCTGCTACTACGATTATTATTGTTTTTAGGATAAGCTTGTCAGAACAAACGTCGGATATGAATACAGATTACATAAGGAATAAATGAGTGGGTGATTAAGTTTCTGTATATATATTATATCACGGCATGTTAGTTTAATGAGTGAGTGAGTATGGTTTTTTTGTTTTTTTTGGGGGGGGGGTTTATGAAAGGGACATAATTCGTGTTTTGTTGCAAAGCGGAAAAGGGAAGGATGCTTCCAAAGTCAAAATCGAATTAAAAATCTGAAAATAGATAGGGAAGGAAATATGGCCTAATGAGAGAACAACAAAGAGAGAGATTAAACTACTATATTCAAATGTGAACAGAGAACCATCGTTTTCAACAACCCGGCACACAATGAATTAGTATCTATATTCACAGAATTTTATGACAATTCTAGGGAAGTAAAGCTATGTTAATTGCGACGGATAACCAGTTATGAGGCAGTAAAAGTGTATGGAATAATAAAAACGACTATGTTTTAATGTTATTATAATATAATGTCCTATTAAGAAGATTAAGAAGATCCGACTGATGATACCCTTTTCTGTAACTTGATTGTAAATTGAGGTCCCTTTAGGTTACTTGTGAAACCTTCCGGTATTGTGACTGATTTTCACAAAGAGAAGCAACTGTTGTGACGTCTTAATAAATGAGTGAACCTTCAGCGACATTAAAAGCTGACAAGACCGTAAGCAGACACACATTGTGTGTAGCTACATAGGGTGTGGGTTACATTAGGACACACATTGTTTGTAGCTACATAAGGCGCGGGTTACGATGAGACACCGTCAACTAGGACACACATTGTGTGTAGCTACAAAGGGTGCGAGTGACGATGAGACGCCATCAACCAAGACACACATTGTGTGTATCTACATCAGGTGCGGGTTACGATGAGACACCGTCAACCAGAGTACCTATTGTATGTAGCTACATAAGGTGCTGGTTACGATGAGGCACCATCAACAGGACACACATTGTATGTAGCTACATAAGGCGTGGGTTACGATGAGACACCGTCAACCAGGACACACATTGTGTGTAGCTACATAAGGCGCGAGCTACATAAGGCGCGGGTTACGATGAGACGCCATCAACCAGGACACACATTGTGTGTAGCTACATAAGGCGCGGGTTACGATGAGACGCCATCAACCAGGACACACATTGTGTGTAGCTACATAAGGCGTGGGTTACGATGAGACGCCATCAACCAGGACACACATTGTGTGTAGCTACATAAGGCGCGGGTTACGATGAGACGCCATCAACCAGGACACACATTGTGTGTAGCTACATAAGGCGTGTGTTACGATGAGACGCCATCAACCAGGACACACATTGTGTGTAGCTACATAAGGCGCGGGTTACGATGAGACGCCATCAACCAGGACACACATTGTGTGTAGCTACATAAGGCGCGGGTTACGATGAGACGCCATCAACCAGGACACACATTGTGTGTAGCTACATAAGGCGTGGGTTACGATGAGACGCCATCAACCAGGACACACATTGTGTGTAGCTACATAAGGCGCGGGTTACGATGAGACGCCATCAACCAGGACACACATTGTGTGTAGCTACATAAGGCGCGGGTTACGATGAGACGCCATCAACCAGGACACACATTGTGTGTAGCTACATAAGGCGCGGGTTACGATGAGACGCCATCAACCAGGACACACATTGTGTGTAGCTACATAAGGCGTGGGTTACGATGAGACGCCATCAACCAGGACACACATTGTGTGTAGCTACATAAGGCGCGGGTTACGATGAGACGCCATCAACCAGGACACACATTGTGTGTAGCTACATAAGGCGCGGGTTACGATGAGACGCCATCAACCAGGACACACATTGTGTGTAGCTACATAAGGCGCGGGTTACGATGAGACGCCATCAACCAGGACACACATTGTGTGTAGCTACATAAGGCGCGGGTTACGATGAGACGCCATCAACCAGGACACACATTGTGTGTAGCTACATAAGGCGTGGGTTACGATGAGACGCCATCAACCAGGACACACATTGTGTGTAGCTACATAAGGCGCGGGTTACGATGAGACGCCATCAACCAGGACACACATTGTGTGTAGCTACATAAGGTGCTGGTTACGATGAGACGCCATCAACCAGGACACACATTGTGTGTAGCTACATAAGGCGCGGGTTACGATGAGACGCCATCAACCAGGACACACATTGTGTGTAGCTACATAAGGCGCGGGTTACGATGAGACGCCATCAACCAGGACACACATTGTGTGTAGCTACATAAGGCGTGGGTTACGATGAGACGCCATCAACCAGGACACACATTGTGTGTAGCTACATAAGGCGCGGGTTACGATGAGGCACCATCAACAGGACACACATTGTGTGTAGCTACATAAGGTGCGGGTTACGATGAGACGCCATCAACCAGGACACACATTGTGTGTAGCTACATAGGGTGCGAGTGACGATGAGGCACCATCAACAGGACACACATTGTGTGTAGCTACATAAGGTGCGGGTTACGATGAGACGCCATCAACAGGACACACATTGTGTGTAGCTACATAAGGCGTGGGTTACGATGAGACGCCATCAACCAGGACACACATTGTGTGTAGCTACATAAGGCGCGGGTTACGATGAGACACCGTCAACCAGGACACACATTGTGTGTAGCTACATAAGGCGCGGGCTACGATGAAACACCTTCAACCAGGACACTCATGTGTAGCTAAATAAGGCGCGGGCTACGATGAGGCACCATCAACCAGGACACACATTGTGTGTAGCTACATAAGGTGCGGGTGACGATGAGACAACGTCAACCAGGACACACATTGTGTGTAGCTACATAAGGCGCGGGTTCCGAAGAGACACCGTCAACCAGGACACACATTGTGTGTAGCTACATAAGGCGCGGGTTCCGAAGAGACACCGTCAACCAGAACACACATTGTGTGTAGCTACATAAGGCGTGGGTTACGAAGAAACACCATCAACCAGGACACACATTGTGTGTAGCTACATAAGGCGCGGGTTCCGAAGAGACACCGTCAACCAGGACACACATTGTGTGTAGCTACATAAGGCACGGGTTCCGAAGAGACACCGTCAACCAGGACACACATTGTGTGTAGCTACATAAGGCGCGGGCTACGAGGGCCACCATCAACCAGGACACACATTGTGTGTAGCTACATAAGGCGCGGGTTACGATGAGACACCGTCAACCAGGATACACATTGTGTGTAGCTACATATGGCGCGGGCTAAGAGGGCCACCATCAACCAGGACACACATTCTGACAACCCGATCCTCAGCTTTCGGCTCTCACTACAAACATGAGATACAGGGAACCTTTTCTGCCACTGAATCCCTTTGCAATGGTAATCGGTTTCTAAAGTCTTTGACACCTTTGTTACAGGGAAGTAGCTCATTTCATGCCCAATAAAGGATGCACCCTCAGCAACATAAAAGATGTGAAAACCTTTACAACACAAACTTCTGTTCGTTAAACTAATGCATGGTCACTATTTCCGCATCATAATGCTGTCAAATGCAGAAGGGGAAACTATTATTACCGCTAAATGTTGTATTTTGGACAAAGATGACTAGTCCTCGGGGATGTATGCACGGAAGGTGAAACACTGGCTGTGTTACAGAAGAAGCAGCCGCAAAGTACTCGTAGTTCACGTCTCTGGTGCTGAAGCTGATGAAGGTAGTGCTCCATCTTTGTTTCATACATGGATATTTGCTCATGGCTTTATGATATCGTCACGTTAGCAATTCATATACACGTAAACCCGTGATAGGTCTTCAGCAACCGATGCTTGCCGTAAAAGGCGACTATGCTTGTCGACTAACGGGATCGGGTGGTCAGGCTCGCTGACTTGGTTGATGCATGTCATCGTATCCCAATTACGCGGATCGATGCTCATGATGTCAATCATTGGATTGTCTGGTCCAGATTCGATTTATTACAGACCGACATCATATAGCTGGAATATTGTTGAGTGTGGCGTTAAACAACAAACAATCAAACATAAACACGTGCTTGTGACAAGTCGGTGTCAATAGCCTCTGCTTTCAGCATGAAACAACAGAAGCCAAATGATTTTTCTCGATTTGAGATATGCCACCGTCTGAACATATGCTGTCAAGGTGGTGACAGTCAGTGTAAATGCCGACATACTTCATTATGTCCAAGATTATTGCACTTATATAGCGACGTGCATGCACGTGTGTGTGTTTGTGGCTGCTTGTACTAGTCCGGACTGATGCCGATTTATAGTGCTAGCCAACTGAGATACCATGACACAGTTTAACATGAATATCCCAATCAGACACAGTATACTGACTCCCGAGTGAACAGTCCTTGTTTTAGCCAAATACATCTTTTAACGTCTTATGATATAACGCGGCCGGGTGTTGCTTTATGTGTTTAAGGGGTCGCCTTCTGCCTCAGATATTTCTTTTGACATGTCCTTCTATGGGACTCATGTTGTGTTTCTTTGTTGTTTAACGCCAAACTCAGCAATATCCCAGCTATATGACGGCGGTCTGTAAATAATCGAGTTTGTAGCAGACAATCCAGTGATTGACATCATGAGGATCGATCCACGCAATTTGGATACGATGACATACATCAACCAAGTCAGTATACTGACTCCGAGCCGACAGTCCTTGTTTTAACCCCTTAATGCCGAGCGCCAGGCAGGGTAACAACAAGTACCATCTTTAAACGTCTTTTGGTATGACACGGCCGAGGATCGAACCCCGTACCTTTCGCTCTCCTGGCGGACGCTCTACCACTAGACCACTTAGGCGGTCACTTAATAAACAGAGACTTGAGTCTTATTGAAGGAAAACTGCGGGTAATTGGTTTTATGAGTATATAACTACTGCGGAGTACAATAGAAATTCAACCCATTTCAGAAAGTGTATCCATATCATAACGTCGTTCCACAAAGCAGACGGACAAAACTCAGATAAACAACTTACAAATTATAGCATTTGGGATGTTTTCAGGGGTTATCTAGTTTCCGTAAAATACCCCGACAGGACCAGTGACAACCACGGGGACGGCTGAATACCCATCTCTTCATATATACTTATAGTAAGCAACATCGGTTACATTAGGCCGAACGATGTATACAAGTTTCATAAATTTACGTAAATCAACAACAAGCGCACTTAACACAAAATTCACTTTAAGTGTTTGAATAAAAAAATTGAATAAAAAAAATAATATATCAATCATATCAAATATCATAAAGTCTCACCAGTTTTATGAATAAACGGTTGTATCTAAATCTTATAGTTCACTCTAAAAATATTTCAGATGTTGCCTTGTTGCTCGCACTTAACGAGAATATGCATTTTATAACAAATTAGATAATGCTCGGAAATCCCAGCCGGGGTAGCTCTATAGTGATGATATGTCCTACACGCGTTTGTATGAGGCGGAAGGATATTTGAATTTTCCTTGTATGACTAACCCATTCGTGTTCCCTGCTTAACATTGGGATGTTTGAATGCTTTGCTGTGGTTAATACTTGTATCATTGCAATGACGCGTACGTGCTACGGTAAAGGTACTTCCTTGTTTGAGTAGCCCAACGGTAGAGTGTTCGCTCGTCAAGCCGGCCAGGGTTCGATCCCCATACGAGGGCTCGTCAAAAAGTTAAACAAACTTTATTATGGGCCATAACCAAGGTGCGCTAGTTAATGTAGTACATTGTTTGAGTAGTTCATTGCAAGTGTATTTGGTCTCTTGTGGCCGTTTGTATATTAGTGAAAGCCAGTTGAACGTGATAGGGCTCCAATTGGACACAGAAATGGAAAAGAACGAGTACCGAGCAGTCACGTTTTGGACTTTAGAGAATAGTACTACCTAAGAAATTCATGACCGCATGTCACAAGTGCATGAGGATAAGTGCCCTAGCTACCCAACTGTTGAACGTTATGTTTAAGGCTGGGAGAACAAGCCTTGATGATGACCCTAGGTCTGGACGTCCCTAAACTTACATCCATAAAGACCCGTGCTCATGGGTTTCACCGAAGTGGTAAACGTCTGAGACCTGCATCACTTCGGGGCTTTCCTCCCACATTAAGCTGACACGGCGTCATATAACTGGAATACTGTTAAAAGCGGCGTTAAACCCAACTCACTCACTCACTCCATCCATAAAGATTCAATCAAGGAGATAGTAAACATATGCTGTCAGATAGGCGTATTACCATTGCTGAACTTAAGGAAGACACAGGTCTAAACCATGGATCCACTGAAAACTAATATTCATGAACATTTACATATGAATAAGATATCTACTCGTTGGGTGACAAAGTTTCAAAATTTTGATCTTGAGGCAAAAAGAAATGACACTACGAGAGACAATTTAGAGCTTATTGAGGAGGATTTTGTCAAATTAAAAAAAAAGATTAGTAACGGGTGATGAAACATGGGTGTACCAATTTGATCCCGAGTCAAATCGTCAATCTATGGAAGAGCACCACCCTACTTCTCAGGCACCAAAGAAACTAAAGTCTTCAAGATCAGTGAAGGAGGTTATGGCCACTGTATTCTGGGATGCAAAGGGTGTGATCCTTGTTGATTACTTAGAAAGTCAAAAGACGATTGTCGGTGCCTACTATGCTGATTTGCCTATCGCCTGAGACATTATATTAAAGAAAATCTACGAGAGATGCTGACTGCTGGAGTTCTACTACTTCATGACAATGCCTCTTCTCACAGCTCTCGACTTGCAAAGGCTGCTGTGCGACAATGTGGGTTCGAAAACACATTCACAATTGTTGGTTTTGTTAGAACTTTTGACCAGCCTTCAAAGACACTACATACACACAGCGGGGGCACGGGTGGCCCAGTCGTCTTAGGCGCCGCGATTCGCTATGCAGAGCTGCGTCCCTTGAACACGCCAGAAATCTATGATTGTGGGTTCAAATCACGATTCTCCCCGATTATGTTTCCAGGTTTGTCAGCACCACACCCGTGCTCGTGGGTTTCACCGAAGTGGTAAACGTCTGAGATCTGCATCACTTCGGGCTTTCCTCCCACATTAAGCGGATTTGAGAGAACTATTAGTCTATTTATTATGATACAGACTTGACACAAGCAGACAAGATGGTACGTTTTCTTAGCTATGGACCCATCGACAATCTATAAACACCGCCCACATCGGTATTAGGTTTCCCATAAGAATGCACCGATACACTTGACTGTGATCTGTTGCAGGTAACCTGGCGCATGTACCCCTCCCCTCTCCAGCATACACGGTATGAGCTGCTGTGGAGACAAGGCTGTACATGGAACATCCCTGTATTGTTTATCATCCAGGTCAACGCCGTGTCCATGGGGATAGAATGCAGGTCACGTGGCTCTCTACCTTGTCCGTTGTAATCATCCTGATTGGTCCAAGGATCCCATGCAGTAAGATTTAATGACGTAATGAGTGAGTGAGTGAGTTTGGTTTTACGCCGATTCTAGCAATATTCCAGCAATATCACGGCGGGGGACACCAGAAATGGGCTTCACACATTGTACCCATGTCGGGATTCGAACCCGGGTCTTCGGCGTGACGAGCGAACGCTTTAACCACTCGACCGCCCCTACTGTACTTGAAATTAGCTGGCCAGCAAAAGCAAGTGTACGCTCATGTGGGTTTTAGGGTGGCAATAATTATACAAACAAGAAATGGTTATTCGATGGTGATGTATTTGATACGGGTATCAGAGGCCATACTGCTTGCATCGCATCAATGATTATGTCACAGCAAGTGGCTGTGTTTAGCCAAGTAACGTTTGTCAGTTTTAGATTTAATCAAATTTTCAAGTGTATATTTTCTTTTCCCCGGAGTAATCGCTCTGTTTATCTTTAACATTTAGTAAGATATCAGAAACAACATATTTAATAAGTGTAGAAAGTGTGCATTGTCCAAAGGGCGATCACAGTTACTTTGCATGTATTTTGTATTAAGAAATGTGTTATATCATTTTTAACAATGTATGTGTGTATCTATGATTGTTCTACCAATTTATATCACAGCATCCCCAACAAGCACACCATGCAGCAACTGTGACGGTAACAACGTGACCTGTGTTGACGGTGTGTGTCCACCTCGCTGTGTCAATGTGTCGTCATCTGGAGAGTGTCTCCAGTGTCAGGACTCCAGGTTCTATGGTAAACAGTGTGAACATGACTGTCCAGACAACTGTCTCAACTCTCGCTGTCTGATGAACAACACCCGTGTTGTGTGTACAGAGGGATGTGTGGCCGGCAAGAAGGGAGATAACTGTGGAGTGAACTGTCCTTCAGCCTGTACACAGTGTGAACGTTATGGTGATGGTTGTACAGGACCGTGTCAGAATCCCCGGTATTACGGTCAAAACTGTAGCTCACCTTGTTCCTCCAGCTGTACAGATGGATGTAATAGGACCACGGGGGAATGTGGCAGCTGTGAGCCAGGTTACACAGGGGACAAGTGTGATGTTACCTGTTCTACCAACTGTAGAGATGGATGTGATAAAGACACGGGGCAGTGTGACAGCTGCGTCTCGGGTTACAGAGTGAAGAACTGTCATGACACATGTCCCCCCAACTGTATAGATGGATGTGATAAAGACACGGGGGAGTGTGGCAGCTGTGAGCCAGGTTACAGAGTAAAGAACTGTAATGACACCTGTCTCCCCAACTGTAGCGATGAATGTGATAAGGGGATCGGAAAGTGTGAGGGTTGTAAACCAAGGAACAATGGGAAGTACTGTAATATCTCCTGTCTTACCACCTGTGGGGAAGGATGTCATCAAGACGGTGGATGCATCTTGATACGTAAGTTGTACACATATTATTTTATTCATTTCAATCCGTCATTGGAATAAACACATCGAAAGTAGTTATGTTGTGCACTTGTTGGTGTCACAAAGAGAGAGGGCTGTGACAGTTGTGATACTAGAAATACGATAGGGATTATTTTGTGTTTCTCTGTCTTTACTTTGGAATACGGAAACTGATTGAAGAGGGCCATATCAACATAAAGTCTACATGGAATAATCCGTCCCGATTCCGGGTTAGAACGTTATGGTGATGGTTGCACAGGACCGTGTCAGAATCCCCGGTATTACGGTCCACACTGTAGAACACCTTGTTCCTCCAGCTGTACAGATGGATGTAATAGGATCACGGGGGGGGGGGGGGGGGGGGGGGGGGGGGGTTGTGGCAGCTGTGAGCCAGGTTACACAGGGGACAAGTGTAATGTTACCTGTCCCCCCAACTGTAGAGATGGATGTGATAAAGACACGGGGGAGTGTGACAGCTATGAGCCAGGGTACACAGGGGACAAGTGTAATGTTACCTGTCCCCCCAACTGTAGAGATGGATGTGATAAAGACACGGGGGAGTGTGACAGCTGTGAACCAGGTTACACAGGGGTTAAGTGTGATGTTACCTGTCCCCCCAACTGTAGAGATGGATGTGATAAAGTCACGGGGAAGTGTGTCAGCTGTGAGCCAGGTTACACAGGGGTTAAGTGTGATGTTACCTGTCCCCCCAACTGTAGAGATGGATGTGATAAAGTCACGGGGAAGTGTGGCAGCTGTGAGCCAGGTTACACAGGGGACAAGTGTGATGTTACCTGTCCCCCAAACTGTAGCGTTGAATGTGACAAAGACACGGGGACGTCAAGTGGTAAAGTTGTAATCTACGAAAGCCCATTAGGACCATATTAGTATTTTAGTTTTTTTCTCTTTTAAAAGTCGTAATTACGGGAATAAAGTCGTAATTACGAGAGAAAAATCGTAATTACGACTTTTGTTTTCATAATGACGACTTTATTATCATAACTACGAGTTTTGAAAAGAGAAAATAACAAAATACCAATACGGTCCTAATGGGCTTTCGTAGTAATCGCTAATATGAATGATATCCGTTTTAGCTTATTGTGGTTGGTAGACTAAGTACACTTCTGTGCATCATACGTATACTTACTGCTGTTTCTATAACGATGAATGAGGCCAGATTCAGAACAAGTGTGACTGCATCAGGCGGTTCACACGGGGGTTACCTGCGAGAGTGGTTGGCGGGTGGGGCGCATTGTGACGGGTGTCGGTGGGTACCGGGTGTTATTGTGACTAATACCTGGCGAGTTACAAGGAGTTGTTGAGGAGGGCGTTACGGGGACGTAAAGTGACAGAGGTGTATAGTGTGAATGTGATGAGAGCCGGGTGAGTTGTGACAGTTATGGCCGGTTACAGGGATGTATTTTTACAGTTATGGTCGGGTTACAGGGATGTATTTTGACAGTTATGGTCGGGTTACAGGGATGTATTGTGAGAGGTAAAGTCGGGTTACAGGGATGTATTGTGTCAGTTATGGTCGGTTCACAGGGATGTATTGTGACAGTTATGGTCGGTTTACAGGGATGTATTGTGACAGTTATGGTCGGGTTACAGGGATGTATTGTGACAGTTATGGTTGGTTCACAGGGATGTATTGTGACAGTTATGGTCGGGTTACAGGGATGTATTGTTACAGTTTTGGCCGGTTTAAAGGGATGTATTGTGACAGTTATGATCGCATTAGAGGGATGTATTGTGACAGTTTCAGTCGGGTTACAGGGATGTATTGTGACAGTTTTGGTCGGTTTACAGGGATGTATTGTGACAATTATGGCCGGGTTACAGGGATGTATTGTGACAGTTTTGGTCGGTTTACAGGGATGTATTGTGACAATTATGGCCGGGTTACAGGGATGTATTGTGACAGTTTTAGTCGGGTTACAGGGATGTATTGTGACAGTTATGGTCGGGTTACAGGGGATGTATTGTGACAGTTATGGTCGGGTTACAGGGATGTATTGTGACAGTTATGGTCGGGTTACAGGGATGTTTTGTGACAGTTTTAGTTTGGTTACAGGGATGTATTGTGAGAGTTTTGGTTTGGTTACAGGGGAATGTATTGTGACAGTTATGGTCGGTTCATAGGTACGTATTGTGAGAGTTATAGTCGGGTTACAGGGATGTATTGTGACAGTTATGGTCGGTTTACGAGGATGTCTTGTGATAGTTATGGTCGGGTAACTGGGATGTATTGTTACAGATTTGGTCGGTTTAAAGGGATTTATTGTGACAGTTATGATCGCGTTAGAGGGATGTAATGTGACAGTTTTAGTCGGGTTACAGGGATGTGTTGTGACAGTTTTGGTCGGTTTATAGGGATGTATTATGACAATTATGGCCGGGTTACAGGGATGTATTGTGACAGTTATGGTCGGTTTACGAGGATGTATTGTTACAGTTATGGTCGGGTTACAGGGATGTATTGTTACAGTTATGATCGCGTTAGAGGGATGTAATGTGACAGTTTTAGTCGGGTTACAGGGATGTATTGTGACAGTTTTGGTCGGTTTACGAGGATGTATTGTTACAGTTATGGTCGATTTAAAGGGATTTATTGTGACAGTTATGATCGCGTTAGAGGGATGTCATGTGACAGTTTTAGTCGGGTTACAGGCATGTATTGTGACAGTTTCTGTCGGTTTACAGGGATGTATTGTGACAATTATGGCCGGGTTACAGGGATGTATTGTGACAGTTATGGTCGGGTTACAGGGATGTATAGTGACAGTTTCTGTCGGTTTACAGGGATGTATTGTGACAATTATGGCCGGGTTACAGGGATGTTTTGTGACAGTTATGGTCGGGTTACAGGGATGTATTGTGACAGTTATGGTCGGGTTACCGGGATGTTTTGTGACAGTTATAGTTTGGTTACAGGGATGTATTGTGAGAGTTTTGGTTTGGTTACAGGGGAATGTATTGTGACAGTTATGGTCGGTTCATAGGTACGTATTGTGAGAGTTATAGTCGGGTTACAGGGATGTATTGTGACAGTTATGGTCGGTTTACGAGGATGTCTTGTGATAGTTATGGTCGGGTAACTGGGATGTATTGTTACAGAATTGGTCGGTTTAAAGGGATTTATTGTGACAGTTATGATCGCGTTAGAGGGATGTAATGTGACAGTTTTAGTCGGGTTACAGGGATGTGTTGTGACAGTTTTGGTCGGTTTATAGGGATGTATTATGACAATTATGGCCGGGTTACAGGGATGTATTGTGACAGTTATGGTCGGTTTACGAGGATGTATTGTTACAGTTATGGTCGGGTTACAGGGATGTATTGTTACAGTTATGATCGCGTTAGAGGGATGTAATGTGACAGTTTTAGTCGGGTTACAGGGATGTATTGTGACAGTTTTGGTCGGTTTACGAGGATGTATTGTTACAGTTATGGTCGATTTAAAGGGATTTATTGTGACAGTTATGATCGCGTTAGAGGGATGTCATGTGACAGTTTTAGTCGGGTTACAGGCATGTATTGTGACAGTTTTGCTCGGTTTACAGGGATGTATTGTGACAATTATGGCCGGGTTACAGGGATGTATTGTGACAGTTATGGTCGGGTTACAGGGATGTATAGTGACAGTTTCTGTCGGTTTACAGGGATGTATTGTGACAATTATGGCCGGGTTACAGGGATGTATTGTGACAGTTATGGTCGGGTTACAAGGATGTATAGTGACAGTTTCTGTCGGTTTACAGGGATGTATTGTGACAATTATGGCCGGGTTACAGGGATGTATTGTGACAGTTATGGTCGGGTTACAGGGATGTATTGTGACATGCATGTTCGGGCTACAGGGATGTATTGTGACAGTTATGGTCGGGTTACAGGGATGTATTGTGACAGTTTTAGTCGGGTTACAGGGATGTATTTTGACAGTTATATTCGGGTTACAGGGATGTATTGTGACAGTTATGGTCGGGTTACAGGGATGTATTGTGACAGTTTTGGTCAGGTTACAGGGATGTATTGTGACAGTTATGGTCGGGTTACAGGGATGTATTGTGACAGTTATGGCCGGGTTTACAGGGATGTATTGTGACAGTTAAGGTCGCGTTACAGGGATGTATTGTGACAGTTTTAGTCGGGTTACAGGGATGTATTGTGACAGTTATAGTCGGGTTACAGGGATGTATTGTGACAGTTATGTTCGGGCTACAGGGATGTATTGTGACAGTTATGGTCGGTTCAAAAGGGATGTATTGTGACAGTTATGGTCGCGTTACAGGGATTTATCATTCTATTATGGGCGGGTGTCAGTGAGCCTGTCCCACTCCTCTTGCAGCGCCTTGCCATGTTCAGCCATCGTGGTCGGCGGCCTATGACGTTGACGTACACGTCTCCCTATAATGTTCCAGGCAGTCCATGGATGGCGTTGCTGGAGGTGGGAATTTGAAATCAGTGAACGGTGATCGAGGGCGTTCTCGTCCTGAAAATTCCTTGCAAAGGGGACAACAAAAGGTGTCAGTATGTTGACCCGATGGTACAGATGGTACCTTCTTTGCACAATATGGAGTGGGGTTCGGTCGGTCATAGTGACACCTGAGATCTCAGGTTGACATTGGCTTGAGGTTCATTTCGACGTCGCAAGACACGACCACGCCTATCAAGGAAGTGCAAAGTTAATCACTAATTGACAGGAATAATGGTCCACAGAGATTAATCGACCTTCCTTTAAAGTGTCAAAATCAGGAATGACATCTACAGATGTGTTTGGCGCTACGGTGTGAGGCACGTGTAAACTGAAGGTAGTGGTTTCAGACACAAACGTTCCGTCACAGGATGTTATCTTCGTTCTTTAATACTTTGTATTTACATTTATATTTCATGTTCCCCTAAATGTATAATTTGCTTTTTTTCAACAGAACAGAGTGTAAACTAGTTTGCACTTTGTACAGTTCCAAATGCTATTGAAGGAGGGGCAAACATTCTTCTGACTAGAGGGTCTAGAGGGTCTGGAGGGTCAAGAGGGTCTAGAGGGTCAAGAGGGTCAAGAGGGTCTAGAGGGTCTGGAGGGCTTAGAGGGTCTGGAGGGTTTCATTTGGCCTTCGTCCTTCTTGTGGACATGCCTGTAATGATGTCTTTGGCATGCCGGAAACAGACTCAAGACATTGACTGGCAGTTCGATGATTAGAAAGACTGCCAGCGTCCCAAATTTATATTTTAATTCATATGACATTGTTGTACATGTAGCAGGGCGTGGAGTCATCCCACAGATGACATCCTTACCTTGTCAGCTTGCTGATTGGGTTAACCTCTTTGGTCATGTGGACAAGGCGTCCGACCTCTGATCAGAAGGTCCGTGGTTCGAATCCCATCACGGGACTCGGAAATTTTATGGCCGCTACATACACAACAGCCCAGTGATCCTTGTGTGACGCCAACTCGTCGTAAACAGATACTTTCCAAATATTTTCATGTTTTTAATCAAGGTGCTCACGAGATTTGATGCACTTCGCGAAGTAAAACCCGTTTGATCACAATATAGGTTTTGATTACTGATCAGATCGCCTTGACTGGGCGCCGCCATTTTGTTTGAAGCAAATGCATGTGAACGAGAGGTGGAATTTGATTGACATTAGGAGAGACATAGAATGGACATAACTCGTAATAGCCACTGGTGACGCTACGATCGATATTTTCCAAATCTTTTTATATGTATAATCAAGGTGCTCAAGTAATTTGACGCTTTTTTGCGAGGTAGGACTCGTTTAGTAACAATATAGATCTTGACTATCGATTAGAGCGTCTTGACTTGGAGCCGCCATTTTGTTTGAAGTGATATGAGATGTGGAATCTGATTGGTCAATAGGAGGGACATAGAAGGGACAGCACTCGTAATAGCCGATCGAGTCACGAAATTCACGAAAATCCAGCCTAGTTCGGCAAGGATAGGAACTTGACTTTTATAGTCAGTTAGCTCCCTGGCCTCCGGAAGATGTGCAAAAGAATATGTTCAAACTAAATGCGATTGCCCAAACGATTTACATTTAATAGCATTACTTGCATATACAATGTAACAAACACGCAGACACATGTACACACACACGCAGACGCAGACACACACATACTCACACATACACACAAACGCAGATACACACATATATTCACACATACACACAGATGCAGAAATACACCTACAGAGACAGACGCAGACACACACATACACATGACGCAGGCACACACACACACACACAGATACGCACCCATACACAAAGATGAAGACATACACATACATATATACACAGACGCAGACACACACACACACACACACACATACATAGACAGACGCAGACACACAGACTCACACATACAATTAGACGCAGACACACACACAGATACGCACACAGAAATACATACACAGACGCAGACACACAGACTCACACATACAATTAGACGCAGACACACACACATACACACGCAGACATACACATACACACGGACGCAGACATACATACAGAGAGGGACACATAAGCGCACATACACACAAGCTCAGATACACACATAAGCTCAGATACACACATACACAGACAAACGCAGACATGCACAGGTAGACATACACAAACGCAGACACACACATACGCAGATACACACACATTTATTTTGCCATTGTCTTCCAAAGCTTTTGAGTCAATATATTTAGATACTGAATCACTGTTTAAATGACCAGCAGACAGCCACAGCTGTTAGCGAGAGGCCAATATATACGGGATATATTTGTGCATGTATTATGTGACTTGATCATGACCTTCAACTGGTATATAATGAACACGTTTGTTTCAGACACAGGAGCCAACGCTGAAGCCACGTATGTTGTACTTGTCGCCATCCCCATCCTCATCCTCGTTGTCATCGTGTACAGAAGGTGCGTGGTTCATTGTATTCGTGTATACACCGAGACTCCAATTAGAGAATACCACGCCCATAAGCAGAATAACATTAATAAAAGCCTCATTGGATGCTTTTCCGTTTACCCATTCGTGACCAACTCGTGTTATTCCGGGACAAGCCGAATAGCGACTCGTTTCCCTCTCATGGCCATTTTTGCGACCGGGTTCCGTCTTAGCGTAAACGGGCCTACCTAAAACAATTGTCAACACGTTGCGTTATGGTTCACATATATTTCCCCATATATTTTATATATTTCAGATGCAATTTAAAGCACATCTGGACATGCGGAGTTATACAGTATGATTGAACACATTTAACTGGGTCATTGGTATATTTTTAGATGCAAGACATATGTAAAATCAAAAATTATTTCCGAGGGATTCTTTGACATAGAACTTGAAATCATACGCGCATTCTGATTGGTTTGTCGTATTCTCGCGCATTACATTCATCGATAGGGGGGATGAGTCTTCTTGCAGGTTACGGAAAGGGGCGAGTGGTGACGAATGACCGTTTACCGTCAAGGCGACGTTAAGTAGGGACCATGTTATTGAGGGTATGTCGTTCCATGTTGGTCCCTGAAACCATTTATGGAACTTTTATCGTCAGCCCTATGCGTGTCACGTTCAACAGTACCCGCCCCGCAACGAAGAAGGGATCAAGCTTTAAGTTGTCTTGTTTATTTATCATCCACGCCCATCTTGCGGATTTCACGACATGCATAAGAATACCATGTACCTTTTATTTTCAAACAAAGGCGACGCAAAGGAAGACAGCAGAACCAAAAAGGAACTCCTAATCCAACTTACACATCGTGTTCGGGTAAGAATATAGCCAATAGAAAATCGATCTAAACTAATCGATGTGGTGTTAGTATGACTTTTGAGAGTTCCTTATACCTAATTTTGACCCAATCAAAGGATCTTGTCAACAAAGGAATAAAATGTATTTAATAAAGTTATTTGTACAAAATTTAATTTCCCACCATGTTTGAGGTCCAATTGAACACAATACAGTAAACTACGGTTATAACGAACTCAAAGTGACCACAAATTTTAGTTCGTAATAACCGTAGTTCGTCACAAGCATATATACAGCATAACTACAGCAAAAAGTCGGGACAAAAGGTAAGTTCGTTATATCCGTCAGTTCGTTATAAGCGTGTTCGTTATAAACGTAGTTTCCTGTATGTGCACGTGGAAGGTAATTCAGAACTATGCCTATTTCATGTGAAGTTTCATCATGGAATACCACTACATCGACTTCCTTGGCCTCATATCTGGACAGGACAGTGTTACAAGTGTCCATCCTCCTGAGGCAAGTCCAGTTTCCACCCTTGCCGAACTAGGCTGGAATTTCCAGGCTCGATCGTAGCGCCACCAGTGTCTATTACGAGTTATGTCCCTTCTACGTCCCTCCTTTTGACCAATCAGATTCTCATCTCATATCACGTGCATTGGCCTCAAACAAAATGGCGGCGCCCAATTAAGACGATCTGATCGATAAACAATATCTATATTGTAATAAAACGGGTCTAACCCCGCGAAGTGCATCAGATCACTCGAGCACCTTGATTAAAAACATGAAAAGGTTTGCAAAATATCTGTCGACACCCAGTCGACAGTACTCATGCTTTGCAAATCCTGCAGTCGACCGAAATCTGCATGTTGAAATCTATGTTGTTTACGAAACATGTGACTAGTTCGTTACGCGATTTTGATTGGACCATGCATAGACTCGTTAATGCAGCCAAAATGTAACTCCTGAATTCCAGCCTAGTTCGGCAAGGGTAGAAGCTGTACTTTAATAGTCAGTTAACGCCCTTGCCCCGGGGAGATGACAGGTGTCATGTTACTGGGATTTTACTGCATGTTATGGGATTTCGAAGTTACATACATGTTAATCTGCGTGTCTTCGTGACCGGAAATGTAAGACACATAACGAGAATTAACATTAGGATAAGACGAAAATTCTGCAAACGAATGTATACATGCAACCTAAGTGTGCATTCCGCACATAATAATCATATGTCCATCTTCCAGTCTATACACTAGGCGGGGACATGTGTGATGAGCTGAGCGGGGACACGTCGAAGGAGGTCATGGAGGGAGAGTTTAAAGTAGGTATACTTCAAGGTTCTGAATACATCTTCAACCGTACGGGGGGCACGGGTGGCCCAGTCGTCTAATTGCCGCAGTTTTGCGCCCCTTGGGCACGCCAGAAACCTATTATTGTTGGTTCGAATCCCGGTTCGCCCTGATTATGTTTCTAGGTTTGTCAGCACCATACCAGCTCGTCGGTTTCACCGAAGTGGTAAACGTCTGAGACCTGCATCACTTCGGGCTTTCCTCCCACGTTAAGCTGACACGCCGTGATATAACTGGAATATTGTTAAATGCGGCGTTAAATCCAACTCACACACTCACTCAACCGTACGATAAAAAATAATGTGATGCTATATGGCGAGTGGGTGGTCTGTGGTTAACGCTGCTAAAATTCGGAGGCTTACGTCCTTGGTGCAAATATGATGTTTATCAGCGAGGGGTCTTAACATAGGATGGATGTGCGATTCGAACCACACACCTGGGTGCCGTTGTGCGAAGCGATCTTAGCGCTAAGGTGATCGTAACTTCCATACCATAACATAGACTTACGACAGTCGTAGCGTTAAGGTTGGTTTGTACAACGGCACCCAGGACCTTAAGGTACATCCCTGCACATAGACTCCCTGATATATAGATCGGGGAGTGTTGTATGACTTGGCTGATTCTGTGTCTCAAATCCGACCAACTTTTGCCAAGTCAATATTCAAGCATTTTTCTCCATGACATATCACTGTCTGCGGCTTTAAACACCACTCGCATAAAAGCTATTATGTTTCTGTTTTAGAAACTGCCTTCTTCAAATATAAAACCAGTAAATTGTGCCTCCTTGGACGAAAACGAAGGGAAGAACAGATACAAAGATATCCTGCCATGTATGTAATTATATATCCTGCTGTACTCTTTATTTTGAGTCATTTTACAAAAGAAAATTATACTTACTTTAATCAATCTTAGATAGGTAGAATCTTGCGGTTCGTTATGGAACTTCTACTTTGAGTAAATGTTCGTAATTGGAGTTTATGGATATCTATAAATTGCTGATCCTTTTCGCGAACTCCAGGTGTCATCACTATTTTGTCAGCGATCCATAATTATATATTCACTGTTTGGGCTTCTGCGCCAAATCGGACCGCCTCCGTGGTCTAGTGGTAGAGCGTCCGCCCGGAGAGCGGAAGACCAGGGGTTCGATCTCCGGCCGCGTCATACCAAAAGACGTTAAAAGATGGTACTTGTTGTTACCCTGTCTGGCGCTCGGCATTAAGGGGCTAAAGCAAGGACTGGTCGGCTCGGAGTCAGTATACTGTGTCTGAGTGGGGTATTCATGTTAAACTGCGGCATGGTATCTCAGTGTGCTAGCACTATAAATCGGCATAAGTCCGGACTAGTACAAGCAGCCACACAAGCACACACACGTACATGCACGTCACTATATAAGTGCAATAATCCTTGACGCGACGTTAAACCCCATTTCACCCCACCTCACCTCTGCGCCAAATTGAGTCTGTTTTGGTGGATAATCGCGACTGGTTGTCTCTGGCGTTGACGTTTTCAATTTCACATTCAATTTCGAGGTTTAATCGTATCTAAAACATACAGATTCACACGGAGGACTTTTCTCTGATGTTGGTCAGCTTCATCATCCTATTTTCGAAATAGTCTCTATGTCACGTGCTCCTTAAAAGTAGCATCAAACAGACATGGCGGATAGATATCTGATAAAATGCATGTCCCATTTGCTTGTCCGACAAACTGCTACTGTTATCGCCGTTATTGCAGAGCAACAGTTCAATCCTGCCACAAAAACAGCATAAGATGTTATTTTTGGTATTTACAGTTGATGCTACAAGAGTGCCTCTTGAGATTGAAAATGAAGATGACAGCGACTACATCAACGCCTCTTACATAGATGTAAGTTATGAAACAGTTGAGTTTGGTTCTTATTAGATTTTGTGAGGTTCTTGTATTTACTGTGGTTCTCGTATTTAGTGTGATGCTTCTTTTTTAGTGCGGTTCTTGTATTAAGCGTGTTTCTTGTATTAAGTGTGGTTCTCGTATTTAGTGTGTTTCTTGTATTTAGTGTGTTTCTTGTATTTAGTGTGGTTCTCGTATTTGGCGTGGCTCTTGTATTTAGTGTGGTTCCCGTATTTACTGTGGTTCTCGTATATAGTGTGATGCTTCTTTATTAGTGTGGGTCTTGTATTTAGTGTGTTTCTTGTATTTAGTGTGGTTCTCGTATTTAGTGTGTGTTTTGTATTTAGTGTGGTTCTCGTATTTAGTGTGATGCTTCTTTATGAGCGTGGTCCTTGTATTCAGTGTGTTTCTTGTATTTAGTGTGGTTCTCGTATTGAGTTTGTTTCTTGTATTTAGCGTGTTTCTTGTATTTAGTGTCACAGTGGTTCTCGTATTTAGTGTGGTTCTAGTAGTTCTCATTAAGGGATTAAATCATTTTTAACATGAATACCCCACTCAGACACAGTTTACTGACTCTGATCCGACCAGTCCTTGCTTTAGCCCCTTAATGCCGAGCACCAGACAGGGTAACAACAAGTACCATCTTTTAACATCTTTTGGTATGACGCGGTCGGGGACCGAACCCCAGACCTTCCGCTCTCCGGGCGGACGCTCTACCACTAGACCACGGAGGCGGTCTGATATTTCTGGAATAATGCTCACAGCTCAACCAAGTCGCTTAATAATGTATTGGGAGTTATACAGTTACTCATGGAGACTCTCTCCCCCACAGGGATACATGGACCAGACCCGCTATGTTGCAACCCAAGGTACGTGGAGACTTTCATGGGTTTGGTAAACTACTTTCTTCCTCATCTCCACGCATATAATAACACTGCCAAAAGACATACTCGTGTCTATCCTACTAAGTGGACATTCAAATGGCTTCATAGTTCAATATGACTATGCCAATACACATGTCAATTGGAACAGAACAACGAATTTTTTTCGCTTTATATAGATATAGTTAAGAATTCACTTCAATATTTCTCGCGTTTACGGCAAGAAATATTGAAGTTACGTTTCTAACTCCAAACTCTAAACGCTAAAACATATTAAAGTCAATTCATTTGAATAAATACGTCAACAATAATAACTTGACAGACTGCTTATTTCACCATTAACACAAAAAAACAAAAGTACGAAATCGGTGACATCATTTAGCGCAATAATACAACACAAGCCCCGCCCATTCTATTATCAGCCAATCAAGAATCAAAAGTCCGCCAGTGGGCGTGATTTAATTATTTTTTGGTGAATTAAAACATAAGGACAGGACAGATCTCTTGGTTAATCAATCAAATGCCATGGAATGGCATGCAACGTATTTGCTATAGATAGCCTTGAAAACCTTTCTACAGGGCCCTTGGAACACACAAAGAACGACTTCTGGAGGATGATATGGCAACTCAACACCGCCAAGATTGTCATGGTTACTAACCTCATGGAGTCGGGGAAGGTCAGATTACATTATGTCAGCTTCTGGCAAAAAAATAATAATCAAGAAGTCCCCTACCATGAAGTGATGATATCGACGACGTTCATGTACAAATATATTTTGGACTGCCGATACAAACATCTTTACTCACCATGATATCATCACATTAAGTATTATGAGCAAATAATAGTACTACTACATTAATAACCCTATGTATATATATATCATGCATTCTCTCAGTTGAAGTGCTACAAGTACTGGCCATTCTGCAGCTCTGAGTCCACGATGTACGGCAGTATAAGTGTTCAGTGCGCGAAAGAGGAGGTCTACGAGACCTACACCCTCCGCTCAATGGCGATCTGGAAGGTAGGTGACCTACACACAGCGCTTCCTGTTCATATGGAAGGTAGGTGACCTGAAACACCCGTCCGCCTCCTGGCCATCTGGAAGTTAGGTGACCTACACCCTCCGCTCAATGGCGATCTGGAAGGTAGGTGACCTACACCCAGCGCTTCCTGTTCATATGGAAGGTAGGTGACCTGAAACACCCGCTGGCCATCTGGAAGTTAGGTGACCTACAGCCTCCGCTCCCTGAACACCTTGAAGTTAGGCGACCTACACCCAGCGCTTCCTGTTCATATGGAAGGTAGGTGACCTGAAACACCCGCTGGCCATCTGGAAGGTAGGTGACCTACACCCTCCGCTCCCTGAACCCCTAGAAGGTAGGCGACCCACACCCTCCGCCCCGTGGCCTGTGTGAACGTAGGTGACCTTTTGGAAGGTTCCTGGCCATATGGAGGATAGCTGACCTATTTTCTGAGCTCCCTCGACACCTGACCTTCTGGAAGATAGGTGACCTACACCCTCCGATTCTGACCATCTGCCATATAGTAGGTCGGGTAGCTTCAACCTCCAATCCCTGGCCATATACTCGTTGGGTTACCTACACCTTCCACCCACTGGCCATATAGAAATTGGGTTACCTACAAACTCTACACCCTGGCGATGTAGTCGTTTGGTTATCTACGCTCTCCACCCCTTGGCCACATAGTGGTTAGGTTACCTAGACCCTCAACCCCCTGGTCCTATAGTAGGCGGGATAGCTACACCCTCCACACCCTGGGCATATAGTAGGCGGGATAGCTACACCCTCCACTCACTAGCCATATAGTACAAATTATACCTACAACCTATGGATCCGCCCCTAGCAGTGTAATGCAAGTGAGCTCTCCGCACCGGTTGAAACGTTGCTGTTTTATGTCATTACAGGAAGGTACAGAGACAAGAATGATCAAGCAGTTCCACTTCACCCAGTGGCCCGACCACGGGGTTCCCAGTGACACTACAGCACTATTACACTTCCACAATGTAGTGAAGGACACGGCACTACCACTGTCAGGGCCATTAGTGGTTCACTGCAGGTAACAGATATTTATTCCAAATATCTATTTCACGTACAATAAGAAAAACGTATGTGTCTTATTAGTAGACAAACACAACTTAATCGTTAACGATGTCATTGCCCTTAACTTGTGTGGCGGCAGCATATGCTCACACCTGTCGTCAGAATTGGTAACTTGCAATGATTCAAGGTTCTTGAATTAATATATTTGAAATAGTTCTTCGGTCAAATGAAATATGGCTTTGACGTTTGTTATCAATATGTACGATCCACACATTTTACACAGTAATGGATTTGACGAATATGCAGGTTCGTTTTTGCTGAAGCAATTGATTGTGTTGAATATATGACACGTTTTAATTGAAAGCAACTTATTTTATTCTTTGTAAGACGTTTTAGAGCCACTTCTTGTTCCTTCATCAGGTGAATGGTGAAGCAAGAATGAGCTCTGAAATGACGCACATCAAAGAATTCATTGTGTTGCTTGTCCGACTTCTAAATGCCTATCAAAGTATTCATTGTGTTTCTTGGCCTATACAGTGCAGGTGTTGGACGGACTGGCACTTTCTTAGCGTTGGACTACTTACTGGACGAGGCGAGGAGCGAGGGTCGAGTCTGTGTCTTCAACTGTGTGCAACACTTCCGTAGGGAGAGGATGAAAATGGTTCAGACAAAAGTTAGTTTATTACTAAAAGATTACTAGAATGTCTGACTGAAAGTCCAGCTAACTTATGACATAGTCTGCCTTTCTGGCGTTGCATCTGCAGATCCGCCGTCGTATAGCTGGAATATTGCTGAGTGTGGCGTTAAACAACAAACAAACAGCATTAATCCCAAATCAAGGGAGGTTATTCGAATAAAAATCCTTCGAGATATGTTAGTTGCATGCATTGTTCTTTGTGAAACAAGGAAGAGGTACCAAGAGTGTTTCACGTTTTTGTTCACGTTTAAAACCACATCACGCCTTAAGAATAATATCACGGGAATCCTTTGACCACATACGTTACACAAGATTTCTCGCCTGTGACACTGTTGGTACAACCAGAGGTAGAAGGTGACCAATGGTTATGCATGCAGCAAACATTGCTGTGACGCCCCTCTACAGGGCAAGGTCAACGGTAGACTATGTTTTTCTTCCCATTTTACTTCCTAGAGTGCAGAAATTCAGCATAACTGTTTAGTCTCCACAATCGTTATAAAGTCAATAATATTATTACGTTACTTCTAACAGAAAACAAACGGGATAAAAATGTTCCAATGTTAATGCTGACATGGACTTTAAATTGCTGTCATTGACGACATTATCAAATGTTGACCATGTGTTTTACTTTGTCCTGACACTATTAATATCGGTGCAGGATCAATATACATGTTGTATTCCTGAAGTACAACCTTAACACTTTGTATGTTTATTCAAGAGACACGTTTAAATTTCGAAAGTTTGAGTTTGTGTGATGTATTTTCAGGAGCAGTATATATTCATACACAGCATTCTCCTGGATGCCTTGCAATGTGAACAGACCTTGACTCGTCCCATGGAGCCAGTACACATCCAGTGTGAGACATGCTGGAACCGGCTTAATAATACGCACAGGTGAGTGAGTGAGTGAGTGAGTGAGTGAGTGAGTGAGTGAGTGAGTGAGTGAGTGAGTGGGTGGGTGGGTGGGTGGGTGGGTTGGTGAGCGAGCGGGCGAGTGGGCGAGTGAGTGAGTGAGTGAGTGAGTGCGTGAGTGAATTAAATGCAAAATATTGTACTGTACAGCTGATTTTGATTTTAGGGTCAATATGGACATTTCATCCATTGACAGTGATGAAGAAGATGTTCTGTATGAAAATGTTCCCCATCACTGGGCACGTCAGCTTCAACAAAGAAGTGGAGATGCGGCCTCTCTCCCCGACGTCTGTGACGTGGTCTGTGAAACGATGCCCTTGCTGCCTAGTGAAACAGACAATACAAGCGAGGAGAGGAGCCCGGAAGAGAAGACGGACGACGAGGGAGGAAGGATGAGTTGGGTGTCGCCTCTGTTAGGTACAAGTGACAGGGTACAGGAGACAGGTTACGAGTGACAAGTCACTGTTTCGTTCTGCCACATATTCCAGAGTTCCTTCAATACATATTTTGTTCATACTGTGCGTGTGTAGTGATAAGCAGGGCAGTGGATCGTATTGGTAAATTTCGTTTAAAGTCATCCATATCTTGTATGTGTTTCTCATCGACAACCTTAACCAGCATGAGAGAGGGCGGACGAAATATGATAAAAAAAAGTTGGGTTTTTTTAAAACAAAATAAACTGATGTTGTGTAACTTATTCTATAACATTTTTAAAAAGTTTTAAACCCTTTGCTATCAGTCTTTAATAATTTATTTATGACGTAGATTGAGTTACTTTGCTTCAGTAACGAATATTAAATAAACATAGCTGAAGAAAGATCAATCTCATCTGGTTGTATTATAGACTTCAGTGTGAAAGACTGATTTTTCTGAAGTTGAGAAAAGTGATATTTTCATTGCAGTGAACATAACACTTGATATTTCACTGCAGTGACACGTTGACGGAACTATTGTTATACAAGAGTTACCTCCCCTTAAATTGTCTCCCTTTAGCGTAAATGTCAAGCCCGTACACAAACTGTTGACGTCCTTTTTACGTTAGTTCCACATTCAACAAAGCAAAATAATGACAGATGGTCTTTTATGGAGTCAATATAACTTCTTTGCCGTTTGTTATTCTCTCGAAAATGATTCGTTATAAGTTGTACATTTCTCATTTAACTCGTCAATCGAGACTGTTCGTTTCGCAAAGCGCCATTTTTGTTACTTGACCAGCGTGTATTCTTTCGCTTCCAACAGCGGTCTCCAGGTTTTCAAGAATATGTTTTGTTGATTTTGTATATAATCATATCTAAATGTATGATAAAAAAATTTCGTGACCCTAAATATTTTTGGATACTTTTGTATATATGTTTTAAGATTTTGCCAACACGAAACTACTTTTTAAATCGCAAATACAAGGGATGGTAAACCGTCCCTATGTGAAAGGTAGGGAGAATTTACGTTTCAAGGTTTTACATTTGTAATGAAATAATTTAATATTCCGGTAGATAACTGCACAAAAAGTATATAATAAATAGGATATTCCTTGTGTCTCGTGAAATATCATGTTTCTCTTATCGAGTGACTCGTACGCCACTCGTGAAAACATCTCCTTTCCCCCGTCACTCGATGAGAGATATATGGTATTTCACTCGACACATCAAATATCCTCTATTTATTGCATGAGAGTGCAAAGAAAGTTGTAACTTTTTGATATCACACCGGGGCTTATTTTTTCACAGCGGCGGGGGAATTTGATATACGAAAAGTTGTTATTACTTCACGTCGGAATGAAAGTTCAAAGCGGGTGGGATCTCAGACTAAATCCGGACATAGTGTAAGGAAACGCCCTTAATATGATCAGTATCCATCGAGTGCATAAGCTGCCAGTTGCGTTCAATGCAATATGTTCATTATTTTGGTGATATAAGCAGTTCTCTATTAAACCTAATTGTACAGATCATGAAGGGTGGATACATCTTTGACTGTCAATACAATTTGTACATAAATGGTGCTTATCAATGAATGATACCATGTTAATAAATGAAACTTACATCGATAACTCCAGGTGAGGTGAGGTGAAATGGGGTTTAACGTCGCGTCCAAGATTATTGCACTTATATAGCGACGTGCATGTACGTGTGTGGCTGCTTGTACCAGTCCGGACTGATTCCGATTAATAGTGCTAGCTCACTGAGATACCATGCCGCAGTTTAACATGAATAGCCCACTCAGACACAGTATACTGACTCCGAGTCGACCAGTCCTTGTTTTAGCCCCTTAATGCCGAGCAAAAGACAGGGTAGCAACAAGTACCATTTTTTAACGTCTGTTGGTATGACGCGGCCGGGGATCGAACCCGGACCTTCCGCTCTCCGGGCGGACGCTCTACCACTAGACCACGGAGGCGGTCCGATAACTCCAAATCACGTTTCATGTCCAGCGGTTATTCATACCTATGAAAGTTTTTTACGTTTTTTTATATTAACCATGCTATCATGTTAGTTGTGTTGATTTTGGTTAATCGTGATCATTTGCTATTATGTGTTATTATGAGTTATTCCTTCACGACCTTTCATACGTACTATGATTGTTTTGCATAATTGGCCTGTTAAAGCAAGTACATGTATGCTCAAAACAGATTTTGTTTTAATACTGATATCTCGAACCTCTATTCCAAGCTTGGGTGCGCTTTATACTTTATATCTATATTTCGAACTTCAGCTGTTACGAAGGGTTACCTAGATTACTGACCATCCCGGATTCCAGTTTGTTTAAGCTTGCTATATTTCTTTTCATTCTTCTTTGAATAAAGTGCTATTAAAAAATCCGTTTGACAGCTTGTGTAGTCTTTAAATAAATGTAAGCGAACCCTTTTTATAATTATAAAAAAAATCTCTGCCCGACCATGCCAGAAGCACTATCAGTGAGTGAGTGAGTGAGTGAGTGAGTGAGTGAGTGAGTGTCGGGAATCGAACCCGGTTCTTCGGCGTGACGAGCGAACGCTTTAACCACTAGGCTACCCGACCGCCCCCCCCCCCCGGAGGTGACATTGACTGCAGCATATTCCAAACACTTAAAACACGCGGCACGGCAGCAGTTCAGTACTCGCTTATGTCCTGGACTGGGTGCTGGGGGCATTGTTTTACGCCGGTTTAAGATCTATCATGGCGGGGAACATCAGAAATGAGCTTCACGTATTTTAGCTAGAAAAGAAATTTTAAACAATATTTATCAACAATTTTATGTTTTAAACGTACTTTCCATGAAGCTTAGGAAACGGACCTAAAATATCTCTTGCTGGCGTGCAGGACTTTGAAAAGATATTCTTAAAAGCATTGGTATTAATCAGCGACTATGTAGCCTGGCGGAGGAACGTCTCTTAAAGTGCTAAAAGTCCTATAAGTAAATATTAGATCGAATTTTTTAAATCGATCTCCCAGGGGTAAATCTCCAGGGCAGATCTTTTGCACAAAAACTCTTGATCTTGAAATATGTCTGACATGTGTATTCTGAGCGAGTCTGAAAACCCGTCCGGAAACTATCCCTTATATCACAAGAAGATAAATGTGTTTTCCGAGTGAGTGGCTATGTACAACGCGGCTTTGTTCAGGGATTTCAGCTTGAAGTACGAGTGATGCAGGTCATAGACGTGTACCTCTTTGGTGAAACCTACAGGTACGCGTGTGGTGCTGACAAACCTGGAAACAAAATCAGGGGCGGATCTGGGATTCGAACCCACAATTGTGTTTTTTAGGTGGAGGTGAACCGACACTAATGTTGTTCCTGTGAAACCGGGGTAGAATAGGTCTTCAGCAACCCATGCTTGCCGTACAAGGCGACTATGCTTGTTGTAAAAGTCGACTAACGGGATCGGGTGATCAGGCTCGCTGACTTGGTTGATACATGTCATCGTATCCCAATTGCGTGGATCGATGCTCATGATGTCAATAACTGGACTGTCTGGTCCTGACTCGATTATTTTACAGACCGCCGTCATATAGCTGGAATATTGCTGAGTGCGTCGTTAAACAACAAACAAACAAAGATATTTCAAGACGTCACAGATCACGTGCTGTTCTGGAGTGCTTACGTCAGAATCTCACTGAGACACTTCGTTAGCGAGCAAGACGTCCGGATCTTCCAGAAGAAAATTGTGGGATGAATACCCTAAAGGCAGTGATGTTCCTAATCCCCTCAATATGTTATAACAAATATAATAACACATTGTTGGTCTATACACGTATATTCAATTTATTGTAAGTCTTTCTACAAAAGGCAACATGTAGATATAAATAGCAGTAGCAACAGCATAAACAATAGCGGAAAACAATCTCTTGCATAACAACCAGGATACGAAGACAACAATGTGGTTTGATAGACATTCGTGTATCATGGATGCCATATATAAATTCTGTTTTTGAAACAATAATGGCAGGTAACGTTACTCCGGGGTATAAATTACTTGCTACGTTAGAGACGACTAATGAGATCGGGTGGTCAGGCTCGCTGACTCGGTTGATGCCTGTCATCGTATCCCAATTGCGTGGATCGATGTTCATGATGTCAATCGATGGATTGTCTGGTCCAGACTCCATTATTTACAGACCGCCGTCATGTGGCTGGAATATTGCTGGGTGCGGCGTTAGACAACAAACAAACTTGCTAAGTACTGACAGGGATATAGCACGTCATGATAGAGCATTAAATGTGTAAAGTCTGATTATCAAACCCGCGGTATCTTTGAAGTAAGCGGTAAGAGAAGTCCCTTTTTTATTCTGAAGAAATCTGACACAAGGGAAGCAACTCATGGTCATGCTTCCCATAACTGCACGGATAACACTGGTCAACTCCAAAATACATGTCCTTCCCGATTATAAACCAGACTATACCTGTGTCTTACATAGGAAATACTGTCATCTGGAATACAATGGTAGATCTTGGTGCTGTTCACATTAAGTTAGGAATGGTTTCCACTGAAATGTCGTCCATTTTCTGTGAAAATTTTATCCCTGAAAACAAATAAACACATCTAAAAACAACACTTTCGTTAAATATATGTCCATTACTCGATGCTAGGTGTAAACAGCTTGAAGTATTGGTTGATTGCCACTAAGGGAGACAATTGATGAGACGAACTAATGGGTACATACACAATACGGCGCTTGAGTTTGTGAGGAGGCCAATTGCTGTGGGTGAAAGAAGCCTTGCCTTGTAAGTGAATGAGTATGGTTTTCAGCCACTTTTATCAATGTACCAGCAGTATCACGTCGGGGGACACCAGAAATGAGCTTCACACATTGTACCGATGTGGGGAATCGAACCCTTGCGTGACGAGCGAACGCTTTTATCACTATGCTACACACGAAGCGGTCAGCATAGATTTGGTATGAATGTTTCCCTTCAAAATGTCAAACGTCAGAATAATCAGTCTAGAAACATATAAAAGGTAAATAAGTGATGAAAGCTTTTTGGATCAGTGGAAAACTATATGGAAAACCAGTGATGATTTTCATAAAAGAGAAGTTTTGTTTGTTGCCTAACGCCGCTTGTCGTGATCAGGCAGGTGGCCAGAGGGATGACACACTGGCGGTTGAATGAAAGAGTTTCCGGAAACACAGATCTCAGATGTGGCTTCATTTGGGTTCTTACCCCATGTCATGTAATTTGCATATGAAAATGGCGAATATCCGTTACATATCAATCTTCAGAGGTTCAGGTCATATTATCAAAAGCAAATGCCATCTGAATTTTGCTGTGAACAAAATATGCGAAATGCTCAATTTCCTCATTGCTAGTATCTTCGTAAGCTTTGAGTGTAGGACTGGAAAAAGGCACCCGTCATGGGCACCAATTGTGGTGAATCGAAATGTCTGCTCGGGTGAGCAAGGTCAAAACATTTAATTTGGCTAATGTTCCGGTATATGAATGATCTGGTATCGTTCAATAACAATCACATGATTTACCCACCTGAACTTCAAAGAAAGGAGTGAGTGAGTGAGGTTTAAAGCCGCTTGTAACAATATTCCAGCAATGTCAGGTCGGTTGGCACGGATAAATTGACTTAACAGATAGTACATATGTGGAGAATAGAACCAGGGTCTTCGGCGTGACGCGCCAACGTTTTAACCTCCAGGCTACCCCTCCGCCCTACAACATTTAAGGCCTCATTAAACCTTTCAAACCATTTTATGGTACACATGTGGAGGTCATTTCCAAATTTGACGCATAAGTGACAAAAATGATGTGATATGGATGTCATCGGTAGAGCAGGATACGCTAACGAACATCATTGGGTCTTCAGCAACCTATGCTTGTCCAAAGAGGCGACCAAGCTTGTGGTACCAGGCGACCAACGGGATCGGATGGTCAGGCTCGCTGACTTGGTTGATATATGTCATCGTATCCCAATTGCGTAGATCGATGCTCATATCAATTACTGGATTGTCTGGTACAGACTCGATTATTTACAGAGCACCGTCATATGGCTGAAATATTGTTGAGTGGAGCAATAAACAACAAACAAACAAACAAAGTAACCCCCACACTCAAACATTAGTGTCCTGAGAACGACAGGGATACACGTTCCCTCCCTCGCTGTTTCAAATTCAGCGTGTGAGGCATGTAAGGCATCGTTATCAAACACCTGGTGTACTGTGTAAAACAGGGAATGAATTGTAATCAGTATTGTTCATATACTTTTAAGTACTTTGAAATATTTTATTGTAGATTTAATTTGTTTGCCATTTATATAAAGACATGGTAATTTGTTGCTAATGTGTTGATGCCAAAGTTCTTTTTTCTTTTCTTTTTTTATGGGTAGTTTTCGGATCTGTGTGTGTGTGTGGGGGGGGGGGGGGGGCATAATTCGTGTTTTGTTGAAAAGCGGAAAAGGGAAGGATGCTTCCAAAGTCAAAATCGAATTAAAAATCTGAAAATAGATAGGGAAGGAAATATGGCCCAAATGAGCGAACAACAAAGAGAGAGATTAAACTACTGTATTCAAATATGAACAGGGAGCCATCATATTCAACAACCCGGCACACAATGAATTGTTATCTATATTCACAGAATTTTATGACAATTCTAGGGAAGTAAAGCTATGTTAATTACGACGAATAACTAGTTATGAGGCAGTAAAAATGAATGGAATAATAAAAAACGACTATGTTTTAATGTTATTATTATATAATTTCCTATTAAGAAGATTAAGAAGATCCGACTGATGATACCCTTAACTCTAACTTGATTGTAAAATTAGGTCCCTTTAGGTTACTTGTGAAACCTTCCGGTATTGTGACTGATTTTCACAAAGAGAAGCAACTGTTGTGACGTCTTAATAAATGAGTGAACCTTCAGCGACATTGAAAGCTGACAAGACCGTAAGCAGACACACATTGTGTGTAGCTACATAGGGTGTGGGTTACATTAGGACACACATTGTGTGTAGCTACATAGGGTGCGGGTTACAATGAGACACACATTGTGTGTAGCTACATAAGGTGCGGGTTCAGACGAGGCACCGTCAACTAGGACACACATTGTGTGTAGCTACATAAGGCGCGGGTTACGATGAGACACCGTCAACAGGACACACATGGTGTGTAGCTACATAAGGCGCGGGCTACGATGAGACACCATCAACCAGGACACACATGGTGTGTAGCTACATAAGGCGCGGGTTACGATGGGCACCATCAACCAGGACACACATTGTGTGTAGCTACATAAGGCGCGGGTTACGATGGGCACCATCAACCAGGACACACATTGTGTGTAGCTACATAAGGCGCGGGCTACGATGGGCATCATCAACCAGGACACACATTGTGTGTAGCTACACAAGGCGCGGGTTACGTTGAGACACCGTCAACCAGGACACACATTGTGTGTAGCTACATAAGGCGCGGGTTACGATGAGACACCGTCAACCAGGACACACATTGTGTGTAGCTACATAAGGCGCGGGCTACGAGGGCCACCATCAACCAGGACACACATTCTGACAACCCGATCCTCAGCTTTCGGCTCTCACTACAAACATGAGATACAGGGAACCTTTTCTGCCACTGAAACCCTTTGCAATGGTAATCGGTTTCTAAAGTCTTTGACACCTTCCTTTGTTACAGGGAAGTAGTTCATTTCATGCCCAATAAAGGATGCACCCTCAGCAACATAAAAGATGTGAAAACCTTTACAACACAAACTTCTGTTCGTTAAACTAATGCATGGTCACTATTTCCGCATCATAATGCTGTCAAATGCAGAAGGGGAAACTATTATTACCACTAAATGTTGTATTTTGGACGATGATGACTAGTCCTCGGGGATGTATGCACGGAAGGTGAAACGCTGGCTCTGTTGAAGATGAAGCAGCCACAAGGTACTCGTAGTTCACGTCTCTAGTGCTGAAGCTGATGAAGGTAGTGCTCCATCTTTGTTTCATACATGGACATTCGCTCATGGCTTTATGATATCGTCACGTTAGCAATTCATACACACGTAAACCCGTGATAGGTCTTCAGCAACCAATGCTTGCCGTACAAGGCGACTATGCTTGTCGACTAACGGGATCGGGTGGTCAGGCTCGCTGACTTGGTTGATGCATGTCATCGTATCCCAATTACGCGGATCGATGCTCATGATGTCAATCATTGGATTGTCTGGTCCAGATTCGATTAATTACAGACCGACGTCATATAGCTGGAATATTGTTGAGTGTGGCGTTAAACAACAAACAATCAAACATAAACACGTGCTTGTGACAAGTCGGTGTCAATAGCCTCTGCTTTCAGCATGAAACAACAGAAGCCAAATGATTTTTCTCGATTTGAGATATGCCACCGTATGAACATATGCTGTCAAGGTGGTGACAGTCAGTGTAAATGCCGACATACTTCATAATGTCCAAGATTATTGCACTTATATAGCGACGTGCATGCACGTGTGTGTGTGTGTGTGTGTGTGGCTGCTTGTACTAGTCCGGACTGATGCCGATTTATAGTGCTAGCCCACTGAGATACCATGCCACAGTTTTAACATGAATATCCCAATCAGACACAATATACTGACTCCCGAGTGAACAGTCCTTGTTTTAGCCAAATACATCTTTTAACGTCTTATGATATAACGCGGCCGGGTGTTGCTTTAAGTGTTTAAGAGCTTGCCTTCTGCCTCGGCTATATCTTTTGACATGTCCTTCTATGGGACTCATGTTGTGTTTCTTTGTTGTTTAACGCCAAACTCAGCAATATTCCAGCTATATGACGGCGGTCTGTAAATAATCGAGTTTGTAGCAGACAATCCAGTGATTGACACCATGAGGATCGATCCACGCAATTTGGATACGATGACATACATCAACCAAGTCAGTATACTGACTCCGAGCCGACAGTCCTTGTTTTAACCCCTTAATGCCGAGCGCCAGGCAGGGTAACAACAAGTACCATCTTTAAACGTCTTTTGGTATGACACGGCCGAGGATCGAACCCCGTACCTTTCGCACTCCTGGCGGACGCTCTACCACTAGACCACTTAGGCGGTCACTTCATAAACATAGACTTGAGTCTTATTGAAGGAAAACTGCGGGTAATGGGTTGTCGTTGGTTTTATGAGAATATAACTACTGCGGAGTACAATAGAAATTCAACCCATTTCAGAAAGTGTTTCCATATCATAACGTCGTTCCACAAAGCAGACGGACAAAACTCAGATAAACAACGTACAAATTATAGCATTTGGGATGTTTTCAGGGGTTATCTAGTTTCCGTAAAATACCCCGACAGGACCAGTGACAACCACGGGGACGGCTGAATACCCATCTCTTCATATATACTTATAGTAAGCAACATCGGTTACATTAGGCCGAACGATGTATACAAGTTTCATAAATTTACGTAAATCAACAACAAGCGCACTTAACACAAAATTCACTTGAAGTGTTTGAATAAAAAAATTGAATAAAAAAAATGAAATATCAGTCATATCAAATATTATAAAGTCTCACCAGTTTTATGAATAAACGGTTGTATCTAAATCTTATAGTTCACGCTCAAATATTTCAAATGTTGCCTTGTTGCTCGCATTGAACGAGAATATGCATTTTATAACTAATTACATTATGCTCGGAAATCCTAGCCGGGATAGCTCTATTGTGATGATATGTGCTACACGCGTTTGTATGAGGCGGAAGGATATTTGAATTTTCCTTGTATGACTAACCCATTCGTGTTCCCTGCTTAACATGGGGATGTTTGAATGCTTTGCTGTGGTTAATACTTGTATCATTGCAATGACGTGTACGTGTACGTACGGTAAAGGTACTTCCTTGTTTGAGTAGCCCAACGGTAGAGTGTTCGCTCGTCAAGCCAGCCAGGGTTCGATCCCCATACGAGGGCTCGTCAAAAAGTTAAACAAACTTTATTATGGGCCATAACCAAGGTGCGCTAGTTAAGGTAGTACATTGTTTGAGTAGTTCATTGCAAGTGTATTTGGTTTCTTGTGGCCGTTTGTATATTAGTGACAGACAGTTGAACGTGGTAGGGCTCCAGTTGGACGCAGAAATGGAAAAAAACGAGTACCCAGCAGTCACGTTTTTGACTTTAGAGAATAGTACTACCTAAGAAATTCATGACCGCATGTCACAAGTGTATGAGGACAAGGGTCCTAGCTATCCAACTGTTGAACGTTATGTTTAAGGCTGGGAGAACAAGCCTTGATGATGACCCCAGGTCTGGACGTCCCTCAACTTCCATCCATAAAGACCCGTGCTCGTGGGTTTCACCGAAGTGGTAAACGTCTGAGACCTGCATCACTTCGGGCTTTCCTCCCACATTAAGCTGACACGCCGTGATATAACTGGAATACTGTTAAAAGCGGCGTTAAACCCAACTCACTCACTCACTCCATCCATAAAGATTCAATCAAGGAGATAGTAAACATATGCTGTCAGATAGACGTATTACCATTGCTGAACTTGAGGAAGACACAGGTCTAAACCATGGATCCACTGAAAACTAATATTCATGAACATTTACATGTGAATAAGATATCTACTCGTTGGGTGACACAGTTTCAAAATTCTGATCTTGAGGCAAAAGGAACTGACATTACGAGAGACAATTTAGAGCTTATTGAGGAGGATTTTGTCAAAGAATTAGTAACGGGCGATGAATCATGGGTTTACCAATTTGATCCCGAGTCAAAACGTCAATCTATGAAAGAGCACCATCCTACTTCTCCGGCCCCAAAGAAACTAAAGTCTTCAAGATCAGTGAAGGAGGTTATGGCCACTGTATTCTGGGATGCAAAGTGTGTGATCCTTGTTGATTACCTAGAAAGTTAAAAGACGATTACCGGTGCCTACTATGCTGATTTGCCTCATCGCCTGAGAAATTATAATAAAGAAAATCTACGAGAGATGCTGACTGCTGGAGTTCTACTACTTCATGACAATGCCTCTTCCCACACCTCTTGACTTGCAAAGGCTTCTGTGCGACAATGTGGGTTCGAAAACACTTTCACATTTGTTGGTTTTGTTTGAACTTTTGACCAGCCTTCAAAGACACTACAAACACACCGCGGGGGCACGGGTGGCCCAGTTGTCTTAGGCGCCGCGATTCGCTGTGCAGAGTTGCGTCCCTTGAACACGCCAGAAATCTATGATTGTGGGTTCGAATCACGATTCTCCCCGATTATGTTTCCAGGTTTGTCAGCACCACACCCGTGCTCGTGGGTTTCACCGAAGTGGTAAACGTCTGAGATCTGCATCACTTCGGGCTTTCCTCCCACATTAAGCGGATTTGAGAGAACTATTAGTCTATTTATTATGGTACAGACTTGACACAAGCAGACAAGATGGTACGTTTTCTTAGCTATGGACCCATCGACAATCTATAAACACCGCCCAAATCGGTATTAGGTTTCCCATAAGAAAGCACCGATACACTTGACTGTGTGACTCTGTTGCAGGTAACCTGGCGCCTGTACCCCTCCCCTCTCCAGCATACAGGGTATGAGCTGCTGTGGAGACAAGGCTGTACATGGAACATCCCTGTATTGTTTATAATCCATGGGGATAGAATGCAGGTCACGTGGCTCTCTACCTTGTCCTCTGTAATCATCCTGATTGGTCCAAGGATCCCATGCAGTAAGATTTAATGACGTAATATACTGTACTTGAGTGAGTGAGTGAATATGGTTTTACGCCGCTTTTAGCAATATTCCAGCAATATCACGGCGGGGGACACCAGAAATGGGCTTCACACATTGTACCAATGTCGGGATTCGAACCCGGGTCTTCGGCGTGACGAGCGAACGCTTTAACCACTCGGCTACCCGACCGCCTTCCTGTACTTGAAATTAGCTGGCCAGCAAAAGCAAGTGTACGCTCATGTGGGTTTTAGGGTGGAAATAATTATACAAACAAGAAATGGTTATTCGATGGTGATGTATTTGATACGGGTATCAGAGGCCATACTGCTTGCATCGTATCAATGATTATGTCACAGAAAGTGGCTGTGTTTAGCCAAGTAACGTTTGTCAGTTTTAGATTTAATCAAATTTTCAAGTGTATATTTTCTTTTCTCCGGCAGTGTATCTCAACAAGAGTAATCACTCTGTTTATCTTTAACATTTAGTAAGATGTCAGGAACAACAGATTTAAGATTTAAGTGTAGAAAGTGTGCATTGTCCAAAGGGCGATAACAGTTACTTTGCATGTATTTTGCTGTATTAAGAAATGTGTTATATCATTTTTAACAATGTATGTGTGTTTCTATGATTGTTCTATCAATTTATATCACAGCATTCTCAGCAAGCACACCATGCAGCAACTGTGACGGTAAAAACGTGACCTGTGTTGACGGTGAGTGTCTACCTCGCTGTGTCAATGTGTCGTCATCTGGAGAGTGTTTCCAGTGTCGGGACTCCAGGTTCTATGGTAAACAGTGTGAACATGACTGTTCAGACACCTGTCTCAACATTAGCTGTCAGATGGACAACACCCGTGTTGTGTGTACAGAGGGATGTGTGGCCGGCAAGAAGGGAGATAACTGTGGCGTGAACTGTCCTACAGCCTGTACACAATGTGAACGTTATGGTGATGTTTGTACAGGACCGTGTCAGAATCCCCGGTATTACGGTCCACACTGTAGAACACCTTGTTCCTCAAACTGTAGCGATGGATGTAATAGGATCACGGGGGAGTGTGGCAGCTGTGAGACAGGTAACATGGGGGACAAGTGTAATGTTACCTGTCCCCCCAACTGTAAAGATGGATGTAATAAAGACACGAGGGAGTGCGGCAGCTGCGTGTCGGGTTACAGAGGGAAGAACTGTAATGACACCTGTCCCCCCAACTGTAGCGATGGATGTGATAAGGGGATCGGAAAGTGTGAGGGTTGTAAACCAGGGAACAATGGGAAGAACTGTATTATCTCCTGTCCTACCACCTGTAGGGAAGGATGTTATCATGACGGTGGGTGCATCTTGACAGGTAAGTTGTACACATATTATTTTATTCATTTCAATCCCACATTGGAATAAACACTTCGAAAGTAGTTATGTTGTGCATTTGCTGGTGTAACAAAGAGAGGGGGTTTGTGACAGTTGTGATACTAGAAATACGACAGGGATTTTTTTGTGTTTCTCTGTCTTTACTATGGAATACGGAAACTGATTGAAGAGGCCCATATCAACATAAAGTCTACATGGAATCATCCGTTGGGATTCTTGGTTAGAACGTTATGGTGATGGTTGTACAGGACCGTGTCAGAATCCCCGGTATTACGGTCCACACTGTAGAACACCTTGTTCCTCCAGCTGTACAGATGGATGTAATAGAATCACGGGGGAGTGTGGCAGCTGTGAGCCAGGTTACACAGGGGACAAGTGTGATGTTACCTGTCCCCCCAACTGTAGAGATGGATGTGATAAAGACACGGGGGAGTGTGACAGCTGCGTGTCGGGTTACACAGGGGACAAGTGTAATGTTACCTGTCCCCCCAACTATAGAGATGGATGTGATAAAGACACGGGGGACTGTGACAGCTGTGAGCCAGGTTACACAGGGGACAAGTGTGATGTTACCTGTCCCCCCAACTGTAGCGTTGGATGTGACAAAGACACGGGGGCGTCAAGTGGTAAAGTTGTAATCTACGAAAGCCCATTAGGACCATATTAGTATTTTGTTTTTTTTCTCTTTTAAAAGTCGTAATTACGGTAATAAAGTCGTAATTACGAGAGAAAAATCGTTATTACGACTTTTGTTTTCATAATGACGACTTTATTCTCATAATTACGAGTTTTGAAAAGAGAAAAATAACAAAATACCAATATGGTCCTAATGGGCTTTCGTAGTAATCGCTAATATGAATGATATCCGTTTTAGCTTATTGTGGTTGGTAGTACACTTCTGTGCATCATACGTATACTTACTGATGTTTCTATAACGATGAATGAGCTACAGATTCACAAGTGTGACTGCATCAGGCGGTTCACACGGGGGTTACCTGCGAGAGTGGTTGGCGGGTGGGGCGCATTGTGACGGGTGTCGGTGGGTACCGGGTGTTATTGTGACTAATACCTGGCGAGTTACAAGGAGTTGTTGAGGAGGGCGTTACGGGGACGTATTGTGACAGAGGTGTATAGTGTGAATGTGATGAGAGCCGGGTGAGTTGTGACAGTTATGGCCGGTTACAGGGATGTATTTCGACAGTTATGGTCGGGTTACAGGGATATATTGTGAGAGGTAAAGTCGGGTTACAGGGATGTATTGTGACAGTTATGGTCGGTTCACAGGGATGTATTTTGACAGTTATGGTCGGGTTACAGGGATATATTGTGACAGGTAAAGTCGGGTTACAGGGATGTATTTTGACAGTTATGGTCGGTTCACAGGGATGTATTTTGACAGTTATAGTCGGTTTACAGGGATGTATTGTGACAGTTATGGTCGCATTACAGGGGATGTATTGTGACAGTTATGGTCGGGTTACAGGGATATATTGTGACAGTTATGGTTTGGTTACAGGGATGTTTGGTGACAGTTATGGTTTGGTAACAGGGATGTATTGTGAGAGTTTTGGTTTGGTTACAGGGATGTATTGTGACAGTTATGGTCGGTTCACAGGTTTGTATTGTGACAGTTTTAGTCGGGTTACAGGGAGCTATTGTGACAGTTTTAGTCGGGTTACAGGGATGTATTTTGACAGTTATAGTCGGCTCACAGGTATGTATTGTGACAGTTTTAGTCGGGTTACAGGGATGTATTGTGACAGTTATGGTCGGTTTACGAGGATGTATTGTGACAGTTATGGTCGGGTTACAGGGATGTATTGTTACAGTTATGGTCGGTTTAAAGGGATGTATTGTGACAGTTATGATCGCTTTAGAGGGATGTAATGTGACAGTTTTAGTCGGGTTACAGGGATGTATTGTGACAATTATGGTCGGGTTACAGTGAATGTATTGTGACAGTTATGGTCGGGTTACAGGGATGTATAGTGACAGTTATGGTCGAGTTACAGGGATGTATTGTGACAGTTTTAGTCGGGTTACAGGAATGTATTGTGACAGTTATGGTCGGGTTACAGTTGATGTATTGTGACAGTTATTGTCGGGTTACAGGGATGTTTTGTGACAGTTTAAGTCGGGTTACAGGGATGTATTGTGACAGTTATGGTCGGTTTACGAGGATGTATTGTTACAGTTATGGTCGGGTTACAGGGATGTATTGTTACAGTTATGGTCGGTTTACGAGGATGTATTGTTACAGTTATGGTCGGGTTACAGGGATGTATTGTTACAGTTATGGTCGGTTTAAAGGAATTTATTGTGACAGTTATGATTGCGTTAGAGGGATGTTATGTGACAGTTTTAGTCGGGTTACAGGGATGTATTGTGACAGTTTTGGTCGGTTTACAGGGATGTATTGTGATAATTATGGCCGGGTTACAGGGATGTATTGTGACAGTTATGGTCGGTTTACGAGGATGTATTGTTACAGTTATGGTCGGGTTACAGGGATGTTTTGTGACAGTTATGGTCGGGTTACAGGGATGTTTTGTGACAGTTATGGTCGGTTTACGAGGATGTATTGTTACAGTTATGGCCGGGTTACAGGGATGTATTGTGACAGTTATGGTCGGTTTACGAGGATGTATTGTTACAGTTATGGTCGGGTTACAGGGATGTTTTGTGACAGTTATGGTCGGGTTACAGGGATGTTTTGTGACAGTTATGGTCGGTTTACGAGGATGTATTGTTACAGTTATGGTCGGGTTACAGGGATGTATTGTGAGAGTTTTGGTCGGTTCACAGGGATGTATTGTGACAGTTATGGTCGGTTTACGAGGATGTATTGTTACAGTTATGGTCGGGTTACAGGGATGTATTGTTACAGTTATGGTCGGTTTAAAGGGATTTATTGTGACAGTTATGATCGCGTTAGAGGGATGTTATGTGACAGTTTTAGTCGGGTTACAGGGATGTATTGTGATAGTTTTGGTCGGTTTACAGGGATGTATTGTGATAATTATGGCCGGGTTACAGGGCTGTATTGTGACAGTTATGGTCGGTTTACGAGGATGTATTGTTACAGTTATGGTCGGGTTACAGGGACGTTTTGTGACAGTTATGGTCGGGTTACAGGGATGTTTTGTGACAGTTATGGTCGGTTTACGAGGATGTATTGTTACAGTTATGGTCGGGTTACAGGGATGTATTGTTACAGTTATGGTCGGTTCACAGGGATGTATTGTGACAGTTATGGTCGGTTTACAAGGATGTATTGTTACAGTTATGGTCGGGTTACAGGGATGTATTGTTACAGTTATGGTCGGTTTACGAGGATGTATTGTTACAGTTATGGTCGGGTTACAGGGATGTATTGTTACAGTTATGGTCGGTTTAAAGGGATGTATTGTGACAGTTATGATCGCGTTAGAGGGATGTTATGTGACAGTTTAAGTCGGGTTACAGGGATGTATTGTGACAGTTTTGGTCGGTTTACAGGGATGTATTGTGACAATTATGGCCGGGTTACAGGGATGTATTGTGACAGTTATGGTCGGGTTACAGGGATGTATTGTGACATGTATGTTCGGGCTACAGGGATGTATTGTGACAGTTATGGTCGGGTTACAGGGATGTATTGTTACAGTTATGGTCGGTTTAAAGGGATTTATTGAGACAGTTATGATCGCGTTAGAGGGATGTTATGTGACAGTTTTAGTCGGGTTACAGGGATGTATTTTGACAGTTATAGTCGGCTTACAAGAATGTATTGTGACAGTTTTAGTCGAGTTGCAGTGATGTATTGTGACAGTTTTGGTCGGGTTACAGGGATTTATTGTGACAGTTAAGCAGGGTATGAAACTCCCAAAGATTTCAGCCAGACCACAGGACTGGCTAGCTGAAATACTTGCCAGCCCTGACCAAAACCTGCCTGCCCACTATAATCATATGTTTCTCAGGATAAGCTAACGAGGTTTCTTTTTGGTTACATTTTATCATTCATCTTTACATGTGAATTAATGCTTATCATCGGGAAATATTTAGAATATTTTCACATATGAAATATAAGCTGACCGTTGGGCAGGGGGATTTGAAAATCTGGCAGCCCGAGTTGAAATCAACCCGTGGCAGGCAGGTATTTCGAACACTGAGTTAAGGTCGCGTTTCAGGGATGTATTGTGACAGTTTATGTCGGGTTACAGGGATGTATTGTGACAGTTATGGTCGGTTTACGAGGATGTATTGTTACAGTTATGGTCGGGTTACAGGGATGTATTGTTACAGTTATGGTCGGTTTGAAGGGATGTATTGTGACAGTTATGATCGCGTTAGAGGGATGTTATGTGACAGTTTTAGTCGGGTTACAGGGATGTATTGTGACAGTTTTGGTCGGTTTAAAGGGATTTATTGTGACAGTTATGATCGCGTTAGAGGGATGTTATGTGACAGTTTTAGTCGGGTTACAGGGATGTATTGTGACAGTTTTGGTCGGTTTACAGGGATGTATTGTGATCATTATGGCCGGGTTACAGGGATGTATTGTGACAGTTATGGTCGGTTTACGAGGATGTATTGTTACAGTTATGGTCGGGTTACAGGGATGTATTGTTACAGTTTTGGTCGGTTTACGAGGATGTATTGTTACAGTTATGGTCGGTTTAAAGGGATTTATTGTGACAGTTATGATCGCGTTAGAGGGATGTTATGTGACAGTTTTAGTCGGGTTACAGGGATGTATTGTGAGAGTTTTGGTCGGTTCACAGGGATGTATTGTGACAGTTATGGTCGGTTTACGAGGATGTATTGTTACAGTTATGGTCGGGTTACAGGGATGTATTGTTACAGTTATGGTCGGTTTAAAGGGATGTATTGTGACAGTTATGATCGCGTTAGAGGGATGTTATGTGACAGTTTAAGTCGGGTTACAGGGATGTATTGTGACAGTTTTGGTCGGTTTACAGGGATGTATTGTGACAATTATGGCCGGGTTACAGGGATGTATTGTGACAGTTATGGTCGGGTTACAGGGATGTATTGTGACATGTATGTTCGGGCTACAGGGATGTATTGTGACAGTTTTGGTCGGTTTAAAGGGATGTATTGTGACAGTTATGATCGCATTAGAGGGATGTGATGTGACAGTTTTAGTCGGGTTACAGGGATGTATTTTGACAGTTATAGTCGGGTTACAAGAATGTATTGTGACAGTTTTAGTCGAGTTGCAGTGATGTATTGTGACAGTTATGGTCGGGTTACAGGGATTTATTGTGACAGTTAAGCAGGGTATGAAACTCCCAAAGATTTCAGCCAGACCACAGGACTGGCTAGCTGAAAAACTTGCCAGCCCTGACCAAAACCTGCTTGCCCACTATAATCATATGTTTCTCAGGATAAGCTAACGAGGTTTCTTTTTGGTTACATTTTATCATTCATCTTTACATGTGAATTAATGCTTATCATCGGGAAATATTTAGAATATTTTCACATATGAAATATAAGCTGACCGTTGGGCAGGGGGATTTGAAAATCTGGCAGCCCGAGTTGAAATCAACCCGTGGCAGGCAGGTATTTCGAACACTGAGTTAAGGTCGCGTTACAGGGATGTATTGTGACAGTTTAAGTCGGGTTACAGGGATGTATTGTGACAGTTATGGTCGGTTCACGGGGATGTATTGTGACAGTTATAAACGGGGGGGGGGGGGGGGGGGGGGGGGGGGGTGTCAGTGAGACATAATTTAAGTTGTTGGTGGCATAGCAGGTACTTATGAATACAGTTGTTCACGTTGATAGAAATGTGTGGGTTCGTATTATGACAGTTATGGTAGAAACGTTTGGATCGCGTTTCATAAAACTCAAATTCGTTTTACTAAGTACTGTTTATAACGAAACATGGAGGATCGCTTGGTGTAGTCATCTTACTGTTTGTATACCCATCCATTAGCTTACATTCCTTAAATATACTCTTCAAAAGAGTAGGGAATACTCAGAAATAACTTAGAATTTCCTAAATGCTACCATATAAAGTTTTCTTAGTAACAGTTCCATGATAATAATGAACAATTGGGAACACATTACAACCTGTAGTGATGTATAACAGTAGATGTTATGAACGCCCGCGATAGGGAGAAGTTGGGAAATTTCAAAGTTGACGTTTCTGGATCAGTAGTGCGAAATACCGCCACGATTTGTCTAACATCCATTCACTCGACGAGCATACTGCGTATGAGTCTCCCAATAGCGATTTGTGGGAGTCTGTCCCACTCCTCTTGCAGCGCCTGGCCCAGGTAAGCCATCGTGGTCGGCGGCCTATGACGTTGACGTACACGTCTCCCTATAATGTTCCAGGCATTCTATGGATGGTGTGCTGCTGGAGGTGGGAATTTGCGATCAGTGCACGGTGATCGAGGGCGTTCTCGTCCTGAAAACGCCTTGCAAAGGGGACAACATAGGGTGTCAGTATGTTGACCCGGTGGTACAGATGGTACCTTCCTATCACAATATGGAGTGGGGTTCGGTCGGTCACAGTGACATCTGTCAACTGTCAGAGATCTCAGCTTGACATTGGCTTGAGGTTCATTTCGACGTCGCCAGACACGACCACGCCTATCAGGGAAGTGCAAAGTTAATCAATAATTGACAGAAATAATGGTCCACAGAGATTAATCGACCTTCCTTTAAAGTGCCTAAATCAGGAATGACATCTACAGATGTGTTTGGCGCTACGGTGTGAGGCACGTGTAAACTGAAGGTAGTGGTTTCAGACATAAACGTTCCGTCACAGGATGTAATCTTGGTTCTTTAATACTTTAATATTTACATTTATATTTCATGTTCCCATAAGTGTATAATTTGCTTTTTTCAACAGAACTGAGTGTAAACTAGTTTGCACTGTGTACAGTTCCAAATGCTGTTGAAGGAGGGGCAAACATTCTTCTGACTAGAGGGTCCAGAGGGTCTAGAGGGTCAGGAGGGTCTGGAGGGTCTAGAGGGTCTGGGGGTCAAGATGGTCTAGAGGGTCAAGAGGGTCTAGATGGTCTGGAGGGCCTAGAGGGTCTGAAGGGTTTCATTTGGCCTTCGTCCTTCTTGTGGACATACCTGTAATGCTGTCTTTGGTATGCCGGAAACAGACTCAAGACATTGACTGGCAGTTCGATGATTAGAAAGACTGCCAGCGTCCCAAATTTATAATTTAATTCATATGACATTGTTGTACATGTAGCAGGGCGTGGAGTCGTCCCACAGATGACATCCTTACCTTGTCAGCTTGCTGATTGGGTTAACCTCTTTGGTCATGTAGACAAGGCGTCCGACCTCGGATCAGAAGGTCCCTGGTTCGAATCCCATCACGGGATTCGCTACATACACAACAGTCGAATTCAATGATTGTCTCCGTAAAGTCGACGGCATTTAAGGCTGTCATATAGATGCAAAGGAAATCTTCCCGAGACAAGGGAATTAACTGATTATAAAAGTCGAGTTTCCACCCGAAACTGGCTAGAATTTCGGAGTTATCTTTTGGCTAGACTAACGAGTCTATGCATTGTCCTGTCAAAATCGCGTGTCAAAGCATGTGTACCGCCAACTCGTCATATTTTCATGTTTTTAATCAAGGTCCTCACGAGATTTGATGCACTTCGCGAAGTAAAACCCGTTTGATCACAATATTGGTTTTGATCAGATCGCCTTGACTGGGCGCCGCCATTTTGTTTGAAGCAAATGCATGTGATACGAGAGGTGGAATGTGATTGTCATTAGGAGGGACATAGAATGGACATAACTCGTAATAGCCACTGGTGACGCTACGATCGATATTTTCCAAATCTTTTCATGTTTATAATCAAGGTGCTCAAGTAATTTGACGCTTTTTTGCGAGGTAGGACTCGTTAAACTACAATATAGATCTTGACTATCGATCAGATCGTCTTGACTGGGAGCCGCCATTTTGTTTGAAGTGATATGAGATGTGGAATCGGATTGGTCATTAGGAGGGACATAGAAGGGACAGAACTCGTACTCGCCGATCTAGTCACGAAATTTACGAAAATCCAGCGTAGTTCGGCAAGGATAGGAACATGACTTTTTTAGTCAGTTAGCTCCCTGGCCTCTGGAAGATGTGCAAAGGAATATGTTCAATGCGATTGCCCAAACGATTTACATTTAATAGCATTACTTGCATATACAATGTAACAAACACACAGACGCAGACACATGTACACACATACACAGACACAGACACACATATACTCACACATACACACAGACGCACACACACACACACAAACGCAGATACACACATATATTCACACAAACACACAGATGCAGAACTACACATACACAGACAGACGCAGACACACACACATACACATGACCCAGGCACACACACAAATACGCACACATACACAAAGACGAAGACACACAAATACACAGACGTAAATACACATAGATTCGCACACAGACTCGCAGACGCAGACACACACATACATATATACACAGACGCAGACACACACACACATACACAGACAGACGCAGACACACAGACTCACACATACAATTAGACGCAGACACACACATACATACGCACACACAAATGCATACACAGACGCAGACACACAGATTCACACATACAATTAGACGCAGACATACACATACATACGCAGACACACACATACACACGGACACAGACACACATACAGAGAGACACATACGCGCACATACAGACAAACGCAGACATGGACAGGTAGACATAGACAAACGCAGACACACACACACACACATACGCAGACACACACACATTTATTTTGCCATTGTCTTCCAAAGCGTTTGAGGCAATATATTTAGATACTGAATCACTGTTTAAATGACCGGCAGACAGCCACAGCTGTTAGCGAGAGGCCAATATTTACGGGATATATTTGTGCATGTATTCTGTGACTTGATCATGACCTTCAACTGGTATATAATGAACACGTTTGTTTCAGACACAGGAGCCAACGCTGAAGCCACGTATGTTGTACTTGTCGCCATCCCCATCCTCATCCTCGTTGTCATCGTGTACAGAAGGTGCGCGGTTCATTGTATTCGTGTATACACCGAGACTCCAATTAGAGAATACCACGCCCATAAGCAGAATAACATTAATAAAAGCCTCATTGGATGCTTTACCGTTTACCCATTCGTGACCAACTCGTGTTATTCCGGAACAAGCCGAATAGCGACTCGTTTCCCTCTCATGGCCATTTTTGCGACCGGGTTCCGTCTTAGCGTAAACGGGCATACCTAAAACAATTGTCAACTCGTTGCGTTATGGTTCACATATATTTCCCCATATATTTTATATATTTCAGATGCAATTTAAAGCACATCTGGACATGCGGAGTTATACAGTATGATTGAACACATTTAACTGTGTCATGGGAATATTTTTAGATGCAAGACATATGTAAAATCAAAAATTATATCTGAGGGATTCTTTGACATAGAACTTGAAATCATACGCGCATTCTGATTGGTTTGTCGTATTCTCGCGCATTACATTCATCGATAGGGGGATGAGTCTTCTTGCAGGTTACGGAAAGGGGCGAGTGGTGACGAAAGACCGTTTACCGTCAAGGCGACGTAAAGTAGGGAACATGTTATTAAGGGTATGTCTTTCCATGTTGGTCCCTGAAACCATTTATGGAACTTTTATCGTCAGCCCTATGCGTGTCACGTTCAACAGTACCCGCCCCGCAACGAAGAAGGGATCGAGCTTTACGTTGTCTTGTTTATTTATCATCCACGCCCATCTTGCGGATTTCACGACATGCATAAGAATACCATGTGCCTTTTATTTTCAAACAAAGGCGACGCAAAGGAAGACAGCAGAACCAAAAAGGAACTCCTAATCCAACTTACACATCGTGTTCGGGTAAGAATATAGCCAATAGAAAATCGATCTAAACTAATCGATGTGGTGTTAGTATGACTTTTGAGAGTTCCTTATACCTTATTTTGACCCAATCAAAGGATCTTGTCAACAAAGGGGTAAAATGTATTTAATAAAGCTATTTGTACAAAATTTAATTTCCCACCATGTTCGAGGTCCAATTGAGCACAATACAGTAAACTAAGGTTATAACGAACTCAAAGGGACCACAAATTTTAGTTGGTAATAACCGTAGTTCGTTACAAGCACATATACAGCATAACTACAGCAAAAAGTCGGGACAAAAGGTAAGTTCGTTATATCCGTCAGTTCGTTCTAAGCGTGTTCGTTGTAAACGTAGTTTCCTTTATGTGCATGTGGAAGGTAATTCAAGTCTATGCCTATTTCATGTGAAGTTTCATCATGGAATACCACTTACATCGACTTCCTTGGCTTCATATCTGGACAGGACAGTGTCACACGTGTCCATCCCCCTGAGGCAAGTCCAGTTTCCACCCTTGCCGAACTAGGCTGGAATTTCCAGGCTCGATCGTAATGCCACCAGTGGTTATTACGAGTTATGTCCCTTCTACGTCCCTCCTTTTGACCAATCAGATTCCCCTCTCGTATCACTTGCATTGGCCTCAAACAAAATGGCGGCGCCCAATCAAGACGATCTGATCGATAAACAATATCTATATTGTAATAAAACGGGTCTTACCTCGCGAAGTGCATCAAGATCACTCGAGCACCTTGATTAAAAACATCCTGCAGTCGACCGAAATCTGCATGTTGAAATCTATGTTGTTTACGAAACATGTGACTAGTTCGTTACGCGATTTTGATTGGACCATGCATAGACTCGTGAATGCAGCCAAAATGTAACTCCGGAATTCCAGCCTAGTTCGGCAAGGGTAGAAGCTGTACTTTAATAGTCAGTTAACGCCCTTGCCCTGGGGAGATGACAGGTGTCATGTAACTGGGATTTTAGTGCATGTTAGGAGATTTTACTGTTTTCGAAGTTACATACATGTTAATCTGCGTGTCTTCGTGACCGGAAATGTAAGACACATAACGAGACTTAACATTAGGATAAGACGAAAATTCTGCAAACGAATGTATACATGCAACCTATGTGTGCATTCCGCACATAATAATCATATGTCCATCTTCCAGTCTATACACTAGGCGGGGACATGTGTGATGAGCTGAACGGGGACACGTCGAAGGAGGTCATGGAGGGGGAGTTTAAAGTAGGTCTACTTCAAGGTCCTGAATACATCATCAAACGTACGGGGGGCACGGGGGGCCCAGTCGTCTAATTGCCGCAGTTTTGCGTCCCTTGGGCACGCCAGAAACCTATGATTGTTGGTTCGAATCCCGGTTCGCCCTGATTATGTTTCTAGGTTTGCCAGCACCATACCAGCTCGTGGGTTTCACCGAAGTGGTAAACGTCTGAGACCTGCATCACTTCGGGATTTCCTCCCACGTTAAGCTGACACGCCGTGATATAACTGGAATATTGTTAAAAGCGGCGTTAAATCCAACTCACTCACACACTCAACCGTACGATAAAAAATAATGTGATGCTATATGGCGAGTGGGTGGTCTGTGGTTAACGCTGCTAAAATTTGGAGGCTTACGTCCTTGGTGCAAATATGTTTATCAGCGAGGGATCTTAGCATAGGATGGATGTGAGATTCGAACCACACACCTGGGTGCCGTTGTGCGAAGCGATCTTAGCGCTAAGGTGATCGTAACTTCCATACCATAACATAGACTTACGACAGTCGTAGCGTTAAGGTTGGTTTGTACAACGGCACCCAGGACCTTAAGGTACATCCCTGCACATGGACTCCCTGATATATAGATAGGGGAGTGTTGTGTGACTTGGCAGATTCTGTGTCTCAAACCCCGACCATATTTGCCTAGTCAATATCCACGTTAGTTACTCCATGACATATTGCTCTCTGTGGCTTTAAACACCACTCGCATACAAGCTATTATGTTTCTGTTTTAGAAACTGCCTTCTTATATAAAACCAGTAAATTGTGCCACTTTGGACGAAAACGAAGGGAAGAACAGATACAAAGATATCCTGCCATGTATGTAATTATATATCCTGCTGTACTCTTTATTTGGCGTAATTTTACAAAAGAAATTTATACTTACTTTAATTAATCTTAGATAGGTAGAATTTTGCGGTTCGTTATGGAACTTCTACTTTGAGTAAATGTTCGAAATTGGAGTTTATGGATATCTATGAATTGCTGATCCTTTTCGCGAACACCAGGGGCCACTTGCACAAAGCCATCTTAGCGCTAAGATTATCTTAAGACTATGTTAAAGTATGGGAGTTACAATCATCTTAGCGCTAAGATCGCTTTGTGCAAGTGGGCCAAGGTGTCATCACCATTTTGTCAGCGATCCATAATTATAATGTTCACTGTTTGGGCTTCTGCGCCAAATCGGACCGCCTCCGTGGTCTAGTGGTAGAGCGTCCACCCGGAGAGCGGAAGGCCAGGGGTTCGATCCCCGGCCGCGTCATACCAAAAGACGTTAAAAGATGGTACTTGTTGTTACCCTGTCTGGCGCTCGTCATTAAGGGGCTAAAGCAAGGACTGGTCGGCTCGGAGTCAGTATACTGTGTCTGAGTGGGGTATTCATGTTAAACTGCGGCATGGTATCTCAGTGTGCTAGCACTATAAATCGGCATCAGTCCGGACTAGTACAAGCAGCCACACAAACACACACACGTACATGCACGTCACTATATAAGTGCAATAATCTTGGACGCGACGTTAAACCCAATTTCACCTCACCTCACCTCTGCGCCAAATTGAGTCTGTTTTGGTGGATAATCGAGACTGGTTGTCTCTGGCGTTGACGTTTTCAATTTCACATTCAATTTCGAGGTTTAATCATATCTAAAACATACAGATTCACACGGAGGACTTTTCTCTGATGTTGGTCAGCCTTATCACCCTATTTTCGAAATATTCTCCATGTCACGTGCTCCTTAACAGTAGCATCAAACAGACATGGCGGATAGATATCTGATAAAATGCATGTCCCATTTGCTTGTAACACACGCGTGTCCGACCAACTGCTACTGTTATCGCCGTTATTGCAGAGAAACAGTTCAATCCTGCCACAAAAACAGCATAAGATGTGATTTTTGGTATTTACAGTTGATGCTACACGAGTGCCCCTTGAGATTGAAAATGAAGATGACAGCGACTACATCAACGCCTCTTACATAGATGTAAGTTATGAACAATTTAGGTTGGTTCTTATTAGATTTTGTGTGGTTCTTGTATTAAGTGTGGTTCTCGTATTTATTATGGTTCTTGTATTTAATGTGGTTCTCGTATTTCGTGCGATGCTTCTTTTTTTACTGTGGTTCTTGTATTTAGTGTGGATCTCGTATTTAGTGTCACAGTGGTTCTTGAATTTAGTGTGGTTCTCGTATTTAGTGTGTTTCTTGTATTTAAGGTGTTTCTTGTATTTACCGTGGTTCTCGTATTTAGTGTGGTTCTCGTATTTAGTGTGGTTCTTGTATTTACTGTGGTTCTCGTATTTACCGTGGTTCTTGTATTTACCGTGGTTCTTGTATTTACTGTGGTTCTTGTATTTACTGTGTTTCTTGTATTTATCGTGGTTCTTGTATTTACTGTGGTTCTCGTATTTACTGTGATTCTTGTATTAAGTGTGGTTCTCGTGTTTAGTGTGGTTCTTGTATTTACTGTGGTTCTTGTATTTACCGTGGTTCTTGTATTTACTGTGGTTCTTGTATTTAGTGTGGTTCTTGTATTTAGTGTGGTTCTCGTATATAGGGTGCTTCTTGTATTTACTGTGGTTCTTGTATTTAGTGTGGTTCTCGTATTTACTTTGGTTCTCGTATTTAGTGTGGTTCTTGTATTTACTGTGGTTCTTGTATTTAGTGTGGTTCTTGTATTTACTGTGGTTCTCGTATTTATTGTGGTTCTCGTATTTAGTGTGGTTCTCGTATTTAGTGTGGTTCTCGTATTTACTTTGGTTCTCGTATTTAGTGTGGTTCTTGTATTTACTGTGGTTCTTGTATTTACTGTGGTTCTTGTATTTAGTGAGGTTCTTGTATTTACTATGGTTCTCGTATTTAGTGTGGTTCTCGTATTTAGTGTGGTTCTCGTATTTACTGTGGTTCTCATATTTAGTGTGGTTCTCGTATTTAGTGTGTTTCTTGTATTTAGTGTGGTTCTTGTATTTACTGGGGTTTTGTATCCTGTGGTTCCTGTATTTAGTATGTTTCTAGTATTTACTGTGGTTCTTGTATTTAGTGTTGTTCTCGTATTTAATGTGTTTCTTGTATTTACTGTGGTTCTTGTATTTAGTGTGGTTCTCGTATTTAGTGTGGTTCTTGTATTACCGTGGTTCTTGTATTTTCTGTGGTTCTTGTATTTAGTGTGGTTCTTGTATTTACTGTGGTTCTCGTATTTAGTGTGGTTCTCGTATTTAGTGGTTTTCTTGTATTTACTTTGGTTCTTTTATTTAGTGTGGTTCTCGTATTTAGTGCGGTTCTTGTATTTACTGTGGTTCTCGTATTTAGTGTTTCTTGTATTTACTGTGGTTCTTGTATTTAGTGTGGTTCTCGTATTTAGTGTCTTTCTTGTATTTACTGTGGTTCTTGTATTTCTATTGATGCTTCTTTTTTTACTGTGGTTCTTGTGTTTAGAGTGTTTCTTGTATTTACTGTGGTTCTTGTATTTAGTGTGGTTCTTGTATTTACATGGGTTCTTGTATCCTGTGGTTCTAGTATTTAGTATGTTTCGAGTATTTACTGTGGTTCTTGTATTTAGTGTTGTTCTCGTATTTAGTGGTTTTCTTGTATTTACTGTGGTTCTTGTATTTAGTGTGGTTCTCGTATTTAGTGCGGTTCTTGTATTTAGTGTGGTTCTCGTATTTAGTGTTTCTTGTATTTACTGTGGTTCTTGTATTTAGTGTGGTTCTCGTATTTAGTGTCTTTCTTGTATTTACTGTGGTCTTGTATTTACTGTGGTTCTCGTATTTAGTTTGGTTCTTGTATTTACTGTGGTTCTTGTATTTCTAGTGATGCTTCTTTTTTTACTGTGGTTCTTGTATTTAGAACGTTTCTTGTATTTACTGTGGTTCTTGTATTTAGCTGGTTTCTTGTATTAAGTGTCACAGTGGTTCTCGTATTTAGTGTAGTTCTAGTATTTGGAGTTGAGTATTTGGATTCGAACCTCAGACTCGTCCTAATAATGTTACTTGGTTGGGAAGCATCACAGCGAGCTCGGGGGTTTCTCCAAGGATGTACTCGTCTGTGACCGGCATCACTACACTACACTACACAGTTACAGTGGTGAGACCGCCTCCGTGGTCTAGTGGTAGAGCGTCCGACCGGAGAGCGGAAGGTACGGGGTTCGATCCCCGAACTCGTCATACCAAACAAACGTTAAAAGATGGTACTTGTTGTTACCCTTAACTCATTAAGGGATTAAATCATTTTTAACATGAATACCCCACTCAGACACATTGTACTTTATAAATCTTTAACTTTCAATACAAGAGTCCGAGCCGACCAGTCCTTGTTTTAGCCCCTTAATGCCGAGCGCCAGACAGGGTAACAACAAGTACCATCTTTTAACATCTTTTGGTATGACGCGGTCGGGGACCGAACCCCGGACCTTCCGCTCTCCGGGCGGACGCTCTACCACTAGACCACGGAGGCGGTCTGATATTTCTGGAATAATGCTCACAGCTCAACCAAGTCGCTTAATAATGTATTGGGAGTTATACAGTTACTCATGGAGACTCTCTCCCCCACAGGGATACATGGACCAGACCCGCTATGTTGCAACCCAAGGTACGTGGAGACTTTCATGGGTTTGGTAAACTACTTTCTTCCTCATCTCCACGCATATAATAAATAATACTACCAAAAGATACTCGTGTCTATCCTACTATGTCGACATTCAAATTGCTTCTTAGTTTAATATGACTATGCCAATACTCATGTCAATCGGAACACAACAACGAACTCATCATTACGGGAATTTTTATTTTCGCTTTAATATGGATATAGTTACGAATTCATTTCAATATTTCTTGCGTTTATGGCCTCGTATAAACGTGTTAAACTCCAAACTCTAAACGCTAAAACATATTACAGTCAATTCATATGAATAAATACGTCAACAATAATAACTTGACAGACTGCTTATTTCATCATTAACACAAAAACCAGGACAGATCTCTTGGTTAATCAATCAAATGCCATGGAATGGCATGCAACGTATTTGCTATAGATAGCCTTGAAAACCTTTCTACAGGGCCCTTGGAACACACAAAGAACGACTTCTGGAGGATGATATGGCAACTCAACACCGCCAAGATTGTCATGGTTACTAACCTCATGGAGTCGGGGAAGGTCAGAATACATTATGTCAGCTTCTGGCAAAAAAATAATAATCAAGACGTCTCCAACCATGAAGTGATGATATCGACGACGTTCATGTACAAATATATTTTGGACTGCCGATACAAACATCTTTACTCACCATGATATCATCACATTAAGTATTATGAGCAAATAATATTACTACTACATTCATAACCCTATGTATATATATATCATGCATTCTCTCAGTTGAAGTGCTACATGTACTGGCCATTCTGCAGCTCTGAGTCCACGATGTACGGCAGTATAAGTGTTCAGTGCGCGAAAGAGGAGGTCTACGAGACCTACACCCTCCGCTCAATGGCGATCTGGAAGGTAGGTGACCTACACCCAGCGCTTCCTGTTCATATGGAAGGTAGGTGACCTTAAACACCCGTCCGCCTCCTGGCCATCTGGAAGTTAGGTGACCTACACCCTCCGCTCCCTGAACACCTTGAAGTTAGGTGACCTACACCCTCCGCTCCCTGAACACCTAGAAGTTAGCTGACCTACACCCTCCGCTCCCTGAACACCTAGAAGTTAGGTGACCTACACTCTCCGCTCCCTGAACACCTAGAAGTTAGGTGACCTACACCCTCCGCTCCCTGAACACCTAGAAGTTAGGTGACCTACACCCTCCGCTCCCTGAACACCTAGAAGGTAGGTGACCTTCACCTTCCGCTCCCTGAACACCTAGAAGGACAATGTAGGTGACCTACACCCTCCGCTCCCTGAACAGCTAGAAGTTAGGTGACCTACACCCTCCGCTCCCTGAACACCTAGAAGGTAGGTGACCTACACCCTCCGCTCAATGGCGATCTGTAAGTTAGGTGACCTACACCCTCCGCCCCGTGGTCTTTGTGAACGTAGGTGACCTTTTGGAAGTTTCCTGGCCATATGGAGGGTAGGTGACCTAGTGGTTAGGTTACCTAGACCCTCCACCCCCTGGCCACATAGTGGTTAGGTTACCTAGACCCTCCATCCCCTGGCCACATAGTGGTTAGGTTACCTAGACCCTCCACCCCCTGGCCACATAGTGGTTAGGTTACCTAGACCCTCCACCCCCTGGTCCTATAGTAGGCGGGATAGCTACACCCTCCACCCCCTGGTCCTATAGTAGGCGGGATAGCTACACCCTCCACCCCCTGGTCCTATATTAGGCGGGATAGCAACACCCTCCATCCCCAGGTCCTATAGTAGGCGGGATAGCTACACCCTCCACCCCCTGGTCCTATATTAGGCGGGGTAGCTCTACCCTCCACCCCCTGGTCCTATAGTAAACACCCTCAACCCCCTGGTCCTATAGTAGGTGGGATAGCTACACCCTCCACACCCAGGCCCTATAGAAGGCGGGATCGCTACACCCTCCACCCCCTGGTCCTATAGTAGGCGGGATAGCTACACCCTCCACACCCTGGTCCTATAGTAAACACCCTCAACCCCCTGGTCCTATAGTAGGCGGGATAGCTACACCCTCCACACCCAGGCCCTATAGAAGGCGGGATCGCTACACCCTCCACCCCCTGGTCCTATAGTAGGCGGGATAGCTACACCCTCCACACCCTGGTCCTATAGTAGGCGGGATAGCTACACCCTCCACTCACTAGCCATATAGAACAAATTATACCTACAACCCATGGACCCGCCCCTAGCAATGTAATGCAAGTGAGCTCTCCGCACCGGTTGAAACGTTGCTGTTTTATGTCATTACAGGAAGCTACAGAGACAAGAATGATCAAGCAGTTCCACTTCACACAGTGGCCCGACCACGGGGTTCCCAGTGACACTACAGCACTATTACACTTCAACAAAGTAGTGAAGGACACGGCACTACCACTGTCAGGGCCATTAGTGGTTCACTGCAGGTAACAGATATTTATTCCAAATATCTGTTTCACGTACAATAAGAAAAACGTATGTATCTTATTAGTAGACAAACACAACTTAATCGTTAACGAAGGCATTGCCCGTAACTTGTGTAGCGGCAGCACATGCTCACACCTGTCGTCAGAATTGGTAACTTGCAATGATTCAAGGTTCTTGAATTAATATATTTGGAATAGTTCTTCGGTCAAATGAAATATGGCATTGACGTTTGTTATCAATATGTACGATCCACACTTTTCACACAGTAATGGATTTGACGAATATGCAGGTTCGTTTTTGCTGAAGCAATTGATTGTGTTGAATATATGACACGTTTTAATTGAAAGCAACTTATTTTATTCTTTGTAAGACGTCTCAGAGCTACATCTTGTTCCTTCATCAGGTGAATGGTGAAGCAAGAATGAGCTCTGAAATGTCGATCAAAGAATAAAATAAGTTGCTTTCCATTAAAAAGTGTCATATATTCATGCTCTCCCAACTTCTAAATGCCTATCAAAGAATTCATTGTGTTGCTTGTCCAACTTCTAAATGCCTATCAAAGAATTCATTGTGTTGCTTGTCCAACTTCTAAATGCCTATCAAAGAATTCATTGTGTTGCTTGTCCAACTTCTGAATGCCTATCAAAGAATTCATTGTGTTGCTTGTCCGACTTCTAAATGCCTATCAAAGAATTCATTGTGTTGCTTGTCCGACTTCTAAATGCCTATCAAAGTATTCATTGTGTTTCTTGGCCTATACAGTGCAGGTGTTGGACGGACTGGCACTTTCTTAGCGTTGGACTACTTACTGGACCAGGCAAGGAGCGAGGGCCGAGTCTGTGTCTACAACTGTGTGCAACACTTCCGTAGGGAGAGGATGAAAATGGTTCAAACAAAAGTTAGTTTATTACTAAAAGATTACTCAATTGTCTGACTGAAAGTTCTGCGAACTTATGAAATAGTCTGCCGATCTGGCGTTGCATCTGCAGTTCCGCCGTCACATGGCTTAAACAACAAATAAACAAACAAACAGCATATGCAGGTGTTAATCCCTTATCAGAGAAGGTAATTCGGAATAAAAATCCTTCGAGACATGTTAGTTGCATGCAATGTTTTGTGAAACAAGGAAGAGATATCAAGAGTGTTTCACGTTTTTGTTCACGTTTAAAACCACATCACACCTTAAGAATAATATCACGGGAATCCTTTGACCACATACGTTACACAAGATTTCTCGTCTGTGACACTGTTGGTACAACCAGAGGTAGAAGGTGACCAATGGTTATGCATGCAGCAAACATTGCTGTGACGCCCCTCTACAGGGTCAGGTCAACGGTAGACGGTGTCTTTCTTCCTATTTTTCCTCCTCAAAATATGTTGACCCAAGTGTGCAGAAATTCAGCATAACTGTTTAGTCTCCACAATCGTTATAAGTGAATAATATTATTACGTTACTTCTAAAAGAAAACAAACGGGATAAAAATGTTCCAATGTTAATGCTGACAAGGACTTTGGTTAAATTGCTGTCATTGACGACATTATCAAATGTTGACCATGTGTTTTACGTTGTCCTGACACTATTAATATCAGTTCAGGATCAATATGCATGTTGTATTCCTGTAGTACAAAAACTTCCATTTTGTATGTTTATTCAAGAGACACGTTTAAATTTCGAAAGTTTGAGTTTGTGTGATGTATTTTCAGGAGCAGTATATATTCATACACAGCATTCTCCTGGATGCCTTGCAATGTGAACAGACCTTGACTCGCCCCATCGAGCCAGTACACATCCAGTGTGAGACATGCTGGAACCAGATTAATTATAAGCACAGGTGAGTGAGTGAGTGAGTGAGTGAGTGAGTGAGTGAGTGAGTGAGTGAGTGAGTGAGTGAGTGAGTGAGTGAGTGAGTGAGTGAGTGAGTGAGTGGGTGGGTGGGTGGGTGGGTGAGTGAGTGAGTGAGTGAGTGAGTGAGTGAGTGTATGAGTGAGTGAGTGAGTGAGTGAGTGAGTGAGTGGGTGGGTTGGTGGGTGGGTGGGTGAGTGAGTGAGTGAGAGTGGGTGAGTGAATTAAATGCAAAATATTGTACTGTACATCTGATTTTGATTTTAGGGTCAACATGGACATTTCATCCATTGACAGTGATGAAGAAGATGTTCTGTATGAAAATGTTCCCCATCACTGGGCACGTCAGCTTCAACAAAGAAGTGGAGATGCGGCCTCTCTCCCCGACGTCTGTGACGTGGCCTGTGAAACGATGCCCTTGCTGTCTAGTGCAACAAACACCTCAAGCGAGGAGAGGAGCCCGGAAGAGAAGACGGACGACGAGGGAGGAAGGATGAGTTGGGTGTCGCCTCTGTTAGGTACAAGTGACAGGATACAGGAGACGGGTTACGAGTGACAAGTCACTGTTTCGTTCTGCCACATATTCCAGAGTTCCTTGAATACATATTTTGTTCATACTGTGCGTGTGTGGTGATAAGTAGGGTAGTGCATCGTATTGGTAAATTTCGTTTAAAGTCATCCATATCTTGTATGTGTTTCTCATCTACAACCTTAACCAGCATGAGAGAGGGCAGACGAAATATGATAAGAAAAAGTTGGGTTTTTTTAATACAAAATAAACTGATGTTGTGTAACTTAATCTATAACATTTTAAAGTTTTAAAACTTTTGCTATCAGTCTTTAATAATTTATTTGTGACATAGATCGAGTTACTTAGCTTCAGTAACGACTATTTAATAAATATAGCTGAAGAAAGATCAATCTCATCTGGTTGTATTATAGACTTCAGTGTGAAAGACTGATTTTTCTGAAGTTGAGAAAAAAGATATTTCCATTGCAGTGAACATAACACTTGATATTTCACTGCAGTGACACGTTTACGGAACTATTGTTTTACAAGAGTTACCTCCCCTTAAATTGTCTCCCTTTAGCGTAAATGTCAAGCCCGTACACAAACTGTTGACGTCCTTTTTACGTTAGTTCCACATTCAACAAAGCAAAATAATGACAGATGGTCTTTTATGGAGTCAATATCACTTCTTTGCCGTTTGTTATCCTCTCGAAAATGATTCGTTATAAATTGTACATTTCTCATTTAACTCGTCAATCGAGACTGTTCGTTTCGCAAAGCGCCATTTTTGTTACTTGACCAGCGTGTATTCTTTCGCTTCCAACAGCGGTCTCCAAGTTTTCAAGAATATGTTTTGTTGATTTTGTATATAATCATATCTAAATGTATGATAAAAAATTTTCGTGACCCTAAATATTTTTGGATACTTTTGTATATATTTTTTAAGATTTTGCCAACACGAAACTACTTTTTAAATCGCAAATACAAGGGATGGTAAACCGTCCCTATGTGAAAGGTAGGGAGAATTTACGTTTTAAGGTTTTACATTTGTAATGAAATAATTTAATATTCCGTTAGATAACTGCTCAAAAAGTATATTATAAATAGGATATTCCTTGTGTCTCGTGAAATATCATGTTAATCTTATCGAGTGACTCGTACGCCACTCGTGAAAATATCTCCTTTCCCCCGTCACTCGATGAGAGATATATGATATTTCACTCGACACATCAAATATCCTCTACTTTTTGTTATCACACCGGGGCTTATTTTTTCACAGCGGCGGAGGAATTTGATATACGAAAACTTATTATTACTTCACGTCGGAATGACAGTGGGTGGGAGATTGGAATCTCAGACTAAATCCGGACATCATGTAAGCAAACGCGCTTAATATGATCAGTATCCATCGAGTGCATGAGCTGCCAGTTGCATTCAATACAATATGTTCATTATTTTGGTGATATAAGCAGTTCTCTACAAAACCTAAATGTACAGATCATGAAGGATGGATAAAGCTTTAACTTTCAATACAATTTGTACATAAATGGTTCTTATCAATGAACGATACCATGTTAATAAATGCTTACAATGAAACTTACATCGATAACTCCAGGTGAGGTGAGGTGAAATGGGGTTTAACGTCGCGTCCAAGATTATTGCACTTATATAGCGACGTGCATGTACGTGTGTGGCTGCTTGTACTAGTCCGGACTGATGCCAATTTATAGTGCTAGCTCACTGAGATACCATGCCGCAGTTGAACATGAATACCCCACTCAGACACAGTATACTGACCAGTCCTTGTTTTAGCCCCTGAATGCCGAGCGCAAGACAGGGTAACAACAAGTACCATTTTTAACGTCTTTTGGTATGACGCGGCCGGGGATCGAACCCCGGACCTTCCGCTCTCCGGGTGGACGCTCTACCACTAGACCACGGAGGCGGTCCGATAACCTAAAATCAAATTTCATGTCCAGCGGTTATTCATACCTATGAAAGTTGTTTACGGTTTTTTTATATACTAGCCACATAAATAAACTGTGCACGGAGAAAATATAGATATAAGATCACACCGTCAATATATGAAAGAAAGGTTTGAACACAGCAATTATTGGAGACATTCAAACGCTCATGCAAGTGCCATGCGATATGACGTCATTGATGGGGGCCTATGGACGTGCAATGTGTTACTGCACGTGCATCCTGTGCAGCTGTACACAGCATGTGCAACTCAAAATTCGCTGTCACTTTGGAAAGCATGATCTGTGGTCATTCAAAAATTCAAAACTTCTCAGGCGCAGACACAAGCATATCACAAGCAAATCATGCCAAGATTGACAGCTGCACAGCGTCATGAAGCCATTGGAATGATCCGAGCGGGAATGAGGCAACAACAGGTGGCAACAAATTTCCAATGCCATCGTAACACGATATCGACATTGGTGAGGCGTTATCAGAACACAAATGATGTTGCCGACCACCCACGTTCAGGACGTCCCCGAGTAACGACGCCAAGACAGGACAGATGGATTCGAGTTACACATCTCCGACACAGGTTCCAAACGGCAGTAACGACGTCCCAGACAATTCCTGGACTGCGCCGTATCCATCCCAACACTGTCAGGAATCGTTTACGTCAGTACGGGATTCGACCACGACGCCCTGCCATACGTCCCATCCTGACACACCGTCATCGAGTCAACCGTCTAAGATGGTGCCGAAACCATGTTCGCCAACCTCGAATATGGTGGAGAAATGTTGTCTTGACAGATGAATCGAGGTTCAACATTTCCCACAGTGACGGGCGCCAACGTGTCTACCGGCGTTTGGGAGAACGTTATGCACGAAACTGTATTGTGGAGACGAATCGTTTTGGAGGTGGCTCCGTGGTGATTTGGGTCGGGATAACAGCACGGCACCGAACCCCTTTGGTGGTTGTTCAGGGCAATCTCACCGGTGTTGGCTACAGAGATCAGATTCTGCGGCCTGTGGTCTTATCTTTCCTGCAACGTCATGGCCCGGGATTGACATTTCAACAGGACAACGCTCGTCCTCACACGGCTAGGGTCGCAATGGATTTCCTTCACCATAACAATGTCATGTTACTGCCATGGCCTGCAATTTCTCCAGATCTCTCCCCAATAGAGCATGTGTGGGATGAAATGGAGCGCCGTCTGCGTCGTCTTCCACATCCTCCAGATAATGTCCGTGACCTTGCACAGGATTTGAGGAGGATATGGCAGGCCATTCCCCAGGCTTTCCATGCCCATTTGGTGGACTCCATGCGTCGCCGATGCACTGTTGTGATTCACGCACAGGGTGGTCATACCCGTTATTGACTTTGTAACTTTGTCGTTTGACCCCCTACTCCATTTTGATCTTCTGACGTCATCGTAACAGATGTTGTTCAGGTCCCGTTGACATTTTCTTATGGTCCGATCATTCAGCTGCTACAGCGTCTGCATCATTTTGTTCTTGCTGTGTTGTATTTCAATCCAGAATATATTTTCTCCGTGCACAGTTTCTTTATGTGGCTAGTATATTAACCATGCTATCATGTTAGTTGTGTTGATTTTGGTTAATCGTGATCATTTGCTATTATGTGTTATTATGAGTTATTCCTTCACGACCTTTCATCCGTACCATGATTGTTTTGCCTAATTGGCCTGTTAAAGCAAGTACATTATGCTAAAAACTGAATTTGTTTTAATACTGATATCATGAGCCTATAATCAAAACATGTGTGCCCTTTATACTTTATATCTATATTTCGAAGTTTAGTTGTTACGAAAGGTTACCTAGATTACTGACCATCCCGGATTCCAGTTTGTTTAAGCTTGCTATATTTCTTTTCATTCTTCTTTGAATAAAGTGCTATTAAAAAATTCCGTTTGAAAACTTGTGTAGTCTTTAAAACCCTTTGAGAACCCTTTTTATAATTATAAAAAATCTCTGCCCGACCATGCCATAAGCACATCAAGTGGCGATGGCACCGGATGTTCGCGAAACGCGTCATAACGTTTTATGTTAATCAGGATAAGATGCTAACATTCATCAATGAAGGTAGAGGTGACAGTGAGTGAGTGAGTGGGTGGGTGGGTGAGTGAATGAGCGAGCGAGTGAGTATAGTTTTATGCCGCTTTTAGCAATAGTCAAGCAATATCACGGCGGGGGACACCAGAAATGGGCTTCACACACTGTACCCATGTCGGGAATCGAACCCGGGTCTTCGGCGTGACGAGCGAACGCTTTAACCACAAGGCTACCCGACCGCCCCCCGAGGTGACATTGACTGCAGCATATTGCAAATACTTAAAACACGCGGCACGGCAGCAGTTCAGTACTCGCTTATGTCCTGGACTGGGTGCTGGGGGCATTGTTTAACGCCGGTTTTATCATCGCGGTAAACATCAGAAATGAGCTTCACGTATTTTAGCTAGAAAAGAAATTTTAACAATTTTATGTTTTAAACGTACTTTCCATGAAGCTTAGGAAACGGACCTAAAATATCTCTTGCTGGCGTGCAGGACTTTGAAAAGATATTCTTAAAAGCATTGGTATTAATCAGCGACTATGTACCCTGGCTGAGGAACGTCTCTTAAAGTGCTAAAAGTCCTATAAGTAAATATTAGATCGAATTTTTTAAATCGATCTCCCAGGGGTAAATCTCCAGGGCAGATCACTTGCACAAAAACTCTTGATCTTGAAATATGTCTGACATGTGTATTCTGAGCGAGTCTGAAAAAACCCGTCCGGAAACTATCCCTTATATCACAAGAAGATAAATGTGTTTTCCGAGTGAGTGGCTATGTACAACGCGGCTTGGTTCAGGGATTTCAGCTTGAAGTACGAGTGATGCAGGTCATAGACGTGTACCTCTTTGGTGAAACCTACAAGTACGCGTATGGTGCTGACAAATCTGGAAACATAATCAAGGGGCGGATCTGGGATTCGAACCCACTAATGTTTTTTAGGTGGAGGTGAACTGACACTAATGTTGTTCCTGTGAAACCGGGGTAGAATAGGTCTTCAGCAACCAATGC